GTTAGTCGAGTGAGAAGCACTGTCGTGCCACTTACAGTATCGTTTTCCTTTTAATTTTTCAACTGGCGGGATCGTATGCCCTCCAGTTAACTTAATTTGACCATCTTTGTAAAGTTGGTCGAAAATCAATTCTGATTTTGAAACATCAAAGGAATATTTCCTAGTTTGAATTGGAGCACGATTGGGCTTTCCACCTTGTGGTTCCCCCTCGGCCTTGGCTAGAGAAGCACACACATATGGCTTCCCCTGCACAATCTCGGCCAAATCAACCTCAACCTCGTCCACATCACTATCGACGTTATTCACACCATAGTTTTCAAAATTAGAGAAATATTGTCCACGAGAACCACTCCTCTTATGTTCTTCTTCACGAAGAAGAGATTCGTATCTAACAGCGCAGGGCATCAATTGAAATAGATCGGAGAACTCCCTATCTTGAAACTTTTTACGAAGTTCAAAATTCAATCCACCCTGAGCGAGTTTAACAAACTCGCGTTCTGTCAAGTTCACAAAACAACGATTCCTTGCATTTGTAAAATTAGTTAAGAAATGTTCCACCGTTTCTCCTGGCTGTTGGCGCATTCGTGCCAAGTCTGCCATAGTTACTTCTGGCTCAGAACGGTAGAACTGGGCATGGAACATTTGTTCCATTTTATGCCAAGTTTGAACCTAGTTTGATGGCAAGTTGACGTACCACGCGAATGCAGGGCCGGTCAACGAGTTGCCAAACAAACGCAACTTCAAGAAGTCACTCACATCACCACACTGAACCGCGAATCGTCCAACATGCTCGACGGTGGACTGATCCCCAGTCCCGCTGAAGGTGATGAAATCAGGCACGCGAAAACCACGTGGAAAGGGGTAGTATCTATCAACCCAATCCGGATATGGTTTTCGATACACTGGCGGCATCGCTGGTCTAATTCCTAAACCAAACTGATCCGCCAGCATCTGTGCTACTTGATCTCGAATCACATTAATGTCTTGCCCCCCGAGTTGCCCCCCTTGTGGTACGAATCCACCAGGATCCATGCCAAGGCCGTTTGGAAGAGGAGGCACGTTTTGTGGGTAGCCGCGTGGCGGAACATGATCATTGTTGATCGTTCCTCCACCACCAGCACCGCTCATCGGAGCCACGTAGGGTCTGGCCTCCGGAATATTTTGTGGACCCACATTGTGCACTGGTGGCGGCTCAACACGAGTGTTAGCCGCATTGCTGGTCTCGCCAGGATTTACTCTCGACGTACTTGTTGGGTTCACCACCGGTGTCGGCGAAACGCCCTGTCTCGGCTGAGTATCTCGGCCGCCATTGATCGGAAAGCTATTGGTGCCAATGTCATTGTGTAACGGATTCTCGCCGCTTAACGGCAAAGCCCTTGTTTGCGGCACTGGCCTATTCAAAAACTCTCTAAAATCATTAAAATCACGTCTGTTACTTTCAAAATCCATTCTGTTTTTATCTACGACTTCAATCAGTTGGCTAACACGTCTATCAATTCGAGAACTAAGACCATCAAGACGTCCATCCAAAGAGGCTAAGTGAAGTTTTACCTATAGGTTATCAGCCATGACTTGGCGAAGCATGCGTGTTATCTCACCCTGGTTGGCAGTTTGCGCCACTGCTGGCACTTCCCCTCCGGCGTCGTTGCTCGAACCGTCGTGTGAACCGCCACTCTGGTCAGTCTCTACATTGACCATTGGCTCTTCCTCCACTGAAGTTGGTGGAAGATCGCCCTCGTGATTCTTCCTTCGTGGAGCCATCCGAACACACGTGTCCCACCGGGTGTGCCAATTTGTTTCGTTGGCGATACTCGGGTGTTCAATGCGCACTGTATTCAAGTAAGCACAAACACAAAATCAGCAAAATCGTCAAATATCCACCGCCGAAGTCGGCGCCGTTGATTTGATCGACTAAAGCAGAAACCAAGACGATCGTCAAATATCCGCCGCCGGTGTCGGCGTCGTTGATTTGATCGATGCACCTTTGACCTCTAATCAAACAACCGTTACTCGGTTCACCACCTCTCCAAACTACGTTCGAACGAGGGTGTTCAACGAGAAACGAGAAACCAAACCGAGAGTGTTCTAAGTTACGTTACCTCTACTCCTATGGAGGTTCCTCTGGAGAGCTCCGCGACTACGACTACAAGCTACGACTACGACTCTGCAAAGGAGGTCTTTGACAGAGCGGTTCTACAAAAACTAGAGAGAAAACGATAGATTCTGCGATGGTGCAGTTGTGATTTGATTTTGCCGTCCATTGCTTCTCTCTCTTCCCGATCTTTATACTTCGCGCTTCTCCCCGTCGTAGTAACTGCCTTCGTGCCTTTGTCTCCCACGTCTTCACTCCTGTCAACTGTGCAGGTAACTTCCTCCTTGTTGCGTGATAGTCACGTGCCCTCGAAACCGCTCCTGTTTGCATAAACTTGGCGAAACGACGTTGAGCCAAATCCTACAACCTTGTCCATGTAACGATGTCGTTTCACCAATACTGCGGCATCACCTTTCACTAATCGATGCCGTTTCATAATCACCACTCAATTGCCTCGACTCGGTTTGACCAACAACACCGTTAGCCTATTATACAACGTCGTTTTCCAGTCTTGCGCTGTCGTTGGGCTTGGCGGGCCGCCTTTGGCCGAACTCTTATCCACTGACGCGGTGTCGTTTTACCTTTCCGCGGCATCGCTTTTCAAACGATGCTGTCAAACAATGTCGTTTTCCATTCCGCGACATTGTTTTGTTTTTCAACCAAACCGTATCGTTGGTCTTTCCGCGGCATCGCTAAAAACGATACTGTTGTTCTCGTCTTACAGTGCCGTTGGTCTTGCCGGGACTCGCCAAAATCCAACCCGCCGTGGTATGGTCTCGAACGCCTAGTAATATCGCGGCGTTGTTGATGCTTTAAGCGGTGTCGTTTTGATATTACACGACTTCGCTTCCAGCCCTGCGGTGTAGTTTTCTTCCCCAACCAACCGTTTGTTTTTTTCTTCCGCGACACTGTTTATTATTAAACACTGTCGTTTGCTAGTATAGCGGTACCGTTTTTAATTCCGCAGCACCGTTTTAATTCTCCATGCGGTACCGATTTTCCCCTTCCCACAAGGAATAAAGGTAATAATTAATTATAAAACTCCCTTCTCCAACCCAACTACACGCGCGGCCCCTTTTGTTCTCAGTGTCGTTTCCAGTGTCGCAGTACCGCTGAGCTTCCTTGCGGTACCGTTTTTGTTTCGCGGTACCGTTTTAATTCTCCGCGACGCCGCTCGACTCCAAACGGCACCGTTTTTTACCCACGGTATCGAATTAAATGTCGAGACTAATTAATGCGGCATTTAATTACGGCCCAAATTAATTTTAGGTGTCAACAATACCTCACCTTCCTCCTCCGACCAAATGGCCGGGTCCACGCTAGTTAACAAAACAAAATCAAACTCGAGCTTGGCCGGTTACAATTCTCGAGCAAATAGCAGTTACAACTTCAGATGGGTTTCTAACCGGGATTCGCGTTTCAGATACGCTTGCTCTCTCTTTCCTCCCTAATTTTATTATTTATTTATTTCCATAAATATAGTTTCAAACTCTTTTAATTTTTCTTTCCTTAACTGTTCGTATATATCAACTTTTCATTAACTATACTTTAAAAAAAAATTAAATACAAAAATAAAATTGTTTTTCTTGTGACATTGTTTGCGTTGGATTCGTAGTATCCGACTAAGCCTCAATGGCTTGTTTAAGTCCATTCAGTGGAGCTTAGTTTTGTCCTATAGTTTGGGCACTTGTGTGTTTGTTTGTTTTTGGAGGGGCACGTAGTTTTCCATCCATTATGCTTCTCAACAATGAAAGTTGGCACGGGCCTACCAAAGTGCTTCATTTGTGGCGCATATCTGTGTTGCCAAACAATTGTTGGCGATTCGGCATGCACGTGGCAAGTGGAATGGTTGCTCTGCTTTTGCTATCGGCAAGGCTGAACTATCATCCGACTTCTCTGGCTTTGGCGTGTGTTATGTACCTGCTTGTATCCTTTGTTCCATTTCTTAGGATACTGACAGAGCTGCCCATTTAGTGGCTAAAAAGGCTCTTTTATCGGCGGATTGATTAGTTATCGACCGCCGCATTTGATTATTTGATTTTTTTACATATTTGTAAGCCTACTGCATTGTACACCTACCTATGTTTTTGTACACTTATCTATGACAAAAAAAAAATGAATAAGGAACTGTCGGCTCACGATAACAGTTGGTAGTGGCGACGAACCATTCACCACATATACACGCGTCGCAGGGTATTTTAATGACCTTGTTTGTGTAACACGTGGCATCTTAATGACCCGCTAAATGCTAATTTGATCTTTGATGGATGGCGCCACCTAACGAAGGTCCTCCCAAAATCAGAATAATGGTGATGTAATCAGCATCCAGATTCCCGCCACGTGTACTTAAAGGCCGCTCATCATGTGAATTAGTAATTGAGTACGTGGTTAGTGTGGTTGTTTAGAAATTGGTATATGGTACGAGGCTGTTTAGAGCAATTGTTCAAAGTTGATGAAGAAATGTAATAGACGTCTAACCTCCACAAATTCATTGTTAAAAATTGTAATTCAACAATCTGATTAAGCTATGTTTTATATATTTATTTGAAACAAGATACCTATTTCAAAGGAATGTATACGAACAACTTTCATGATTTTTTTTTTTATAATGGTGACCGAAATGCATTAATCAAAAGAAAACAAGAACAACAATACACTGTCCGAAAACAGTGGCGGATTCAGGAATTTTAAATTGGGGTGTCCTCTTAAAAAAAACAAAATAATTATTAAATATGAAAATATTCAACTAATAAAAGTTAGAATAAAATTTCAAACATGTTCCGTATTATGAAAGAATGGTAAAATACATTTGGTGTATACACTGCTCAACAAATCTCTAGTGAGATATCCTACTAGACAAGGGTAACCCGTAATTGGGTTTAATCGTTAGGTTTTGAAAATAATTGGGGATAAGAATAGCCTTTTACTATTATATTTTTATCTAAAATATAACTACAAATGAGTTGTAGTCTAATTGAAACTATATTTACTAATAGTAGCAGTGTTCCCAAGTTCAAATCACATAGACCCTATAACTTAAATATTATTTTGTACCCATATGCAAAATACTATAGGAGGTTGATTAATTATTTTCCATATTTAATGAGTGTTCCACTATCACTAATATTTTTTTACCCATACACAAACTACTATCGAAAGTTGGATAATCGTTTTTTCAAATTTTAGGGGTGCCCCGGAACACCCCTAAACCTCTCTGTATCCGCCCCTGCCGCCAAACAACCAACTTGATGGTTATTGATAATTCATCAACTTACAAGCACATAGTAATTTAGCGTATGTATTATGTTGATTATTGATGGAAACACGAATATATATCAAAGGCGTTTTTTATTGGGTTATATGATTGGGAATATGATTCTGATTAGAGATTTAGAAGGAATTGAGGATAGATTAGGGAATAAAAGAGATAACTCAGGATAGAAGAAAGTAGAGGAGGAAGAAGAAAGGGGTTCGATTGCAGGGACGTAGCCAGAATTGAAGAATTTGATGATGCGGAAGTACAAAGAACACAGAACACGAGAATTTATATGGTATTCTCGATCGATTGATCGAGACTAATTCACGGTGAGTTCGGAACGAGCTCATGACTGATATTTTATTAGGGACTACATTGTGACGGCTTGCTTACGACAGGTTCATAGCTAAGTCTTATATAGAGATATACTAGGGTTAAAACCCTAATGACAACCAAGTTTCCTTCTTTTACCAGGCCAGGACAAGGAAACAAGGGACTTGGAGGACAAAGAATTAATTACTTTTTGACTAAGTAATTAATATCCTCAACACTCCCCCTCAAGCGAAGACATGAATGACAAGAATGTCGAGCTTGAAAGGAAAATGTGAAGAACAAGTATGATGAGCTTGTACAATAAACAAACAACCTCTTCTTGTGACATGACTCAGTTACAGGCGAGGAAGACTGATGACGAAACTACTCCACGCTTGACCCAGTTCTTTTGACAGTGAACTCAGCATGGCGAAATTCCTTGACATCTTGGATGAGATTGATCTGGAGATGAATGACTCTCTCTTTGAACAACCTGACGAAGACGGTTGACTGCGTCTTCTTGAACGTCGTGACGGAGACGGTTGACTGCGTCTCTTGAACTTTCTGATGGATAGATAGACATGGTCGACTTGATGACTGAGCTAGTCGACCGACGTATGTTGACCTCCTATTCCCCCCCTCCCCCCCTCAAGCTGGACCATGAACGAAATGAATGCCCAGCTTGAAAGTTAGAATGGCGATGAAACAAAATTGACCGATGCTGAAAGCAGAGGGGACAAAATCGCTTCTTTGATCGAGACTGCATCTTTACAGTGACTGCCACCCCAATCCACGTGGTAATACAAGAGCTAGTGATTGGCTGAGACTTCTCTAGTAGAAATTGGATGTAAACTTCAGCAGTATCCGTCAATAAGCAACTATGGAAGAACGACAGGTAGAAGACCCTGTGAAATTTACTGGTGATGTCCAAACGAGCTTTAGAATGGACGTTGAATAACAAAAACTCCAGCCATACACAGAATCGATACTGGGCACTGATTGCTGAACAAGGAGCTTGGACGAATACAAAACTGGGATTGAAAGCCGATGGACAAAAGTTGGAACTTGACGTCCATAGCAGAAGGCGAAGTCGGGAAGAAAGCTCCGTGGTCGAGGAGTCTTGCCTGACTGGCGAAATGGTGAGGGCGCTGGTGTGAGCCGACGTCGGAACTATAATTAAGTAACGAAACCCAAAAAACAGACCCTGTTTTATGGACGAAAGCATGAACTTTGACCTGGAGACGGACAAGCCCACTCGATTGATGGCAAGATCATCGCTGCTGAACATGACGATGGCGAAGGTGCCTCGATGCAAGGCAATGCCGCGACGAACGTCGAGGAGGCTTGAACGACTTGGATCCGAGACAGACCTTCTCGCCTTCGTTCCTCTTAGCATTCTCGTCGTTCATCGATTGGTGGAGATGACGACCAACCATGACAAGGACGACGATTGACAACAAGAGCACAATGGATGATGACGACGACGACGGACTAGAGATTGCGTTCTCGACGGCGGGAAGGACTTTGCCGACTATGATATGGATCGAGAGTAGAAGGCTGGATTCGATATCGGCTCTTCCTTCAACGACAACCATGACTATCAAGGGGACGCCGGGATGATGTTGGAGAGACGCCAACATTGAGTTGACTACCGGCGGTGGCTACTATAAAGGTAGCTTGAGAGACTGACTGACGGCGGGCTGGACTTCGCCTTGACTGCGAAAGCTCAAAACCCTAGACAAGGGATCGAGTTTCGCTCTGATACCATGAAGAATATGATGACGCGAAAGTACGAAAGGACACAGAACACGAGATTTTACGTGGTATCCTCGATCGATTGATTGATCGAGACTAATCCACAGTGAGCTCGCGACGAGCTCACGACTGATATTTTATTAGGGACTACATTGTGACGGCTTGCTTACGACAGGTTCTTAGCTAAGTCTTATATAGAGATACACTAGGGTTAAAACACTAATGACAACCAAGTTTCCTTCTTTTACCGGGACAAGGAAACAAGAGACTTGGAGGACAAGGAATTAATTACTTTTTGACTAATTAATTAATATCCTCAACAAGGATTTTGTCGAGGGTGGGTCCATTTAGAAAAAAATAATTACGATAAAGTAGTTTTGTTAGTATTTTAAATAATTCATTATGTAATTTAATATTTACAAAAGCTTTGAAAATTAAATATATATCGAAACTATCAAGAATATCACTCTATATGTGTCTATCAATTCTTAATGATTTAGTTAGACATTTGCTTCTTAATAGTGTTCTTTATCAAGACCATTTAGTATCAATAACTCGAGTTGTTGTGAAAGATTTAATAACAGAATTATACTATTTAGTATTTACTAACACTTCCTCGCTAACAAGAACCAAATTATACGTGCCTAAATTTTTTGCAAATCCGAATATCATGTGATTAACAAATTGGGTCACCAAGATTCGAACACATGATCTCTCGATAAACCATTGTCAATTAGAAGTGCCTGAAATTTCATTCTCAATTACCTATTATACTATGTTACTCATTTTTGTCCTTATGAGCCGCCCGCTACACTCTCCGTACCCCTTGATTTAAATAAAATTATTTTTATAAATTAGTTTTGATTTGGTGAAAATTTGTTTGAGATATTAAACAAATACATCTTTAATTTTGGGCGGATCATATGCATCATTCTCTACAAAACTCGTTATAAAAACATTGAATATTTCAATACACAACTTATAAATCATACATAAAATATTTGAAAGGTCAACCATACTCATTTAAATACGTATTCTTTTTCATACCCAATTAACTATTATACCTAAATTTATAATTTTTCCTCCGGAGCCAGGATAGGTCCCGGGACCCACTCTCTAACCTTCTCCCTCCGCTCCTGTTCGACTGAGTTGGGAGAGATGAAAGAGAGGAAATTCAGTGAGAGAGGTACTTACGTGTCTAGAAAATTATTTCTCAGCATTTGCTTAACTAAATCCATATCACAATTATAAAATATATATAACCCGATAAATTTTCTTAAACTACTCATAACTACCGCAATTACCAAAATACTAGATAACACCCAAAATCACCTAAACATACTAAAAAATTCCGATAATTCCAAAAATACCACCAAACATATATAATCGTTCAAATTTAAAGAATGACATGGAAATCAAATACCAAGGGGAAAGGTCCAAGTAAATTATCTCGTTATCCTTATTCGTAAATAATTTACTTTCTGCATTCTTTATATATCTATACTAATTTGATTGTTGAAGAATTGCATATAAAAGACCATTTATGTTTCTTCACAAGACACTAACCGCAAAGAAATGAGACAAATAAAAACCTGGATTACTACGACACACAATTGTTCTCGTTTGAATAAAATAAATTTATGCATATTTACATTCACATTGTCAAAATTGTATGCAGACTGCCCTGCCTGAGATGCACACCAAAAAAAAAAACACTTAATTATGGTACTTCATCATATGTCATTTCCATGGCCGAAGTTGAAACTTCAATTGAAAGTCGCCACACTTCCCCTTTCCCTCTGCCATCTTCTATACTGTATATTTTGCTCTCACTTCTTTCTGGTGTTCGACAAAATTGGGCACACTATTGTTTTCCAACCTTTGAAAATTGAAATCCACCTCAAATTTATCATCGTGGCTTATTTTGCTTTCCCTTTTTCTTTTTGAACGCTTTGATTGTTGGTTTCTGAGGAGCAGAAATGGACACATATTATGCATCATTTTTATTTATTTATTTCAGAACTCAACAATGCATCTGTGATCTGCCCCATTAAACAAATATACTTCACAATAGGAGTTAGGTCTGATTAACGAGTCCAAAAGGTTGCTAATAATTGAGGCTTACCGATTATACCGATGTGATTATCCTTGACCTTTTCCCCCCTAATGGGAAAAATTCTTCTCTTTTCTGTACAACCAAACAAGAAAGTAAGAAATAAAGAAAACACAGCATAATGTTTTTAACTTTTGTTGTTGACAAAACATAGTAGTATTCTCATTCAAATTAGAATTCGATTTCATGATTAGTACAGAACTATTCACAACATTGTTGGATTTTGGATCAATTTGTGATAGCACGTTATTACGTCAACCCAATGATTGACAACCTGCAACGGAGTATCCCACAACGTTAAAGCATGCGCCTGTGACAGCATTCTAACACAATCGTTGAAATCAATCTCGAATCCGTGGAGGCTCTGGGAGATGCTAATTAATCCCTCTAATTTCCGTCTCCTGTGAATGTCACCTGCCATACGAAGATGTGATTATGTAAAAAAGGAGAAGTTAAGCAACGAATTTAAGAGATCAATAGAGGTAAGCTTTTTTTTTTTTTTTTCATTTCCAAGCTACGGATGAGTGCTGAATTATACAATGCATCCATCAAATGAGATCAATCCAAGAACTAATCGCCTAGAAACTGTCTATAGTGGCAGAAGCTGTTGGAATTGTGCATTATCTTTACAACACGAAAGAGCACTTACTGTTATCAATACTATCCATGAGATGAACGACTGATATAAAGTGACCCCGAAAAAACAAAAGAACAGCACTTTTACAAGTCACTAAAACAGAACCGCAAATTGCGTAATCAGTGTCTTCCCAATTGGTACACTGATAAAGATGGGGAAAACAAAAATGTGCAAAGGTCTGTTGGTTGAATGTGATGCTGAACAAAGGCAAAGCAAATACAGAAAACAGGTGGTGCAACGAACTCAAATCCGATTAGCATGTTGATTGATATGGTCCCAAATCGGTTAATCAACGAGCCAAAATTACTTTATGAAGAAGCTATCGAAGTTGGGAAGAAGAAAGAAGGGCAGAATTTGGCTAAGTCAAAATCCGTGTTCAGGGTACCAACTTTGGAAGCATGCATCTCACAAATGACTCAATGAAAATTGGAGTTCAAGAGCTTGTTTTTCATATAAAGTTGCCATAATTCCAATGGTATGCTTTTTGGATCCATATGATGTCATTAAAGTTGTTTTCCAAGGCCTCAAAGTTTCTGCCGCAAAACTGGAAAACTGCCAGAAAATGGCTAAGGCAGAAAACTGTTTTGTGAAGCCTACTTTGGAGCTTAATTCACGGAGCATGGATCTGATTCAAGTCTAAAGGCTTCCACAACATGAAACTATGCATGTTTATGTACAAAGGGAAGGAATTGGATGAAATATTGGAGTTCTGGAAGGCCTCGAACGAAAGGCGCGAAGTTAGTACGAAAGCTGCTTTTGGACTGTTGTTGGCAGCTTACTTGTGCTTCAAGAAAGGGAGTTTAAACCCGAATTTTGTGTCCTTTTTATTGTAGACTTTTACCTTAATTGTTTCGTAGTTCTATTAGGATTGTATTAGGTTTTATTTGCCTTTAAATACCGTTCTATTTCGTTGTAAAATTCAGACTTTGATGAATTAAATTGAAACCTTTGGTTTTTTTGCACGTTTGCGTACTAGTGTGAGCTTTGGTGGATTCCAAGCTCGTTGAGCTCTGTATCGATTGAATAGTCACTTCAATCGTGGTCGGGCATCTATCGTAATAACAATCGAGTATTTCCCCAGGTGTGGAATTGCACTTTTGGTTCCGTTTTATCCAAGTTCGTCTTAATAACGTTTTGTTCTTGATTCGAGCTCAATCGAACCTTCGATTGAGTCGTTAGCTGCTTGACTTTGATAATATACACCCCCAGGGTCGTATCATTGATGGGTAGGCTTCTTTCGTGACGACGATCTCAACCGTCAGATGCACGTACATGACCCACATCTAACGGTTAAGATAGTGGGACAGTTGATCTCTAACCGTGTCAGCCCCACTGACACGGACCCGTTAACATGGTAGCCAATTTCAGTGAACTCGAATGGAAATAAGTCTGGCAGCGTTATATTTCATTCATTACCTTACTGGGAGGAATATGAAAGGGCACCTTTATTTCCAGTGTAAGTTGATGACATGATTCGTTAACCAACGTACTCCATAATCTTAATTCCCGGGGCTGTTTAAGATTTTGATGTCTCATCTTCTTGTCTTGACTCTTGAGGATGCTGAACTTAAAGCACAAGGAGCCCACCGAACGACTCGTCTCAACCTTAACAAAGCCACACAAAGAAAAATGTAAAAAAGTGTATCAGATAAACAAACTGCATATATATATAAAGTTTCTTACGCCTGTGAAATTGATCGCACGAACAAAGATTTAAGAAAAGGCAGATCGATATTGGATCTTCTGCTAAATTTCCATGGTAATCCAAAATCTGTAGATCAACTTTCCAGTATTAACATTGGCTAAGAGTAAAAAAGCAGCTAGTGAGCCATGCTGATTAGGGATGGCAAATTACCCACCCATGGGTAATTATATCCAAACCCAAGTAGACCCATTGATAATGGGTTGGGTATGGGTGAAGTGCATATGGATTTGGGGGTTTATAGATGGGTTTGGGTTTGGGTTTGGGGCTTCCATAATCTAAATGGGTATGGGTTGGATATGGATATCCATTTACTTGAGGGTGTTTGAACTACACATGCAAAAATTGGACCTATTTGCAAAACTTGAAAAGTTTAGGTACCAAAATGTAAGACCAAAAAATTTAGGTGCCAAAACATAATTTTCCATCGATATTTTGATGACTTATATGCGAAAAAAATTAAATTTAGTTACTAAATATGCATGTCTATTAAGTTTGGGTACCAAACTGTAATTTGTATTTGGGCATGGGTACAAACCCAAATCCATTTGATATAAACCCAACTCAACCCAAAGTAAATGGGGTACAAACCCATCAAACTCTACCCATATCCATCTATTTGGATTTCATACCCAACCCAATTGGGTTGGATAGTAAGAAACCCATGGGTATGAGCAAAGTTGCCATTCCTAATGCTGATGTCAAGATATCAAAGATATAGATCCAAATTATACACAAAAGTATGATACCACTTAACTAGCATGATCGTTAAGATCTTAAGAGAATCCATCCATTAATGAGTCGGAACTTACCAAAGCGACCTGTAGGTGAATTATGGGGAACTGAGGACCAACTATACTGCTTTGACTGCCTGTTCTCTCTAGCTCTCTTCCCCTGTCTTTCCATATGCGGAAGTGAAACCAGACACCAGAACGCTAAGACCTTCAAGTCAGCCCTTGAGCGACCACTTGCCCTGGTGAAAGAAAAACTTGTCCCCGTCGAGTATGCAGGTTGAAAGGGAACAGGAGGTGCTGTGCTATTCACAAAAATTGAAGGCAGAACTCTCTCCTCATAAAGGCCACCTGCCCGAAAGAGCAACAAATGTCGACAAATACTTGCAAAATTAATCACAGATTACATCAGTCATAATAAAAATAAAAAAGCCACATCATTGTTGAGCACACATTCAAAAACACCAGGCAATAGCATAGAAGAATTTCTTCTAAAACATTGTTTAATCAAACTAATGGAAAAAATTGCTTTATACTTCATGAAAGAGGCAGGTAGTTAATACGTAAGTATGCCTTGGCGATACAATTTCAGGGATGTGCACTTCCACTTTGAAGTCACGTGTTAAGAGTTAAGACACTACCTTCCTGCAGACCATCATTAGGTGTGGCACCTGTTCAGGGAAGTGCCAACAGCGCAGATGCTTCTAGAGTGGCCAATAGCCTATTGCATCCTTGTTCTGCACTGAAGCAGTTTGCAATTTGATGATCACTCAGAACTAGCCTGATTGCAATGAGCCACTGCCAGTTATAAGCGAAATCAGCCAACATATTCAATTTTGCAAGATGGATGACTGGTATTCTTCATATTTGGCCGCAGGGATTCCAAGTAAGTTGATATCAGTGATACCATCAGAGTTCCATCTCATCTCATTTGTCAACGAATCCAATCTTAAATAGATCTCTTTGACTTGTGGATGATCTTTTCCACTAGCAACAAAGTGATGGAATTTGTTATCAATCTCAATCCAGCTAACACCAGCCTCCTTGTGTAAGTTCAAGTCATTCATTATGGTCCTTACTCTAGCTGCCTCAGGTAACATTCCTTTCCCAGCATACATATTCGATACTAGTATATAAGATCCAGCCTCTTCAGGAGACAAATCAAGCAGATTTTTGGAAGCCAGCCTACCAATATTCATATCTCCATGTAATTTGCAAACATTGACCAATGTTCTCCAAAGCAAAGGCGAATGAGATAAATTGCTCTTGTTAATGATATCTACGGCCTCTGATAGATAGCCAGCATGGCCCAAAAGATCAATCATGCAAGAATAGTGCTCAACTGATGGCTGAATACCATATTTTGACTCCATTGAACTGAAAAAGTATATACCATCTTCCCACAAACCCGAGTAACTGCAGGCTTGGAGGATCGCCAATAATGTGATCTCATCAGGAGTGAAGCCTTCTGCCTTCATTTGTTCAAACAGAAGGAGTGCCTTCTGTCCTCTACCATGAAGTCCATAACCAGAGATTAAAGCATTCCATGACACAAGATCATGGCCATTGATTTCTTTGAAGATTTGATGAGCATCATCAAGGTTTCCACATTTGGCATACATTGTAATCATAGAGTTCGCCACAGAAACGTCCTTCTCATAACCTGTTTTGATAGCACAAGTATGAAGGGTCTTCCCACTTACTAAGGAAGGTTGAGTAGCAGATAAACTGAAGAGCCGTGAGAAAGAGACAGAATCAGGTTTATATCCATCTGATAGTAACTGGCTAAACAGAACCAAGGGATCTCCATCATCAGCTCCACACTTGTCCATATACGCTGTTAGAAAGGCATTGAATGTAGTTGTACTAATATTTGTACTGACCATAACTTTTGCCAACTGCATGTTCCCACATTTGGCATATAATTCTATCAGAACGGCTACAACCTCAGGATCATGGAGATAACCTAGTTTTGTAACCAATACATGGAGTTGAGCTCCCAATTCTAAGTTCTGCCATTCCAGACATCCATTGAGAATTGTAGAAAACAAGTTAGAGTCACAGTTGACACCACGTCCTCGGAACACAAAGAAAGCATCAAAAGCTTGTTGATAAAGACCATTCCTTATGTAGCTTGAGATCAGTGCAGTCCAAGTAATCAAATTCCTGTGGTTCATAGCAGAAAACACAGTCTCAACCTCTTCAACCATTCCATGTTTTCCATACATGGAAATAATTGCATTTCCAACTGACATTTCATCTACAAAACCAAACTTAATCGCAAGTCCATGTAATTGCCTACCTTCGTCGGCACCTAGATTTTCATTGCACATGCTAATCGCGTTAGTAAATGTATAATCATTTGGCCGCAAATCAGCATAAAACATATCCACAAAAACCTCCATAGCCTTCTCACCACATCCCCCATTACCATATTCCAAAATCATGAAGTTGAAGCACCGAACATCTTTACCCGGAACGCTTCTATATATTTTCTCCGCCTCACTCAAATGCCCGCTTCTCGAGTACATCGAAATCAAAGAAGTGCTCACAAAAACGTTCTCCTCAAACCCATATTTCACAACAAAACCCTGAATTTGTTCCCCCAGTATCCGATCCCCTTGTGAGCTACACGCCTGCAGAATCACAGAGCAAGTATGCTCGTTGAAATTTTCTCCCAGTTTATGCATTTTAACCACAGCTTCAAGCATGCCCGCACGGTCTTCATTATCGAAGTATCCCTTAATCAATGAAGTCCAAGTAATGGTATTTCTCACAAGCATTTCATCGAACACCTTCCTCGCTAAATCCATTCTGCCCAATTTCGAATAGAACTCGACGATGTTATTGCCCTTAAACGGGTCATCCCCAAACCCTGATTTCACCAAACACGCGTGAATCGCGAGACCCAGTAAGAAATCGCGGGACCTGGCCGAGAGCTTGAGCAGCTGAGGCCATTCACTCAACAGAGGGACTTCGTAGCAAGGCGACCCATCATCGAACAAGGCACATCCAGCAGTGATTCCTTTTTTTGATTTCTGGGGAGCAATGATTTTGACATTTCTGGGACCAAAAGAGGACGCGGGAACGAGGTTCCTCGTTTTGAACGGACGAGCGATCGGCCGTTGGAATGGTGTGGCGGGAAGTAGGGTAGTCATGGAAAACGAAAATCTCGAATCGAATCTTGCCTATTGTTTTGTGATGCTCAGCGAGGCACGAAGAAAGAACCCGATAAAACCAATAGAATGAGTTAACTATTCCATAATGGTCATATAACTTTTTTATTTGTACGAAATACTTCCATGACTTATTTTTGCCAGAATTACTTTGGAAATCCACAAGAAAATTGCCACTTCCATCCATATTTCATCCATCTTAGATTCAATATCATGCTCATATTGATACGTCAAATTAATAAAAAAAAAATACATCAAATATGTCTAAGAATCACCACTATCCCACTAAACTCATTGATGATGCATATGTGACTTGCCAAGAAAACTTGTATTCAATATAAAATCAAATATGAGTTTCTTTTTGAAATCAGATACGAGCAGTGGTGGACCCAGGATTGTCGGAGAAGTGTGTCGCTGTTTACACCTAAAATATTTTTGGCCTGAATTCAATGTCGTAATAATGAGTCTCGGCATTTAATTCGATATAGCATGGTCAAAACGATGTCGTTTGGAGTCGAGCAATACCGCGGAGAATTTAAGCGAGACCGCGAAGAGGCTCGGCGTTACCGCGATACTTGAAACGACATTGGTTGCAGACCATGTGTGAGTCATGCGCAGGACATGTGTTGCTGTTGGACAAGGAATGTTTTTTATTCTATTTTTCCTTGTCAGAGGAGGAGGGTAACAACACCGTTTGGAGTCAAGCAATGCTGCGAAGAGATAAAACGGTGCCGCGAACCTCAAAGCTCAACGACATCGCGAGACTGGGAAACAGTGTCGTTTGGCTAAAAACGGCACCGCGGCAAGCGGTATCGCGGTGAGTTAAAACAATACCGCGAAACAAAAAACGGTACCGCAAGGAAGCTCACCGGTACCGCGGCACTGGAAACGACATTGTTTACCAGAAAACAGGAGGGGGCCGCGCGCGTAGTATTGGTGTTGGAAAAGGAGTTAGTATTATTATTATTTTTATTCCTTGTCGGAGGGGGAGAAGCGGTACCGCATGGAGACAAGCGGCATCGCGGAGAATTAAAACAGTACCGCGGATGTAAAAACGATGTCGCGAGAGGCCTTGATAAGCGGTGCCGATTAAATAAAAAAAAAATCATATCGGGTAAGTGAAGGGCCTAAATTCCGCACAGCCCAATGCGAGTGAAAACTCTTAGCGGTTCAATGAATTGGAATTTTTTGGCTATGTTAGCGGTGTCGTTTAATTAAAAACGGTACCGCGAGTAAGCCCAACGGTACCGCTGTATTAGCAAACGACAGTGTTTAATATAAAACAATTTCGTGGAGTAAAAAAAAGCAAACTGAGCTGTTTGGTGAAGAAAACGACATCGCGTGAGATTCACACCAACCCGAGCGAGGAGGAGATCAAGACGGTTGAGACACGTGGGAGTTCACAACGGAGCAGTTGAGGAAGCGGTTCCACCTAGCGTGAAGACTACGAAGCGGTTTTTCGAATAAAAGCAGTGGAGCAAGGAGAAAGAAAGGAGAACCAAAAATCAACACAGAACAACTCTGTCAAAACTTTACCTTTTCTCTGTAACTCCTTCGCGGAGCTCTCCTTCCAGGAAGGATCTCCATAGTTGTAGTCTTAGTCGTAGTCGTGGAGCTCTCCACAGGAATCTCCGTAACGTAGTTTGGAGAGGTGCGAACCGTAGTAACGGTCGTTCTTGGTTAGAAGTCAGAGGTGCATCGATCAAGTCAACGACGCCGACATTCGGCGGCGGATATTTGACGGTCACGTTGATTTCACCATTTAGAGGTGCATCGATCAAATCAACGGCGCCAACATTCGGCGACGGATATTTGACGGTCGTCTCGATTTCAGCAATCAGCGGTGCATTCGATCAAACGGCACCGCAAGAGTTTCCACCGCGAAACATCGAATCAACATCACCGGAAACCGAATTCGGCACCGGCGGTGGCATTTGGTTTTTCCGAGGAAACAGTCGCCGATAAAATTCAATAATAATTAAATTAAATAAAAAATTTAAGTAGAAATTAAAAGAAATTAATTCATAAAGTTCACAATATCATGTTTACAACGAACCGCGACAACTTTTCATCTGTTGAAATGTCTCTAAAATACATTCATCACTTATGCTGCAAAACAAATCTTTTTTTTTCAATATACACACTTAAACAATCATTTATAAATTGGTCACTCAAATGATTTCGAAGATCGTTCTTGATTATCTTCATAGCTGAAAATGCTCTTTCGCAGCTTGCAGTTGCAACAGGTAAAGTCAACACCAACTTCAATAGCAAGTAAACTAAAGGATAAAGAGTGTCCTTTCCCCTTTCCACCAATTTCCTAGCTAGCTCGTCAATTCCTCACAATTCATCAAAACTCTTATCCTCCTTGACATGAGAAATGTAGCCCCCAATTGTTGATGAAGTCATGAGAGCAGATTGGATGGAAACTCCTCCGGATAAAACTCAGTAAGGTGTGTCCGCTATAGTTATTGAAGATGTGTCGGCTATCCCGAAGTAAAAAAAATTTGTACAAAAAATATGTAGGTTCTTCGCAAAATTCTCGAGCGAAGGTGTGTCGGATGACACACACTTACTAGCCTTAGGCCCGCCACTGGATACGAGTCATTATTAATTCATGGGTGATGTCTCTTTTTTATCCATACATTTTTCAGATTCTTTTATATTATCCAAACCTATCAAAATACTAAGAATTAGTCAAATGTTAACTTTCAGTTAGCAATTTTGTTAGTAATATTGACTTGACAATATATTACTAACTTGGAAGAGACACATGAAGATCAACATTCCAGAATTTTAGTATTTTAACTAAGAAAAGAGTTAGAAAATTATTAAAGATAGCGTAAAAATGGCTAATATTTTGATGCATTAAATATAAAATAATTTTTAAAATGTTTGGATAAAAAATAGACAGTACTCTTAATTCATTTAGATCTATTCAAATGTTTAGGCAGAGTTTTAGTTTTTTTATTGTGTGTTTTTCAAGATGGCCTAAATGCTAACATGATAACATAATAAAATTATGGTATAGGTGCATGGAAATAACCATTTTATTTCAAGTTGTAACAATTACATTCTCATTTCGGGAAAATAAATAAAAATAAGACCATTTTTACAAATATAAAAGTTATACGACTATTTTGGATAATTACCCCAATAGCATGTGCCCAGGGCGAGGTGCAAAACTGGGCTTTTGGGCGGCGTTTAATGGATGACGTGGTTGGATTTGAGCCCGGCCCACACAAGTCGAATACCAGCCTCTCAAATCCTTTTTGTTTTCCGTTGGTTTTAACTTTCATCATCAACCGTATACTTCGCCAAATCCATTTCTCTTCCAATCCTCTTTTCTTTTCCACAGTGAAGGAAAGGAGCGACTGGAGAGAAGAGAGCAATGGAGTTGGCAACCAAGTTCCATAGCTCTTCCTTCTCTATCTTCAACTCGCCTAGTTACAAAGGGAAAGCCGTTGCTGCTTCTCCTTCTTCTTCCTCATCACTTCAGCTTTCCAAGCAATGGTTGGGCGCCGGCTTATCAACCCGGGCGGCTACTACGGCCAAAGCTACGCCGTCTCTGAGGTTTCTCTCGAGGCAGCGGAAGTCAATTATCAGTCCGGTGAAGTGCTCCGTTTCTCAGACCACGCCGGCAGAAACTTCCGCTGGTAAATTCCTTCTTCCCTCGTGCTAGTCTTCGTCCTTTTTAAAATTGTGATCATGTGAGTGTATATATAACTTACTGCCGAATTGTTTCAGAGAAGAAGAGTCAGAGAAGAAGCGATATAAGGAACATAGCAATCGTGGCTCATGTCGATCATGGAAAGACTACTTTGGTTGATTCCATGTTGAAGCAAGCTAAGGTAACATTGACTAATTTCATTTGTAGTAGACTGATTCTTCAAATTGGCGGATGAAGCATGCCTGTTTAGGTTTAGGGAAAGCAGAGATGGTGATATGACCTTGCATGTTTGACAATGCTTGCTGGAAAAACCCTGAATTTTGTTGTGCAGGTGTTTCGTGACAATCAATTTATGCAAGAAAGGATAATGGACTCGAATGATTTGGAGCGCGAAAGAGGGATTACGATACTGAGCAAGAACACGTCTATTGCTTACAAGGATACCAAGATCAATATTATTGATACTCCAGGCCATTCTGATTTTGGTGGTGAAGTGGAGCGCATCCTGAATATGGTCGAAGGCGTCGTTCTAGTGGTACCTTTCCTACCTTACCTACTTACCCTTGCAGGAAATAAGTGCTGAAATGACTAACTATTTCTTGGTTTTGGCTGTGGAATGTGTTGAATGCTCAAATATTTATTACCTTCACAAGCTTCTTAACTATTTCAGTTCCTCCTTTTTGTTTGTTCAAGCATTTCATTGAACTTATGATTTTGGGTTCTTTGAATCACAGATTTGATTCTTATTGCTGTTTTCAATGGGCTCTCTGTCTCTTGCCCACAGTATTTAATTTAGAATACCTTATCCAATAAATTTACCTTTCTTGCATGTTGTAGGTAGATTCTGTTGAGGGGCCAATGCCGCAGACTAGATTTGTTTTGAAGAAGGCTCTGGAGTTTGGCCATGCTGTTGTTGTTGTTGTCAACAAAATTGATAGACCTTCAGCTCGTCCAGAGTTTGTGATCAACTCCACCTTTGAACTCTTCATTGAGCTCAATGCATCAGATGAGCAGGTACTCTATGAGTCACCTTCATGATTATGTATTTTAGAAGTTCGCATTGGCAGGCCCTGGTTATGCAACTTCCTTTTCTTTCGTTTCCCCCTGGTTTATATTGAGAGCATCAGGGGTGAACAACAAAAACATTGAACTAATCATTAGGAGGGGAATAAAAATATTTGGTTTTGAATTATTAAATAATAGTGATGAAAGAAAAATGCTGTCCACTTGGAAGTCTTCCCCAGAATTTGAGAAGTTCCACTCCCACAATTGTGTTGCTGATATTTTTCAGCTTTTTGGTGGTGGCATCAGGGGTGCATGTAAAGTTTGACACTAGTTGCATTGTTCTTGATCTTCTGCAGTGTGATTTCCAATCCATTTATGCTAGTGGCATTCAAGGAAAGGCAGGATTGTCTCCTGATGATTTGGCTGAGGATCTTGGGCCACTTTTTGAGTCTGTAATCAGATGCATACCCGGACCCCGCATCGAAAAAGATGGTGCACTGCAAATGCTTGTAAGTTGTTCGTTTTATCATCCTTCCTACTATGTTCTTGAGTAGCTTCCTATGAGTTCTGTCCTTTCTGTGCTGTAAATGCAATATTTTGAGCTAGCGATATGCTCGAAATAACATTTCCCCGGTCATAAGACATGTCAGCACTTTATGCAGTTAAATAGAAGTCACTATTACTTTTTATGCCACAACTTAAGGTTTGAAGGTCATGAATACAAACTGGAAACCTGCTTTGCCTCCATTTTCTTAAGATATCAGACTGTGGGGCCTAAATAACCTGTTTCTTACCTCCATTTCTGGTGTTGTACCCCATTTCATGATTTAATCTAATAAAATTATTGTGGTTGTGCTTTAATTCATCAAAAGTTTCTCATTTCTTTCCTGAATATGTTGTTTAATCTGTGTATGTACTGTGTCTGCATCTTATAGGCGACGAATATTGAATATGATGAACATAAGGGGCGTATAGCTATTGGACGTGTCCATGCTGGGTCCCTCCGGAGAGGGATGGAAGTTAGGGTGAGTTTTCTCTTTCTTGTTTAACTTCTATTCTTTTCCCTGAGAAAAGTTCTTAACGAGCTTATGACCCCTGCCATTGTATTTAAAGTAACAAAACAATTGACTTGATGGAAAGAGAAGGCCCTTATGTCAGATAAAAGCTCGGTATGATTATCTTTCTTGGTTACTTACTACCTTCAAGAAGCAGCATGTGATTGCCACCTGGTGCTTGTTTTTAGTTACTTCTAGTCTAGGGTTTTTTTTCATGGATCATGTATTATAAAAAAATGTACTATTATTTCTTCCTTCATTCTTCAATCTGCATCTCGGTTTAATCAATTTCAAGTCAGGGAACTTTATTGACTGTGGCTTGATTCTTATAGGTATGCACATCTGAAGACACATGCAGATTTGCAAGGATTAGTGAGCTTTTTGTGTATGAGAAGTTCTTCAGGGTTCCGGTAGAAAGTGTTGAAGCTGGTGACATTTGTGCTGTCTGCGGAATTGAAGATATTCAGGTAAGCTTTTATTGACTAGCTTCCTGCCTCATCTTGATTTTCTAACATCAAGGGAAGCTCTTTCTTATGTTTGTTGTGTACTAGTGTTTCTGATGTGTCACTATGAGCAGACTGCTAGATTTTGTCCTTATATTCAAGTAAAAAGTTGTTGCTTTTGGCAGGAAATGGCATAATTATGCTGAGATGGACTGTATTTTCGACCTACCTTCTATTATCTAAGTATATGGAAATGTAATTGACGGTGTTAGTTTTCTAGAGTAATTTGTATGACACTGTAATTTTCTTGATCAGATTGGGGAGACCATTGCAGATAAAGCAGCAGGGAAGCCATTACCTTCTATCAAAGTGGAAGAGCCGACTGTGAAGATGGCTTTCTCCATAAATACTTCACCATTCGTTGGTAGAGAGGTCTGCTTAGTACTCTGCAATCTACAATTCTGTAGTTTCACTTCCCAAGTATTTCCATTTTATTCTTCATGTTCATGCTGGTTCTGCCTGAAGCTTGAAATAACTCATGGCCTGTGATTCCTTATTCATTGATATTTTAACTTTTGAAAGAGTTCAAGGTATTTCTAGCATGTAATCAGTATTTGGATCTTAATTGTGATTTGTTAAGCTCTACCGGCAGATTTACTTGGTGGTTCTCCTGCTTCATTGTCTTAAAATGTTCCTTGTCTTTCTTTCTTTAAAATTTCTTGCAACTTACAGAGTGTCTGTTCTGATTGTCAGGGGAAGTATGTCACAAGCCGAAATTTAAGAGATAGACTCTTCCGTGAACTTGAGCGAAATTTGGCCATGAAAGTTGAAGAGGGTGAATCCTCAGATACTTTTATAGTCAGTGGCCGTGGTACTTTACACATCACCATATTGATAGAGAACATGTATGTATAGCCCTTTCACTTCCTCTTTAATCTTTACTAGAGCATGTAGTTTCTGAAATGCTCGCGCAATGACCCTGTTTCAGGCGAAGGGAAGGATATGAATTCATGGTGGGGCCACCCAAGGTGATTAACAAAAGGGTGGATGAGAAATTGTTGGAACCTTTTGAGGTAACTGCCATTTGATTATACTGGCCCTTTCTGTTGTTTGTTTGAAATGGAAACCTAGGACACTATAGGCATCCTTTATAACTGTTTCTTTTCTTTCTTACCCTACCATGTTCTACCCCAGGAAGTAGCCAACGTCAGTAGTCACTGTTGAAAGTTCAGTCCTACGAGTTTCCCTTTATCAATTATCCCTTACATATATGACTGTAGATTGCGACCGTTGAGGTTCCCGAAATGCACATGGGCGCTGTTGTAGAGCTTTTGGGGAAAAGACGTGGGCAAATGTTTGATATGCAAGGAGTTGGGTAAGTGAAATGTTCGTTTGCTATAATGTTCAAGGAATTCAGAGTCCATGATGACTGCCTGTTTTTCCAGTTCTCTCAGTACATTCATAGTTGGATATGTCCGGTGGATGGCAGCAATGCTCTGCGCTTATGTTTGCTGATGTGAGTTGGAAACTTTGCTGTATTAGGTCGGAGGGTACTACATTTCTTAAATACAAAATTCCCACTCGAGGCCTTCTTGGAGTGAGAAATGCAATTTTGACTGCATCCCGTGGAACAGCAGTTCTCAACACCATATTCGATGGATACGGCCCTTGGGCTGGTGACATCAGCACAAGAGATCAAGGCTCATTGGTAATTACGACATATACATAACCTTTCTTGAAAGCAAACCCTCCATAATCGAAGAAATTGATTCCATTGTGCAATCATGAGTAGGTATAGGAAACTAATGCATGTTTGATGTTTACAGGTAGCATTCGAGGAGGGAACATCCACTTCTTACGCGATGGCTAGTTCACAGGACAGAGGCCAATTGTTCATTGGTCCTGGCGTGGATGTGTATAAAGGTCAAATTGTCGGAATCCACCAGCGATCTGGCGACTTATCGCTCAACGTCTGCAAGAAGAAGGCTGCAACGAACGTTCGTTCAAACAAAGAGCAAACAGGTAAAAATGAGCACCTACCATTAAACTATTCCTTGCAACTTCCATCTCCTTTCATCCCCATGAATTCATTTATCATTGTAAATGTTGGTGGTGGACGCAGTTGTTCTCGACACACCCATGGATTACAGTCTGGACGACTGCATAGAGTACATTCAGGAAGACGAACTGGTGGAAGTCACGCCAGCGAGCATCCGCATGTGCAAGAACCCCAAGTTCAGCAAGAAGGGCAGCAGGTGAGGGTTGAGGGCACTGATCTTCTTATACATCTGAGACAATAAAGTTGATTTTGCGAATCCTCATATTTTTTCGGCAAAATTAATCCCCGGTATAGTTAGAAAGATACGTTGGTCCTTTTTCTCTCTTACTGCATGCATGTATTGCCGTTTTCACGGCCTTTGAATCAAGTCATTTCAGTGTTCTCAAAGTCATCAGTCTAGGAATGATTATACAGCATAGATCACTCTTCCACTTGGGTAGGAGGAGATGGTTGTATTTGTGTATAGAACCAGATATGTTGTGAGATGCATTGTTGTACTTGTTTGGAGTTGCGTCTTTTGGTATCATTATACATCAGCGCTGGAGGTTACATTTGGGACATCCTGTTACGAATTACGATGTGTTGATTTGGTTTTCGATTCTTTTTCTCGATCATGTATGTCGTAGTTCGTCGCTCAATGAAGGTGAATTCTGTATTAAGTGTTTCTAAGATCGAGGATATGCTCAAAGTCCGACTGGTAGAGTTCATAATTTTGAGGGAAACTGTCTGGACAGCCTCCATAAGTATCGTACTTGAAACCATTCTGCCCTCGGATAAGAATCTGCGTGAAGATATAGATGTTGTACATTGATGGTGAGACGAAAAATTGTCTCACAAGTCACAACTAGTCATCCAATTGGAGCCACGAATCGTTCTGAATTGTGATCGTGTTTGTTCTAGATCGCTTGCGCTTTACAGCGTAAATTATCATAAGAACATAACCGGAACATTGAAGTTAACTTTACTTGTAATGCAAGTCAGAAGAACCGAAATTTTGGAAAAAAAATTAAACTAAGGAAGAAGAAATGTATAATATTGATATATCATGTACGAAAATTTTGGGGGGATTCAACAAAAACTGTGATCCATAAACTTGACAAATTCACAGAAATCAATCCTCCCATCCCCATTCACATCAAAAACTCTAATCATCTTCTTGCAGCTCTCCTTCTCACCTCCTTCCTTCAATCCCAACTGACACAGAACCCTCTGCAACTCTGTTTCATCAATGAATCCATCTCTGTTCACGTCAAACACGTCGAAGGCTTCTTTCACTTCTTCCAAGCTCGGCTCCTTCTCGTCAAACAACTCCAGAAGCTGATCAGCACCCATTGATTGTTTCAGCTGTTCGGCTTCTGGGTCGCAAAAAAATCCAAGCTTTCCCATCACTGCCTCCACATCGTCTCTGCTAATTGCCAGAGGAGTTGGGCTCTGTTTTCTCTCCAACTCTGCCTCTTCCTTCTTCTCTTCTGCTTCCGGTACTACTATCTCTACATCAGCTCCACGTCTCAGTTGAGATTGGAGGAAAAAGGAGAGCCTGAAGAGGAGTTTGGGGAAGCTTCTAACCCGATCGAAGATCAATTTACATAGAATGATATCAAAGAACAGAGCTACCAGAGAAGAAGATTGGTCGGTCGAGAAGAGACCCTCTTGAGGAGTAATCAAGTAATATAAATGCAACAAAGCCATTGTTCTAAGGCAAAAAAACAAAATGAATGATATGAACGTAGGGAGATTTTGTTTGAAACTCCTCCTTTGTTGAAAGCGTTACTGTTTCTTTCTTCTGCTCTGTTCTGAGAAGAGAAGAGAACAGAGGAGTAGTTGGTTTATCTTTGAGCTGGTGGCTGCTTGTTGAATTGGAGGGAAGAATGGACCCCGTTTGTGGTTATATACATGGCGAAGCGAAAGGGAAGAGGAAGCTGCGGCCTGCTGCAGTTGGCAGAGGGAATGGGTCATTTTTTTGCCTGTCGCCATCGCAGAGAAAACAACAACTTTGGCTGGGAAATTTCCTTGATTCTTTCTCTGTTCCTCTTCCTCCACTCTTTCAAGTCGGCCCCGTGGACTGTTAAAACCCACTCCTAGTTCCTACCAATATGCTAAAATAATAGTATAATACAAATGTCTATAGTTTTCCTAACTTCTTTCCTTGCTCTAGTCCTCGGTGGAAATTATTATTGATTAACCAAGTGACTTATGCTCGCCAATAAACTTATAATTCAACAATATTATGGCAAGCAAAACGATTCAGCGATGGTATTGTATGAATCTCGATGACTTTCAACAAGTTTGAGAGTTTATAATTAGATTTATGTGTATGTTTTTTCACATAGATATTCTGTAACGGAATAGTAAGATATGAAAATAACAATATATGATGATATTTGCAAGACAATTAAGAAAAAAAAATTGTAAACGCTCTAGTCACAAGATGCCCAATCAAACGATGAGATGGGTCATTTTTTGCCACGATATTGACAACCCTATTGTTCTTACGAGGGCCTATGTGTATGTTATATCCATTGGTTTAATAGTTTTATTCGACTAACATACATGTTCCTCAGGGTACTCTTGTTCAATTTTCCTTATTTATTAGAAAAACAAGACTTCTTCGCGTTATATTTTAATTTATTGACTCTTGTATGACGTTTTTTTTAGAACTCTGCGTGTTTTATTAATCACTAGTTTTTGTTAGAATGTAGTTTTTGCCCCATTAAAAATGACATATATCATGGTGTGTTGGCAGGAAAATGATGCAAAATGAAGGTTGGAAGGAAGTAAGGAAGGGGAAATTAGTTGGTGGTTCAGGCTGGCCTGCATTTCCATTCCATTTTCTATTATTCTATGTTGTTTTCCTACTTAGAATTTCTTGCTATTTGATAGACACTTGCCAGGAATGTCCCTCTTCTTTTCTTCCTAGCCTTTTTTTTTCTCCCTTCTCTTTTCCTTCCACTGACTTGGAAAATTATATACCTGAAATTTCCTGGAAACAAATAATAATTTATAAAACGCAAGTCTCATCCATGAAGAAATAGCCGCCGCCGCCGCCGGCCGGTCTCTGGGGTTTTTTTTCCAGGAGGCGGGAGTGAGACATTCCGTCCGACGACTACGCTCCGATATAATTTTTAGTTTTGGGCTTTTGGACTGTTGTGTGAAAGCCCAACTATGGGGTTTTGATCCACCATCTCTATCCATGGACTTGGGCCTTTTCCATCCCGAAGCAAATCGTATCGTCATAAGCAGCCCGATTGGCCATTTGCAAAACCGAACCTGAAAATCAAAATCCTCGTCTCCCGGTTCTGCTGCCTGAACGATCATATTCCCGCTTTGGTTGTGCGAAGAAGAGAAGGGAAGTGCGGCGGAGAGCAGTTTCCTTCTCCCGGTGATTGTTACTGCCAGCTGTGAACGGGGAGCGTCCGGCCGGCGTTTGATACAGTCGACTGGCTGTGGGTGTTGCTCGCCGTTCCTTGAACTTCAATTTCGGCTCTTCATCACTTCTCTACTCTCCCCGGCATTCATCTTTGTTCTGTGCAGAATGTCAGGCAGGGAGGACAGCTTAATAGTCTTCTTCACATCAGTCGCAGATTCGGTTTTCCTCTTCATTTCCGTTTTATCTTTTTGGTGAGGCATTCGACTCTGTCTTCTTCGTCTGAGCAAACGGCATGTCGTTCTCACTTGCTCATTTGACTAAGCTCTTAAAGCTCTGTGCCGATACCAAAAAGATTAGAACCGGTAGAATGATCCATGCCCATCTAGTCGTCATGAATCACACCGTTGGTAAGAACTCTACGGAGGCCAACTCGTTGATTAATTTCTACTCGAAATGTGGCGATTTATCGGTTGCTCGCAACCTGTTCGATGCTTTGCCTGAGAGGAACGTTGTTTCTTGGGCTGCGCTGATGGCCGGGTATTTGCAGTCTGGGCTGCCATTAGAAGTGATTGGTTTGTTTAAAGACATGGTTTCTGAGTCTCGAGTTAGGCCGAACGAGTACATTTTTGCTACTGTTGTTTCAGCCTGTTCTGCCTGCAGAAGACTTCAGATGGGTGTGCAAGGCCACTGTCATGTGTTGAAGTTGGGATTGGTTTTCCATGATTATGTTCGAGATGCTCTAGTTGACATGTACTCCAAGTGCATGTGCATTGATGAAGCAGTTCGGTTATGGAATTCGGTACCGGGAAATTATACTTACTCCTATCAGTTGATTTTGAATGGACTTGTCGAACATGGGTATCCCAATCGAGGTCTGAAGATTTTGAGGAAGATGGTTGCTGAAGATTACGAATGGGAAGATACTGCTTGGGTTAGTGTGTTGGCGCTTTTGGCTTGTCTTAGAGATCTGAGATTGGCTAGGCAAACCCATGGGAAGTTGATTAGGAGTAATCTTGAGTGTGATATGTATGTCAATAGTGCCCTCATCAACATGTATGGCAAATGTGGGAACCCTTTGAATGCTAGCAGAGTTTTTCATGGGTTGCAAGATCGAAATGTTGTGTTATGGACATCCGTCATGGCTGCTTATTCCCAGAATGAGTTGTTTGAGGAGGCATTGAATTTGCTTCCAGCTATGGAACTCGATGATGTTCGGCCAAACGAGTTTACTTTTGCTGTATCCGTGAATGCTAGTGCTGGATTGTCTACATTGAGGCACGGGTACATTTTACATGGAAGTGCTATGAAGGCTGGATTTGTTGACCATATCATTGTTGGAAATGCGTTGATCAATATGTACGCCAAATGTGGAAACATTGGAGCTGCAAGTCATATATTTTCAGGCATGAAATCTCGCAACATCATCTCCTGGAATGCAATGATATGTGGCTTTTCGCATCATGGACTTGGAAAGGAAGCCCTTCTAGCATTTGAGAACATGTTGACTGAAGCAGTCCATCCTAACTATGTTACTTTCGTTGGGGTTCTCTCTGCCTGTACTCATTTAGGTCTGGTGGACAAAGGTTTATACTACTTTAACTACCTAATGGGACACATGGGTATAGAGCCTGGATTAGAACACTACACATGCATGATTGGCCTTCTAGGAAAAGCTGGAAAACTGGATGAGGCCAAGAACTTTATGATGATGTCCAGTATGGTAAAATGGGATGTTGTTGCATGGCGTACTTTGCTCAATGCTTGTCATATTCACAAGAACTACAATTTAGAAGAGCAGGTCGCGAAATCCATTCTCGAGATGGACCCTCATGACATGGGATCGTATACAGTGCTCTCTAATACATATGCCAGGGAAAAGAGGTGGGATGGAGTTGCCAAGATCCGGAAGTTGATGAATGACAGAAACATAAAGAAGGAGCCCGGGGCGAGCTGGATAGAGACGCAAAATGTGACTCATGTCTTTGTCTCAGAGGACAAGAAACATCCAGAAATTCTTGAGAAGGTAAAGGAACTTATTGCATTGATCAAGCCATTTGGATATGATCCCGATTTTGATGTTGTTCGGCACGGTTGAGGATGAACAGAAGGAAGAATACATTCGCAATCACAGTGAGAAGTTGGCTATGGCATACGGTATCATGAAATTGCCTTCATGAGCTCTGATCATTGTAATTAAAAATCTGAGGATGTGTGATGATTGCCACTCTGCTGCCAAATTCATTTCAAAACTGACAAGGAGGTGGATAATCATTAGAGATACCAAATGTTTCCACCATTTTCAGGATGGGCGGTGTTCTTGTGGAGATTATTGGTGATTGTTGGTTGGTTCGCTCTTCGGTACTATACAAGCCTGGTACATGGTGTCATAGGCTGCTGAGAGTAGCAATTTTAGGTGATGCTATCCATGGTTACTGCTCCATTACGCGTGTAAGTTGCTCAGCTAGAGTGGTCAAAACATTCCTCACTTACTCCTACTGCCTGAAGATGGAGCTAGTCTCATTGCCGCGGTCTCTAAAAGGTACTTAACTCTAATTGATTGCAGCTTATGAGCTTTCCGGTTATTGAGCCTATCTTCTACTTTAATTTCATTCCACGTTTGCTCTCATTTTAGGTTTTTGCTAGATTACTCATTGTTTAAAGAATCCTTCCAAGTGGTTAACAAAAGTAATGCGATTAATAGAACACCAAAGGAGCAGATCACTAATTATTTAAACAATCCTTCTAGAGGTTAACAAAATGGAAGGATATAACAAATATTGAAAAACTACCTTTCTTTCCTAGTATACATGTGTAGGAATAGCAACAAAACATCAAACAGAGTTGCATGTGTCGGGCTCTTTAATGTAATTCTAATTATTAGTCGATAATATGATTTAATTATAAATTGAGAAAATCTATAATAATTCATCTAAATTATACCCATTCGCTGCTGCTCTGTTTAACGTATTCCTTTGGTTTCCACGGTGGCGTTGGAAGGCATTTGGACGAAGTGTAACAGGCGGAGAATGCTAAATTGGGAGAAACAGGGGGGGGGGGAGTTGAGGGGAACAAAAAAGAGGGGTAGGAAAACTAAAAATTAGCCATTTTGTGAAGAGGCCAATTCTTTTCAACATGCACGATCGTTCCAAATTAGATAAAAAAGCAACAAAAAAAAGGAAAAAATTAGGAAAACAATACGAAATTGAAATAGTAAAGAATTGAGTTTTGCATAGAACTTTTTGAAGGAAACAAGAGAATTAGCAGTAGTCTCTCTCCCTCCAAGGAGAAGGTCCCTCCAAGGAGAAGGTCAGAGGGAGAAAGGACCATGGAGAAACCAGTTGATTTCTGAGGGGAAAATTAGATAGGAAGGAGGGAGGAAGAAGAAGAAGAAGAAGAGGGGAAGGAAGGGCGGGTTTATCGAAAAGGAAGGGAAGGGTAATGGGGTTTGACCTGCGCTAATGTGTTCGATTTGATGTTGAATTGAATTGAATTTTCTATGTGAAATAAGTTTCTGGATGACTGAAACGTGTTTTCTTGTGTAGTCAAAATTCCGTTGTGTTCATCCCCTTTCAACTTCCCTCGTTTTGAACCTTCCCCCCTTACTTCCCTTCCGATTTTCTCCTCTTAATAGCAAAATCCTCAGTCATTTCCGCAGAATCTCAAAATCCCAATTCAATCCATGTCTTCTTCTCTACATAATTCGTCCCTTTTGACCTGATTTTTTACATAGCTTTCAACTTCCCTGGAAATTTGAACCAGAAATTGAATATTGATAGGCATATTCCGTCTGTTTCTTGGGTCAGCTTGGCAAATCTTACGCTCTTTGTCCCAGAGATCACAACTTGATTGACAAGATTCAGATCAATTTTATTGCCCTTAAAACTCTCTTCACCCCATTTCTTCGTTTCTATTTGTCAAATCGCATAAGCCCTTTTGACCAAAAGTCAACTCCAGATTGTGTTTTTTGTTAGATCGGATAGATGGGCAATTGTTGCGTAATCCCACTTACAAGCCACTCCAAAGAGAAGAAGAACAGGAAGAAGAGGAGCCTATTTTTTGGTAATTATGGGAATGGAGGCCACCATAAGCTGGTTGTATTGAAAGAGCCAACAGGTAATGACATTCACCAGAAGTATGTGCTTGGTGGAGAGCTGGGAAGGGGAGAGTTTGGGATCACACACCTGTGTACGGACAAGGAAAATGGAGAAACATTTGCTTGCAAGTCAATCTCCAAAAAGAAGCTCCTGACAGCTGTAGATATAGAGGATGTAAGAAGGGAAGTTGAGATCATGAAGCACTTGCCTGTGCATCCCAACTTTGTGACTTTAAAAGATACGTACGAGGATGATACTGATGTGCATTTGGTGATGGAGCTGTGCGAAGGTGGTGAATTGTTTGACAGAATTGTCGCGAGAGGTCATTACACTGAAAGAGCTGCAGCCGCAGTCACAAAGACCATTGTCGAGGTTGTGCAGGTAAACAAAGAAATTTTTATTGGTCTTCACAACTCTGATTCCATGCTTAATTAGTTTACTTCATAAATAAATAGACGATTCAATCTCTCTGGTGACCATTATGAAGAATCATCATTCATCAACACGAAATCTTATAGTGTGTTGGTTTCTCTGTGGTTACCGAAGTTATATATAGGTTTGCTTTTACGAGCTGGAATTTTAATCAGAAGGAACTGCAATCTTTGAAAATATACCTTAACTTTCACTTATAGTAGAATTAGAATGAGGAAATGGAAATCAGTTGTGAAAACAGAGCCGTAATTCGACGCTGCTATGTAAATAAATGGTTCTCTATCCTTAAATTTGTGGCTGACGCCTGAGAGTAGTAGATTAGGACCAGCTGGGTACAATCTTGGGGTCATTACATATCTAGATAGTGAAGCGTTGCATTACTTAGTTAGAAGTTCGTTCTTGCGATTTTACTATCATCAACTCACTGTCCTTTTCACCTTCTGCTTTAAGTTGTTGGAGAATATTCCATGAGATTTAGTTCAAAGGACAATGATTTAACTATTTTTTTCACATAAAGTTAATAACTATAATAAAACACCGGTTGTATTATAGTCTTAATATTCTCTTTTCTTCTTGGACACCTTGTATCGTGGTGAGTCTAAGGATTCATGGTGTCTTCCTACCTCTGTGTATTCTGAATGAATTTTGCACTGTTTTCTCTGGATTACCTTTTGTCAACTGCTCCTTTGTTTGACCTTTTACTGTGCTTCTTTAACCTCCTAAGTTCTGCAGTCTTCTAGGGGTACTTACCTCAATTCTGCTCAAACTCTATTCCTTCTGTGTCTTTATTATTTCCCTTTTCATGGCAGATGTGTCATAAACAGGGGGTGATGCATAGAGATCTAAAACCTGAGAACTTTCTGTTCGCGAACAAAAAGGAGACTGCTCCTTTGAAGGCCATTGATTTTGGGCTGTCAGTGTTTTTCAAGCCTGGTAATGCTTTGTGCAAAACTTGTGGCTTCTTGTTCTGCAGTTTCAGTCGTTTCATGTTCTTAAATAAAATTATTTTGCTTCTTCCAGGCGAGAGATTTACTGAGATTGTGGGAAGTCCATATTACATGGCTCCTGAAGTGTTGAAACGGAACTACAGCCACGAAATAGATGTTTGGAGCGCTGGTGTGATACTTTACATATTACTTTGTGGTGTCCCACCCTTTTGGGCAGGTTAGTAACTCTCTGGCTCGTTGGAAGAAGGGTTTCGACTTGCACTTATATGTGATATGTACATGAAATAGACTCTTCGAAGGGATACCATATTGACAAAACCGGCTACAATTATCAGTTTGCAAACATTAACTAGTTTAGCAATGGATGCTGAAGTGTTTTAACTGGAAAAATGTAACTTGCATGCTAAAAGTGTTGCCCCTCTTGCAGAAACTGAACAAGGAGTTGCACAAGCAATCATTCGATCAAATTTGGATTTTAAGAGGGATCCATGGCCTAAAGTTTCTGATAATGCAAAAGATCTTGTGAGAAAGATGCTGAACCCAGATCCCAAGAGTCGCCTCACAGCCCAGGAAGTGCTAGGTAATGTCCAGTTCTCCGATCATGTAGACTTCTAGCTTTCTCTCGTTTGTTTTTATATCTAATTGAAATATGTTTCTTCTAATTTTAGATCATCCTTGGCTGCAAAATGCAAAGACGGCTCCCAATGTGTCTCTGGGTGATGCTGTAAAAGCAAGGCTCAAGCAGTTCTCTGCAATGAACAAGCTGAAGAAAAGAGCTCTGAGGGTAATTCTCCAAACTTTCTGAGTGAACTTTGCTTGTGCTTTGATATTTTTGAAATCAGTTGTTCGAATGTTACAAGCTACGTAATGCGATGGTATCTTATGGTGTTCTCTGTGTGTTTTAAATGTTAAACAGGTGGTAGCCGAGCACTTGTCGGTGGAGGAAGCTGCTGGAATCAAGGAGGGGTTCCAGGTGATGGACACTAGCAACAATGGCAAGATTAACATCGATGAGCTGAGAATTGGCTTGCAGAAACTAGGACATCAGGTCTCTGAGGCCGATATTCAGATTCTAATGGAAGCTGTAAGTGACATGGTTATTACTTCCTCCATTTAATGTGCTCGTAATGCAAATGACTTGTCCAAGTAAGTAATATCTTTCTGTACCTGAAAACTCAATTTCCTTTAAGAGTCCACCCTCGTGAATTCCATCATATACAGGGTGATGTTGATGGCGACGGATATCTGGACTATGGAGAGTTCGTGACCATTTCGGTGCACTTAAGAAAAATCGGGAATGATGACCACCTTCGCAAAGCCTTTGAATTCTTCGACCGAAACAAAAGTGGGCACATAGAGATTGAAGAGTTGCGTGAAGCTCTGGCAGACGATGTTGATGCAAACAGCGAAGAAGTTATCAGCGCCATAATACGAGATGTCGACACAGACAAGGTGACTCTTTTAGTCTTGCATGGCCGTGCATCTGGTACCAAAGTATATATGTTAGTTATTTCCCACCTGTTTCAAATGATCCAACTCGAAAAGACAACTCACTGATAAAGTTTCATATTAACCTCAACCATTTGAACCATTTCTCAATATCCTGTCAATTCTTCTTTACTGAATCATGGTGTTGGGCGAAACTTGCAGGATGGTAAAATAAGCTACGAGGAGTTTGCGGCTATGATGAAAGCTGGTACAGACTGGAGGAAGGCATCCAGACAGTACTCGCGAGAACGGTTCACCAACTTGAGCATGAAACTAATGAAGGATGGATCGTTGCAGGTGACCGAGGTATGATGGCGAAACCGATCACCATTCCTGACGGAACCAACCTGGGGATTCTTTTCTTTCTTCATCAGGATCTTGTTTGTTTATTCATTCAGCTCATTTTCTCAAGGCAAGGATTTGTAGGACATGAAAACGAGAGTGCAAAAGGGATGAAATGAGGGAGTATTCGGTTTGATTGATATTGGGTGGTAAATATGCTATGAAAAATCGAGGCAAGTACCATATATGCAAATTTGCGTCATAACTCGTAAGGGCTTAATGAGTGTGTTATCAGCGTCATTGTCAAGTACCATTTATGCAGACGATTATCAAGGACGTTCTACATTCAAGGAGATTGCATCTGCATGGCCATATTCGTCGATGCCGAATGAAGAAATGCATGTTTAATTCGAGTGGTCAATTAGTACTAGGATAAAATTATAGTGACGGTGTGAAATAAATTGATAAGTCGAGTGACCAAATAGAAAAAATGTCTTCACTACACTGATGGAGAGATTGGTGAGAAACAAAATATAATTAGGGGCATATACGTTGGATTGAATTAGTAAATACTCCGTAAATGTACGTATTTTATTCGTTTAAAATATTCGTATCAGTATTATTGTTAAGCCATTTCATTTATTTCTGTTCATTTGACGACTCTCATACTAAACATGTATAAAAGCTGTATAACACGTTTAATATCTGTATTTAATAAAATATATTATTAACTTTACTATTTTTTAAATATTTATTTATTTATAAAATTAATTAATTTTATATATTTATGAATATTAGCGTACTATTAAATGTAACATTAGTTATGAGTCGAAATATAATACCCATACGTATTTTATACATAACTTTCCTGTACTGTATTTTACTAAGGGGTCGTTTGGATGAGGAATTCTAATGGATCAATCTGACACAATTGTCTCGTTTTGAGTCAATTGTGCTACATTGATCCGTTTGGCAGCAGAAAATTTGGATGAAGCAATTTGGACTGGGGAATTCTGAATTGACTCATTTTGAGCCAATTACAATTGTCTGGGGTGGGGGCAGGTAATCTGAATTGACTCGTTTTAAATGTCTCGTTTTGTAAAATGAAACAATTGGTCAAATTGTCTCGTTTTACAATTGATCCATCCAAACGACCCGTAAGATTGAGAAAGAGTTCGTATTATCTCTGATCGGAGAGGTGGGCGGAATTTATCGTAATGCATCCATAGCGTTGGGCCTTCTGTGCAAAAAAGCCTCTTGAGCTGATAGGCCCGTTTTAATTCCTGACTTAGCCCGGGCTTGTAGGCTATACATCAACGCTGCAAATCCATGCAGAGTAGCGGCCCGAACGTAGAGGGGAAATACACATCACTATCATTTTAATTAAATAAAAAATCAATTGCAGAGGTTGTTAGAGCAAATCAATTAATTGCTTGATGAATACAGACAAATTTGTATACTTTTAAGAGACTGTCTCGACGATTTAGAAATAACCCGTGCATGAAAGAAGAATCACTCCAATAACTAGGGCGGGAAGTTTGGTACCGGTATTTGAGATATACCAAATACCATATCGAATTTGTCTATATTTTGTATTACCAAATACACGTATTATTTCTTGGGATTGGGATTGGAAGTGAATTTCAATTGTTATTCGGCATTAGGAATTACGATATTGGGATCGGATACCGAAATATAAGTTAGTGTTTATTTTATCCTATCAGCTAGACTATCTCATTCACTACTACACAACACTCAACCACCAAGAGTGTCATTTAATTATACATAGATCATTTCATCACTATTTCACAACTTAGAAGCCCCCATCAAACTCAAATTTGACTTTAAAATTTAAGTCACTCTCGTCTCTCACCTAATCTCTTGTAATTTTCGTAACACCAAAATGCAAACACTAGTATTAGTCGTCTCACAACCTCCAATTCGCCAAATTAAAGATTACCAATGACAAAAACTTGAGATTGCACCTCTCCTCCATTCTCCTTATCAATATCCTAGCTCTAGGCAAACTCATAACTCTTTGCTTTGCCTCTTCGCCCGAAATTAAACTATAAAATCTAATTTATATATTGAATTATTAATTTTATAGTAATTAATTTCGTATTCGATAATACCGATTGGAATAGCGAAGTACCGATTGGGATACCGAAATATTAGGGATTGGGATTGATTTTAGAGTGTAATTCGGTATTCGAAATTTCGGTATTCGAAATTGTGATACCAATACCGTACCGATTTCCACCCCTACCAATAACAATATACAAACATGAATAAATGATGTATATCATATCTTTATTGGTTATGCCTTATTGAACGTGATTTCCCCGACATCTGGACTAATCTACGAAAGTATATGAGACTCCAAGTTATTTTCTCATTAGGTTTTTCTTTGTTGTTTCATACATACATGCACAGAGCATGAGCAATGGCGGACCCAGGATTGTTGGAGAGGGGTGTTGCCTAATGAAGGAGTATCGGCTATAATTATCAAAGCGGTGTCGGAAATCTCGTATTAAAATTTTTTGTACCAAAATTTTGGGCGAAGGGGTGTCGGACGACACCCCTAAGCAATGAGTAGGTCCACCCCTGAGCATGAGACTAGTAATACAACACCCCTAACTAGACATGGAAACGTGACTTTCAAAATGAGACCGTAAAATATGAGCAAAAAAAGAACGTGAGAAAGTCATGTGAAAATCGATAGTCATGCGCGAGACTCCCTTTACGAACGCGTCCATCCACGTGTAGATGCCTCCAAAACATGCATGCTATTAGTGGCGGACCCAGGATTGTCGGAGAGGTATGTCGCCGATAAAATACGATAATAATTAAAAATTAAATAAAAAATTAATTAGAAATTATTAGAAATTAATTTATAAAGTTCACAATGTCATGTTTACAACGAATCAAAATGACTTTTCATCTACTTAAATGTCTCTAAAATACATTCATCACTTATGCTGCAAAGCAAATCTTTTTCAAATATACACAACAATCATTCATAAATTTGTCACCCAACCGATTTCGAAGATCGTTCTTGATTATCTTCATAGCTGAAAATGCTCTTTCACAGCTTGCATTTCAACATATAAAGTCATACCAACTTCAAAAGCAAGGATTCTGGTGAGTCTCGACAGTTGTCGCTTGGGCTTTGGTGATTTTTTTGTTTCTCCATTGGTGAAAGGACCAATCCCAGCACACATGTATATTGGTATGGCATGTGGGTTTTTTTAATAGCAATTGATATGATTATGAGTTCTTTTAAACAAATTAAAAATGAATTTTGTTAATTAGAATTTAAGATTGATTCATTTAAATAATAAAATTCTTCCAGTCTAATGAAGGTGTGTCGGCTATAATTATCGAAGGGTTGTCAGAAGTCCAGAACTTAAAATTTTTGTGCCGAAAATATGTAGGTCCTTCACAAAATTCTCGGGCGAGGGTGTGTCAGACGACACACCCTCCCTTGCTTTAGGTCCGCCACTGCATGCTATAGCTTCCTATCTATATATATTTGTAGGGGTAAATTGCAAGGTTGGTCACTGGAAGTGCTAAAATATTCACGTTTGGTCACTAAAAGAATTTTATTCCATTCATGGTCACTGAAAGTGCTTAACGTTTCATGATTGGTCACTCTCCGTTAGTCTCTGTCCATCTCCGCTAACAGAGTCTGTTATCTGCTGACGTGACTAACAGAAATGCCAAATCATCCTGATTTAACCCGGTAAAAAAGGAGACCCGACCCGTGAATCCAACGTAACCCATGATACGGGTTGACCTAAGAACAAGCCAATAAAATTAAAAAGGAAGAAACAGGGGGTTGTTTTTCCTAATCCATCTCCTTCTTCCCTAGACTCTTCCTCTACCCTTTTTTGCAAAATTAGTCCAAGACCAGCCTTGTTCTTCTTCATCGCGCCTCTTCTTCTTCCTCTATTCTTTCCACCCCACTTGAAACTCTAAATCCACTTGCAGCTCTCTTTTCTCCCATTCTCAGCTCATCGCTTCATTAATAATCACCAAGAACTACTTGAATCTGTACTAGAGTCATCGAATCGCAACACCAACAAAATTTGTTGAACCCACCGTCTTTCCACCTCTGCATCTCGTCCGCAGACATCGTCGACGGATCTAGATTCTACGGGGTGAACATGAGCGTGGGGAGCTGCTATGCCATCCCGATGAGCACCGTGAATCACCACAAACACATATCAAACATTTTAGTATCTAGGTTTCCCAAAAGCTTTAAAAGAGGCAAAGATGAGAAGGAAGCAGCGACAGCTGGCCAAGAAAAAGATATACCAGAAAATCATCCACTGTTGTTAGTAAATCGTTAGAAGATCGCCTCTTTGGATCCTTAATCGCAGACCAGATCCCCAATCGTGGTATGCTATGCTCCTGATTCTTTCCGCCTCCCACGTCAACAAAACCTCAAGAGCTCCCAATCGTGGTCTGCTCTGGGTTTTGGCCAAAAGGGGGAAAAATTGTCTTCTCCGCCCAATTCAAGATGGGTCTGGTTTTTCATATTGTGGTTGAGAGAGATTTCTTGAATCTATCTGAGACCAAGTTTGATTCCTCATCCAATAGAAACTCCCACGATGATGATTGATGAGGCGGCAACAGAAGGAGAATATGAAATTGAGATGGAGATTTCAATTGGAAGAAAAAGAAGAGGAGAGGCAGGGTCGGGTTATGTGGTTTGGTTGGATCGTGTGGGGTTTTTTTTACGTGGCGGGTTGATTTATATGACATGACATGTTTAATTGGGTGAATCAACATTGATGTTAGCCACGTCAGCAAAACATTAACGGTGTTAACGGAGACGGACAGAAACTAACGGAGAGTGACCAATCGTGAAACATTAAGCACTTCCAGTGACTACGAATGGAACAAAATTCTTTTAGTGACCAAACATGAATATTTTAGCACTTTCAGTGACCAACCTTGCAATTTATCCTATATTTGTAATCACTCAACATGGATCGATTCCTTTCTCACGTTTCTCCCATAATTAATTAATTTGATCCCAATCTTTTCCCTAGTATACCAACTTTGATGGTGACTAATCACATAAATATTTTGTTTGGCAATTACTTTTTTTTTTTTTTGTGTGGATGAAAAATTCATATAACGTTCTTGTATGTTTGTGATCATTCTAGATATATATAGATATCTACTTTTGTTCTTTTGCCTGATTGCCTCTTCTAGATTAATCTACTGATTAACAGCACCAGAATAAATTACACCTAAGAGATGAGGACACAGATTTTCTGCAGAATTCGTGTCACATACCCAATGGTTTCGTATGCCGCTAGCTAATGTCAATTTCACTGACGGCCGATCCCGCCACCTCAGCATCATTATCAGACAATGTGCTTCTTAATTATTGTTTCCCCGACTTGTTGCTTTCTAATCAATCATTCTAATTGATTATTGATCAACTGTTTAGATGACTAATTAAGTGATTGATTAGCGGCTAACGTTATTGGATTGTCCCTCCAACATCCTCAAGCTTATAATATAACATCATAATAATAATGTATACGTATCTTTATAAACAATTAAAAAAAAAATTGTTGCAATATCACTTTCATGTGACGCCACGTGGGATCATCTTGTTTGCCTCTCCGTCAATCTATGGACCGCAATCCGAAATTCGAACGAACACCAACCACACACGCGTGCCACTGCCATCCCTACCCATTGACATTCCTAAATAATATATCTATCTTCTCAAGGCCTTTGATATCAACCAACCAGTTTGGAGGATGACCAAACCGGTTCATCCTGTTCGGTTCGATCAGGCTTTTCCAGACATACATGCAGTGCCTGTAGCAATTGAAGACGTCCAGATCCATGGACTTGGGTTCGTTCATGTAATTTTATTGATAACCGAGCATTCTCCCGCAACATGGCGCCCAATAAAAATGTATTGCTTTTACTTCAAGCTTCTTCCAGGGTGGATCTTATTTGCCGTTTTGAGGCGCAGTCCAAGTTCCAAGGCCCTTGGACCGTTGTCGTTTTGGGTTCAGTGCCGCCGGCCAGCTTGACCCAATTACTACATACAGCTGTGGATAAGGTCCCCTGTTTCTCTGCAACAAACCTCAAATGGATGAACTTCTTTTAAAAAAACAAGTGCCAAATGGACGCAGCCACCAAACGACCACCGCCAACCACTAGGTCTCGGCGGCGACGTAATTGCCTCGTACCGACGTAGGAATGGCAACGACTAGTATGGAATAGCGCATATTTATTACTCTATTCAAAATAATTTGAAATTTAACATTGTGTATACTCATTCAAGAATTAGATAGAATGTCAAAATCACATTCATATTCGAACGAGTTTTGGATATCAATGGTAATCTATGGATAATAATTTTTCTTTATAACTTCAACCAGTATGTTAACCGTTACACATATGTTCACATTACATAAATGACAGATTAGAAGTTTAGAACAATAAAGTACTAAAACAAAGAAAATTGATGAAAAATAATACAATTTCATGACAATATTATATATGTATGATGAACATAAAACATGTTGAGAAAAATATTGATACTTTTCAAAACAAAATACAAACTTATGTGTATACTCTGGCAGGTTTGATTTAGATAGCGAGAAAATCACACTCACTTATCACAGACAAGATTTGAATTCGGATTTTATCCACACCCATAACAAAATCTTTTGAGTCCGCATTTTACCCACCCGATTAGGTCGGATTCTACTGGATATTTATGGGGTGTGTTATTTTTTTCATCCCTATACCGACGGCACTAACAAAAGAGTACTTTATAAACTTCGAGGGTCAATAGTCAGAGTGTTCTAGCTAGTGGAATTAACCCAAAACAACATCGACAAATTGTTAAGGACTTAAAAGTATTATATATTATCACAGCTTCAGCGACGGCGTTTAACAAACACTTGTGCAAGGGTGCGCAATGAAGGGCTGCCTTGTGAGTTGTGACTCGGGCTTCGCTCCGCTGTGTGCCAACTATCAAGCCCATCTGGCCACCCATTGGACCCAGGCCCATGTGGGCCGGCGGACGACGTGTTACCTGCAGCTCAGACAAATATCTTCTCATTTCCGCCTTAAAATTTTATCCCCAAAAAATCAATTACAGTTGTTAGGAGATAATAATCAGAAGAGACGCGATGAGTCAGAGATGACAGCGCAAAAGAACAATGAGACAAATCAATCCAAATTCGATATGATGAAGTAAAAATGACGTGGCGCCATCGCCCATCGTTACCCCAATCTCGGTCTCTCAAATCGGCGGTACCAAGAGAAGTCACTATAAATAGCTCCCTCCACCATTTTCAGTCGCAGAACTCGTGAGCTTCCATTATCAGCTTTAGCTTAGCTTAGCATCCTATCTCGCTGACCGCAACTTTTCCCCTTCTTCTTCTTCCTAGGAGAGAGAGAAAGAAGAAGAAACAAGCACCTCCATTGCTTTCTCTCCAAATTACATCCACCGCCTTTGTTAACTAATTCGCCTCCGTCGCGGCTTCATCAGGGACCTTGCCGGTGAGTTTTCCGGCGGCCGATTCTGCACTGTGTTTTCGGTTTTCCTTCCCCGCTTCCTTCCTTTTAGCTATTGTGGACTTTGTGGTGACTGGTGAGTGCTGCTGAACATTCTGGACATCTTCGGATGAAGAACTGCTGGCTGGAATTGATGGTTCTATAGTTCTGTTTAGTAATATTGACAATCCATTTCGTGATAATGAGATCTCGAACGTAATCGGTGAACAGTAATCGATCATGCACAGTAACTACGATCTATCCATTCCAAATTGAGCTGCGCTCCGAGCTCTGCTAATGGAGTTTCTGGTTATGGACTATGGTCCAGATTCAGAAACCGCTTTTAGATCCAACACCTTCTTTGCCTTTCTGGCAATCTAATTTCCTCGTGCTTTGCTCTTCCTTTTTTCCTTTCTGTTGATTTGATTCACATTTCTTCTCCTTCTCCGATTTCTTGTTTTTTCCGCTGGTTAACGCTCTGTTCTGGTTTCTTCAAGATACGGCCAAGCCTAGCTTTACGGCTTTACCTTTACAGCCTGATTTTTTTTAAAAAAAATGGGAAAAGGGAGGAGAAACCGCCACTAGAAGGAAACAAAAGAGAAAACTGCCGCTCTTGTGCTCCAATCCCCGTCTTCCACGTCCTCGATTTTCCCAGAATTTCCGGTTTTGCCCCGAAAAAGAATTTGGGTTTTTTTCTGAACGGGAAAAGAAAGAAGAAAAAAATCGAGAGACTGAGGTGTCTGGTTCAGTTCCCCAAGTCGCGACTTACGAAACCTTGCCGTCACCAGCGTCAGCCGCCGGCGAATGAGACTCCACCAATTCCGTTTTCGTTTTTGTTTGCCTTACCTTGGGCGGGTGGTTATTGCGTAATCCAGCGTTAACCGCCGCCGCCTTCTCTGTTGAGGGGTTTGATTACGTAGACGCAATGATGTATCTGCGCGTAAAAAGTTTGAACACTCACTTTTTCCTTCTGCATGAAGGCTCGGGGTTGGATTCCGGCGACAACGGCGGCATTTTTTTCTCCCCACTTCTTTGACCTAATTTCAAAGCGGAATTTCTGATTCCGGCCAGTCCTGGTCGTCGAATTTGGTGGGAAATGCTACGGGTAGGAAGCCCGCGGCAGTTATGGTGGGCTGGTCTTTGTTCCGGGAACAAGTTCAGTAGCCGTCGGAATTCTCAATTAAGCTTCCACAGGAAATTGTCCGATCTTGCTACTAAACGTCCCACAAACGCTAGAAACCCCAACACCCTGCTCCTTTCATTCCATGGAAGAAACCCTAAACCTTTAGGTGCTCTTTTAAGTTTCATTTTGTGCCGTGATTGGTTAAACATGTTCTGGAACTTGCATTTTAGTTCTTTGGTGTACGACGGGTTTGGGCTGATGTGTTTTTGGTTCAATTGTTGATGTAGATACAAGGAGCTCAACTGCAATCATGACGGTTATCCCGAAGATCTCAATCAACGATGGGAACCTGGTGGTTCATGGGAAGACCATCTTGACTGGAGTGCCTGATAACATTGTGCTCACGCCTGGTTCAGGAGTTGGGCTGGTGGCCGGCGCTTTCATCGGTGCTTCTGCAGAAAACAGTAAAAGCTTGCATGTCTTTCCCGTCGGTGTTCTTGAGTAAGTTTCAGAAACATTTTGTTATGGATATTGATTACTGTTTGTTGGGTTTGTTTTTTGATTTGGAGTCCTGTCTTGGCCTTGTGGATGCGCAGGGGTCTGCGATTTATGTGCTGTTTCCGATTCAAGCTGTGGTGGATGACCCAGAGAATGGGAACTAACGGGAAAGATATTCCATTGGAGACCCAATTTCTGCTTGTGGAAAGTAAGGGAGGTGGTGAAGGAGTTGATCAAAATGATGGCGAGACCATTTATACCGTGTTCCTGCCTCTCCTGGAAGGACAGTTCCGCGCTGTTCTTCAGGGAAATGACAGGAATGAGCTGGAGATTTGCTTGGAGAGTGGTTAGTGTTTTTCCATTTTGGCAATCCATACTGTTGTCTATAGTGCTCATATCCTGAGCCAATGTGTGTTACGATTTCCTATACTGTTGGTACATCAGTAGTAGCATATGGTGAAGATTAAGGGTAAATAAAGAGTTAGGAGGGTCGTAGTTCAAGTAGAACCGAGACGATGAAATTCTTCTTTGATTTGCAGGGGATTCAGCTGTTGAAACCAATCAGGGTCTTCACCTTGTCTACATGCATGCTGGGACCAACCCATTTGAAGTCATCAGCGAGGCTGTAAGGTGAGGCCCGAGCCTTTGTTTTTAGCTGAAGTTGGTGGAGATCAGTGGTGCAACAGTTCCAGTTGCCATGCTTATCTCAGTTTGTAATAACTTAATTTGTTTCCTCGTGGTTTAACTCATGCTGTTTTGCAAAATCAGGGGTGTTGAGAAACATATGCAAACATTTGTACATCGAGAAAAGAAAAAGGTATGGATACTTTTCTACTGAGCTTCTGTCGGTGTTGGGAAACTTCAGTTATATAGATACAGTACAGGAATTTGATGATCTGATATCTATTGTTTGCTTCATGTAGTTGCCTGGTTTTCTCGACTGGTTTGGTTGGTGTACCTGGGATGCATTTTACACAGATGTTACAGCTGAGGGTGTTGAGGAAGGCCTCAGAAGGTAATCAAGAAACTAAGAATGTTTCTAACAAAGCTTCAGTTAGCTCTTGTTTGAACTAGTGGCGATGCTTAATAAAGAAAAAAATGAGAAGGCTAATCTAAACTGACTTGTTTCTGTTGATCTTGGCAGCCTATCCAAGGGAGGTACTCCTCCACGTTTTTTGATAATAGATGATGGTTGGCAACAAATTGAAAACAAAGACAAGGAGGAGAATGCAGTTGTACAAGAAGGAGCACAGTATGATCTTTCTTCCTTTTCGCTCTTCTTCTGATCGATTTCTCTATATCTGTGATTTTTGTCGGACTTTTCTATTGAGATAATTAGATCCACAAACCATAAATAACTTGGGAAATGAGGCTTTAGGTTTGTAGTTTTACCAGTTTCAAAAAATCATGATAAGTCACGTGACCCCCGTGAAGTCCTTTTTTTATGACATATTTATATTCAGGGCAACCTCTGGGATGTCACCATGAGTTCCAATTTTCTTGTGATTGAACTTTTCATATCGATCTTTTGAACTATGAAAGATGTGGAAACAGTAGGCAGTTGCGTGAGTATTTAGATATGATATCACAATTCACAGTTCGACTGCTAGTGTGAATTGATCGACCTTTTCTTACACTTGATCTGTGGCTGCTATCCTTGCTGATTGTTACTTCTTATAACATCTTTGGCTGACTTGGTCATTGTGATTTTCCATTCTGAGTGTTGTCTCCCCTATTTGTTGATATTATGCTGGATGAATAAACTCTCCACTCATTTTATTGAAAAGCTGTTCATTTACTGGTTTTTATTTTCACCAGATTTGCCACTAGGCTCACTGGGATACAGGAAAATGCAAAATTCCGAAAGAGCCATGAAAAGCATGAGGAGTCTAGAGGGTTGAAGCATGTTGTGGAAGATGCCAAGCAACATCAAAATGTCAAGTTAGTGCTCCAGCTTGTGTTTTTAGTTTACTGTCCTGTATGTTGAGCTTAGAATCGCTTGCTAAGTAGATAGTACTGTTCAAGTCATAGGTATCATATGAAGTCTGACCTTTTTCGTTTCTATATCTTTTTCTGTGGCCAGATATGTCTATGTGTGGCATGCTTTGGCTGGGTACTGGGGTGGAGTGAAGCCAGCAGCTACCGGGATGGAGCACTATGACACTGCTCTGGCATATCCAGTTCAGTCCCCGGGTGTGCTAGGGAACCAGCCAGATATTGTCATGGACAGCCTTTCAGTTCATGGCCTTGGCTTGGTGCCTCCGAGGAAAGTTTTCAACTTCTACAACGAGCTGCATGCTTACCTGGCATCCTGCGGTGTAGATGGAGTCAAAGTGGATGTGCAGAACATTATCGAAACACTTGGTGCTGGCCATGGTGGAAGAGTTTCTCTTACTCGCAGCTACCACCAGGCTCTTGAGGCTTCGATCGCACGTAACTTTCATGATAACGGTTGCATTGCTTGTATGTGTCACAACACTGATGGGCTCTACAGTGCCAAACAGACCGCTGTAGTCAGAGCTTCGGATGATTTCTACCCCCGTGACCCTGCCTCCCACACGATTCATATCTCTTCTGTGGCATACAACACTCTTTTCCTTGGAGAATTTATGCAGCCTGATTGGGACATGTTTCATGTAAGTGCACAAAAGATGTCAACAGCAGGGTTATCCTTAATATGTTATGTCTATCATGTGCAATACCTATTAGTTAGTTGAAGTTGTCACACTGGTTTTCTGGTGGGGGTCTGATTTGGATATTTATGACTTTTTGCAGAGTTTACACCCAGCTGCAGATTATCATGGAGCAGCCCGATCAATCGGTGGATGTCCAATCTACGTCAGGTACTTCAACTGGAGTCGATTCTTTATCTGTTACTAAAGCTGAAAGCAAAATGTATTTGATTCAACCAATTGGTGGTCGGCTCTATTTGATTTGGCACCTTGGGTGCCTCGTGTAGATAGAATAAATAACTTCTCAAAACTTCAATTTCACGCATAACTTGCATATTGCATACTGATCATTTCAAAATCAGTCGCTCATTTTAATAACTCTTCATACACTCTTGCACTTCTATTATTCGTTACAACTTGGCCAATGGACTAACTTCTATTATTATATGTTTTATGAAGTGACAAGCCAGGCAACCACAACTTCGAGCTGTTGAAGAAGCTTGTGCTCCCTGATGGATCAATTCTACGTGCTCAGCTTCCTGGCAGGCCTACTCGTGACTGCCTCTTTGTTGATCCAGCAAGAGATGGCACCAGGTAATAATCAAGTCTTTCTGCTATCTGCATCTAACATTCTGGGAAGAACGGTAGTTTGGTCCTTCCCCGTACTGTTTAAGATTGCTAATTGGTGAAAATCACCTCTCTTGCTTTTTCAGTTTGCTCAAGGTATGGAATGTGAACAAGTGCACTGGTGTGGTTGGTGTGTTCAACTGCCAAGGTGCTGGTTGGTGCAAGGTTGAGAAGAAGACACGCATTCACAACACATCTCCTGGTACGCTTACAGCTTCAGTCCGTGCCACTGATGTCGATTCAATTGCCGAAATTGCTGGCGATGATTGGAACGGCGAGACCATTGTCTACGCGTATAGATCAGGTAATAATCTACCTCCCATGATGCCTTCTCTTACAAGTAAAGCTGTTTCCAGCAATACTAATATTAGAAACCAATGCTGCAGGGGAGCTGTTTCGCTTGCCTAAAGGCGCTTCAGTTCCAGTGACGCTCAAAGTTCTGGAATACGAACTCTTCCATTTCTGCCCCGTCAAGGTCTGTCCATCGACCATCATCTTCATGCAGCCTCACATTGTGCCATCGAACTCGGTTCTTACTAAAGGGTGGTTTTTTGTGTTGAAATATGAATTGCAGGAGGTAACTTCAGACATCTCTTTCGCCGCAATTGGCTTGCTCGACATGTTCAACTCGGGCGGGGCAATGGATCAGGTTGAAGTGAATAGGACTACACCTGCAGCGGCTGCAACCATTTCTCTCAGAGTCCGTGGATGTGGAAGGTTCGGCGTCTACTCGTCTCAGCGCCCTGTGAAATGCAGTGTGGCGAATGTAGAAACCGATTTCGACTACGACCCAGCCACTGGACTTGTGACGATGAATCTGCCTGTTCCAGAGGAAGAGATGTACAGATGGCCCGTCGAGTTCCAAGTTTAAGAGCTGCGTTGTTTTGATTGGCTAGCGGTTTGAGGATTGAAGATTTAAGATTCTGAGTCCCAGAATTTCAGCCATTGATTTGTCACTTGACTGAGAAATGTGCTGATTGTAGTGTGTACTGTAATGTTAATGCCTTAATGGCCATGTGTTGCCTTACCAATGCTTGAAGCGAAGAGTAATAAGAAAGTCTTCTGTCTTTGCCATTTAATCAGCGTGATGCGAAACGTTTCTGTATTTCAAACCAAAAGTGAAACGTGTTACAGAACCGTGAAACCGCTATAAGAAACGCAAAAGGCGTTGAAGCAGGCTCAAAGAGTGACATGTTTTGAATGCTGAGGTCTATTGGGCTGAATAATTGGGCCTAATTTGTAAGCCGAAGATAGTGGCCCAACATAGGGGCTTCTTTCATACCCGACGGGCCGAAGAGAGTGGCTCTGCAGCCTGTAATTATTATACGATCAAGTCGGATGCTTTTTCACGAGCCGTAATGTGTATTGAATTATGGTCAATGCTATGGTGCCGCTATAAAAAGTGCAGTACTGGTGCTGTAAAAAGTGCACTATTGGTGTCGCTGTTTTTGATTGAGCCACATGAGCGTGACATGGCACTGGTTTGATCTACACAATAAATAAAAGTCAAATGAGAAAATTTGAAGCTTCATTTCAAATTTCTTGCATCCATAGTGAAAGTAGGAAGGGTAGATTCGTCTTCACAATCACTTATTATTTTCTTATTTACAGGAAAAAAAATCAGTAATGAGATGTGAACCGTAGTTTCTTCGAACAAAGACAAGAAACATAACCAGTTACAATAAACACATTTGTGTGATATTTTTCAAATAAAAACATACAGAAGCTTAAATATGGAAAAATATAAGACTTTTCCTCCACGGTTAGCAACCGAAATGTCATTGATTCAAATATTGTATATATTGAATTGCACTCTTGAATGTGTAGAAGCGATGTAGAATTCTTAACATAGACTTAATTGTTATAACTATCATAAAGTAACGATATTTTTGAACACAGAACTTTTGAGTGAATATGGGGCACATGTGTCTTTAAGAGGGGTAAATATGGAAAGGTTGAGTGATGTTGGTTTGCCAAACACGGATGGAAAAGACACTACTAATGTAAACGGGTCCAAATAGTGCCCCGACCCACTAAACGCTCAACCATCGTCGTCTCTCCAAACTTCACATCAGACTCAACAACCGGCTAACCTCCTCTACCTCTATTGTTAAGCTAGAGCAATTTTTGGAGGGGGAAATATGGAAAGATTGAGTGTTGTTGTTTGCCCAACGCAAATGGGAAAATGTGCTACTTATGTAAACATGCCCAAATAGTTTCCGACCCACTAAACACTCAACCACCAGGTTACTTTCGCTACACCTAATATAAGAGTGAAATGGGAAATGTGCACCCCCCATTACAAAATCCCTGCATCCATAGCAAAAGTAGGAAGGGTAGATTCGTCTTTACAGTCATTTATTATTTTCTTATTCATATGAAAAATACATAAGTGATCGAATTTGAATTTTGTCTCTTTGAGAAAAGACAAGAAACATAACCAGTTACACTAAACAAATTTGTTTAAACGTTTTAAATTAAAAACATACAGGAAGCTTAAATCTGAAAAATCATTGGAATTTTACATCACAGTTAGCTAAGCCACTAACTCTCCCCTAAATATTTTTTTGGTATTTGATACTTCTATTTTCATACTTTGATTATTTTAATTCGAGTTTAACAATTAATTCTATTTCTCTTTATCTTATAAAAAGATAATAATTTTAAAATCGCAAGCCTAATGTCATTGGTGCAAATATTGCACATCATACTTAAATAATATAACTATAAAAAAGCAACAATCTTTTTGAACATAGAAGTTTTGAGTGAATATGTGGCACATGTGTCTTTAAGAGAGGGGTAAATATGGAAAGGTTAAGTGATGTTGGTTTGTCGAATGCGGATTGAAAAGCCGCAACTAATGTAAATAGGTCTAAATGGTGTCCCGACCTACGTACTGAACGATCAACCATCGTCGTCTCTCCAAACCTTCCCATTGGACTCGACAACCGTCTAACCTCCTCCACCTATATTGTTAAGAAAAGCAATTTTCGGAGGGGTATATATGGAAAGATTGAGTGTTCTTGCTTGGAGAGCTGACTGGTGGGTTATTTAGTTTATTTGACAGTAATGTGTGATCTCTTAAGATCAGTTCATTTGGTCGATCTTCTAGGTTGACTTTTGAGTTTATTAAATATAAACAGTGTCCCCGGCTCCCGTCCTACTAAATGCTCAACCATCACCGTCTCTCCAAACCTTCCCATCGGACTCGACAACCGCCTATCCTCCTCCACCTATATAGTTACACAAAGCAATTTTCGGAGGGATATATATGTAAAGGTTGAGTGTTCTTGCTTGGAGAGCTGACTGATGGGTTATTTAGTTTCTTTGATAGTAATGTATGATCTCTTAACAGTTGTTCATTTGTTTGATCTTCTAGGTTGACTTTTTAGTTGATTAAAGATAAATAATTATACTTTTTGTTGCTTTTGTTATGATACTCCTTTTCAGTATCATCATTTTTCTGATTTGAAATGTTTTGGTGGTTAGTTTCCAGTGAACAAAGACTATTCTGATTAGTGTTAACATAGGGAATAGCTTCAATCATACCACTTTTACACAAAATTTATATGTAAGAGCTGAGATCATTGCCGACTTGAACTATTCAAGCTATAATGCTGATCTTCAACATATAAACCATAGTTTATTTTGACTGAAACAACCTCATGATTGCATATAAGTTTTTACAATATGATGTTTTGTGATAGTGTTTACTTGCTTCCCGATTTAAAAGTGGGGCTCTAATTACTACAATCTACACATAATATAATAACATGAAGGTAAAAATCCTTCTCCCATTTCAAATTTCCTGCTCCATGAGCGTTTGTAGGAAGAGTATAATAGGGAGTGTCAATTTTTTTTCTCTTTCCTCTGTGGAACGAGCCAACTACCCTACACGTGCGGACTTGAACGGGCCCAGAGATTGTTGCGGCCCACAAAAACAGAACAGGTTCCAGCCATGGCCGCATCTGTTTCATGCCTCCATAGCGATCACCGTAACCGAGTCTTGGATTGTTCCGATGCTGGATCTGGACTCCACCAACGTCGAGAATAAATGAGATAATTAGAGAAAGAGAACTTCATAATTGTTTACAAAATAATTTCCCCAATCCTTCTTCCGTGTGCTAATCGCCTAATCCCTTCTCTATGAAAAGAAATCCAAGCATACTAAAAAGATCCAGTCATGCTCATGAAGAAGGGTGATAAATTGCATGCAAGTAAAATTTAAAGATTGAGTCATTTAATCAAATCATAATCAACCACCCCTTTTTTCATCATTTGTAAGCTCTAACAGATAAGTGACAAAGAAATCCACAATATCGCTTCACTGTAATAATACAGTATTATTGAAGATTGGTGGCTTTCTCTTCTTCTTCGTTAAACTAGCGTCGAAGATTTACAAAGAGGGGGGGGGGGGGGGGGGTTAAACAAGTGATAAGTGATAAGAGAATGGAAGATTAAGAAATGAAAAACAGAGACCGAGAGGGGGTGGAAATTGACGTTCGGGGGGGGGGGGGGGGATGACATGCAGGAAAAAGTTTTGCAAAGCTAAAATTAAGGACAAGAACACAGGGATGGGGAGAAGTGGCTACCAGCGGTGATATAATTGAGATAGAGAGTAAGAAGTGAACCATGAGCCGGTGAGCAATGAGTAGCTTTTTCTATGGGATATAGGATTTTCTTTAAGCCCTTTGATTTCTCAGTGTTGGTAAGATATATATGAAAGGGCAAAACAATACTCATTTTTATTGCTAAAAAGAAAAATTTTAAAATAAACTAATGCATGACTTCTAATGGGCTAACCGCTAACCATAGAATAAAAGAGTTGAATGTGCCTGACTCATACGGGATTTGACCATCAAGTTTCAAGTAAAACAAATGAACATCATGAGTTTGCCATCCTAAAACATGCTATTTTCTCTAGCATAACATATATTATTCTATTATTTTATATCTTAGTGGCTAAAATATAATGTATTTTAAAGTTATTAAATGGTTCGACCTCGACCAACGTGATTAGTCCAATTTTTATAATTTCAAATATATATATATTATGTAATTATTTGATATCCTAATGATTAAATTATAGTGTATTATATAGGGAATTTTTTATTCGATTTTCTGGAATTCGATTTCTATAAAATTTACTCCACCTCATCATATTACCAGAAATAATACTGTTTCACAAGGTAACAGGTACTCGAACTTGGGTCATAAGGCTGATTTTTTTGATTCGTTGCATCAACCATGCCTCTTTCCTGCTAAAATTCACTATCTTTATCATGTGTTTTCAAAAAAAAAAAAAAAAAATACACAACAATAAGCTATACACCCCATTACATTCTCAAATTTCATATCTCACCTTCCTCCGATCAACTGATCGGGCGCCACGCTAGTTTATTAATAAGCCCAAACCGATGGCCCATCAGACCTATCCAAACCGCAGCTACCAAAAACTAACGGAGAACCTTTAGTCCTCACACGATGTTTAGCTTTCTTTCACCAATTAATATATATATAATTAATTTAACTTTTAAACGGATTTTTTTCCTGGAACAGAACCGAAAAAGCATACGAAGTGGCATAGCAGAGACAGAGAGACTTATCTCCTTCACTCTCGCGCTGCATCTGGAAGAAACAGTTTCGACGATCTTCACCGTGATCCAATCTCGAGTTTGTACTATGTGCTTCCACTAAAGCCACTAATTGTATTTCTGTGGTTGCTTCTTAGTTTATTCATTTTGGATACAAACACCTGGATAAATGAGCTCAAGTGACCCAGATAGCATCAGGTAACAACGAATGTGTGGTGTAAAACCCTAACTTGATTTCTCATTGATCATCTTTTGGGTTTTATACAAGGAAAATGAAGGAAGAAGACAAGCTTCAGTGAGCTGTCGATTACAGCAAAGGAGAAAGGAGAACAGAGTTCTGAAACGAAAGTACAAGGAAGAAAGTGACACTGTGTCTGTCTCTTGGTCACAACGACGGCGTATCGACCTTCTGCTTCCCTTTGTCCCGAGACGACGTTGTTGGCTTCAATACACTCGCCCTTCCTGAAACGATGTCGGACCAGCTAGGCCTGCAAGTAGCCGTTGTGATTAAAATCGGGTTTTGGGGATTTTCATCTGATACCACCCCCCCCCCCCCCCCCACAAGCTGGTGGGCACAGATTGTGCAAACCAAACTTGGAGAGAAGAGTAGAAAATGTCGCAGGTGGCAGAGCCTTGGTGAAAAGATCGGCTAGCTGGTGAAGAGAAGAGACATGGAGTAGCTTGATTGTTGCACTCTGGAGCTTTTCGCGCACGAGGTGGCAATCGATTTCGATGTGCTTCGTGCGTTCATGAAAAGTCGGATTCTCTGCGATATGAATAGCAGATTGGTTGTCGCAGTAGAGAATTGCAGGCATTGAATGTGGAACTTGGAAGTCTCGGAGAAGGTATAGCAACCATTGAAGTTCACAAGTGGCATCGGCCATGGCCCTGTATTCAGCCTCACAGGAAGAACGTGAGATGGTCTTTTGCTTCTTGCTACGCCATGAGACCAGAGAAGAACCCAAATAGATGCAATAGCCAGTGACAGAGCGGCGTGTATCCATACAGGCGGCCCAATCAGAGTCACAAAAGGACTTGAGATGGAGATCAGAGGATGCTGGGAAGAATAGACCAGTGGATGGAGCCGATTTTAAGTACCTCAAAACTCTGCCCACATCTTGAAAGTGTTGATTGCTGGGGTTTGACATGTATTGGCTAATCTGTTGGGTAGCAAAACTGATGTCAGGTCTGGTGGTGGTGAGATAGATCAGTTTGCCAACAATTCTTCTGTAGTATGAAGGATCTGGATAGGGGTCAGAATGGTTGGCAGAAAGATGGAGCTTGTAATCCATGGGAGTGGAGACTGGTTTGGAGAGTAGAACTTCACCCTCTTCGAGGATCTCAAGAGTGTACTTCCTTTGAGACAAATGAATGCCTGATGAGTTCCTGGCAACCTCAATTCCAAGGAAAAACTTGAGGGGACCAAGGTCTTTGATGCTGAAGGTGGTGTGAAGGAACTGCTTGAGGGTGTTTATCTCTGTCAGATCAGTGCCTCCGACAACAAGGTCATCCACATATACCAGAACACAGGTGAAATTTGAACCAGTGGACTTATAGAAAAGAGAATGATCAACCTGGCTTGGTGTGTAGCCAAGACTAGTGAGACTATCTGCAAGCTTGAAGAACCACTGCCTTGAAGCCTTCTTAAGGCCATAGAGAGATTTCTTTAACCTGCAAATAGGGTTTTTGATGTGGGGTGGAGCTTTGTATCCTTTTGGGAGCTTCATGTATACTTCCTCAGTGAGATCTCCATGGTGGAAGGCATTGTTCACATCCAGTTGGTGAACATGCCAGGATTTGGCTGCTGCAATTGCTAAGAAGAAACTGACTGTGGTCATTTTGACCACTGGGCAAAGGTGTCTTGGTAATCAATGCCCTCCTGTTGATTATACCCTTTGGAAACCAGTCTTGCCTTTTCTCTCTCAAGACTGCCATTAGAAAGGAACTTGTATTTGAAGATCCATTTGTTGCCAAGAGGTTTCCTATTGGCAGGTAAGCTCATAACATCCCAAGTTTGATTCTGTTCAAGAGCATCAATCTCGTGATTGATTGATTGATTCCATTCTGGTCTTTGTGCAGCTTCTTCATAAGTCTCAGGTTCTTTGTAACATGAGATGTTAAGAATGAATTTGAGGTATGGTGGAGACAATGAATTGTAATCAAGTACATCAGAAAGAGGGTAGGTGATACCTGGAAAATGTTGTTAAAGAGAATGACTGGAGGAAGAAGCCTGCTGAAGTAGGTTGCAATGGTAGTTTTGGAGTTTAGATGGTTGTCTAATAGTTCTGGTGGGTTTTCTGATAGCAATGGGAAGGTCTGTGGGAGGAGATTGATTGGTAAGGGGCTGAGGATAAGGAGGAGGAGAAGGTGGGGGTGATGGGACTGGGGAAAGGTTATGTGAAATTAGTTCTGGTGTGTCAGAAGAGAATGGGAGTGGATAGGTGTAGGTTGGTGGAGAGGGTACTGAATGAGAAGACGAGGAAGGGGTGGGATGGAATGGAAATTCTGTTTCATAGAAATGGACATCCCTAGAGGTGAATATATCATGGGTCATCAGTTCATATATCATGTACCCTTTGATTCCTGGAGTGTAGCCCAGGAAAACACCTTTTCTGGATCTTTCTTGGAACTTATTTCTATGACTGGTAATGGTGGAAGCATAGCAGAGGCAGCCAAAAACTTTTAAGTCTTGTAGATCAGGTGGCTTGTGGTGGAGTTTTTCATAGGGGGTTAGGTTGTTAAGAACTGGGGTTGGGACCCTATTGATGAGAAAGACAGCATGTTTGACACAGTCTCCCCAGAAACCAATTGGAAGGTTTGCCTGGTATTTTAAGGCTCGAGCTATAGCTAGGATATGTTGGTGTTTGCGCTCGACTTTGCTGTTTTGTTGGGGTGTCTCTATGCATGACATTTCATGTATGATTCCAGTTTGGTCAAAAAAATTTGTCATTAGGAATTCCTTCCCTTGGTCACTTCTAATTGTTTTAACAGAACAAGCACACTGGTTTGTGACCATTGTGCAGAAGTTTTGCAATTTTGGTCTGGCTTCTGCTTTGGATTGAAGAAGAATGAGCCAAGTCATTCTGGAATGATCATCCACGATGGTAAGAATATATTTAAAACCATCATATGTAGGAGAAGAGTTTGGACCCCATATGTCTACATGTATGAGTTGAAAACAAGTAGTAGTTACAGTTGTGCTTGATGGAAAAGGAAGCCGTTTTTGCTTGGCAAAATGGCAAACATCACAGGGTAATAAACTGTTGGTTTCTATGGAATCACAAAGTAGTTTCAGCTGTGGTATTCTGCTATGGGAGACATGTCCAAGTCTGAAATGCCAAATGTCAAAAGTGGGGGAACTAACATCTGCTGTGATGTGGTTAGGTGTACTATCTAAAGGAAGATTGAGGTGGTAAAGGCCATGGAGGAGCTTAGCAGAACCAGTCACTCTCCTCAGCTTCAAGTCCTGTATAGTGCAAGAATTAGAAGAGAAAGTTAAGTTGAGAGAGCTGGTAGTTGTGAGCTTTCTCACTGAGAGGAGATTGAAGGTGAATTGGGGAACAAAGAGGACATCATGAAGAGTCAAACCATCAAGGCATTTGATTTGGCCTTTATGTGTGGCCTGAACTCTATCACCAGTGGGGAGATTTATGAAAATATGATGTACTTGTTGTGAATTAGAAAGAAAGGAAATGGAATTGACAATGTGGTTAGTGGCACCAGTATCAATGATCCATGGAATGACTGTGCCAGTGTGATGAGTGATATTGCAGGAAGGGTTACCTGATGAGCTAGATGTGTAATGAGTGGTAAGAGCTGCTGAGTGGGAGGACCTGCCCTTCATGGTCTCATTCATGAGAGACATCAGTTTGTCATAGTCTGACTTGGTGAGTTTGAACTCCTGGACAGGTTCAGGTGAAGGGTGACTGTCAGCAGTGTTGATAGAGGACCTTGGTCTTGGAGGACCTGCAGGTCTGGACTGGGAAGGGGGTGGATTTTTATGTTTCTCGAAACATTTCTCCTCAGTATGCCCTATGCGTTTGCAAAAGGTGCATTCAGGGGGTTTAGAAGAAGGAGTGGAGGGAGCAGTGGATCCCCTTGGAGTGTAGCCTGGTGGCCAACCATGCTTATGGTAGCATGTTTCTTCTGTATGACCAGGTGTGTTAGAAGGTGCAGTGAGGGCGTTTGCCAGAAGGGAATGGGCGTTTGTAGCCCTGAGCAGCAAATGCTGAAGGTTCAGCTGTGACCAGTTGGCCTTGTTGGGTACCAAACAGTTGTCTCTCGTGTTGGAGAGCACGTTGAAAGACCCTGTCTATTGATGGCAAGGTGTCTCCAAAGAGTACTTGGGATCTCACAGTTGCAAAATTATCATTCCAGCCACGAAGGAACTGGATAACTGAATTGACATCTTTGTAACCAAAAACAGCATTCATGGAAACACAGGTTGTGTGACTGGTGTCTGTACAGCGACAGGGATCTATGGGTTGATAATTATCCAGTTCATCTTGGAAGGCTATGAGATTCCCATAGTATTCAGTCACAGATTGGTTACCTTGCTTGATGGTGGCAATGGCGCCAATCAGCTCTGCAACTCGAATCATGTCCCCTTGGCCATAGCGTGATTTGAGGCTTTGCCAAGCTTCATAGGCAAGTTTGCAGGACATGATGGTTTTCTTGATGAGGGGATCAACTGCCTGTTGGATCCAACTGAGGACCATGACATTGTTTCTTTTCCAGGAAGAAAAGGAAACATCTGTTGGGGCAGGGGCCACGAGTGTGCCATGGATGAAGCCAAGCTTGTTCTTGGCGGCCAATGCGTTGAGCATAGCCTTGCTCCAGTCGTTGTAGTTGGTGGTGGTCAGCTTCTCACCTACCAACAGCAGTCCTGGTTGATCAGAACCATGAAGAAAGAAAGGATCCGACATGGGATCCATGTTTGGATGTGCTTCTTGAGCGGCCATTTGGGAGGCGGCGGCTAGGGTTGCTCTGATACCATAACAACGAATGTGTGGTGTAAAACCCTAACTTGATTTCTCATTGATCATCTTTTGGGTTTTATACAAGGAAAATGAAGGAAGAAGACAAGCTTCAGTGAGTTGTCGATTACAGCAAAGGAAAAAGGAGAACAGAGTTCTGAAACGAAAGTACAAGGAAGAAAGTGACACTATGTCTGTCTCTTGGTCACAACGACGGCGTATGGACCTTCTGCTTCCCTTTGTCCCGAGACAACGTCGTTGGCTTCAATACACTCGCCCTTTCTGAAACGATGTCAGACCAGCTAGGCCTGCAAGTAGCCGTTGTGATTAAAATCGGGTTTTGGGGATTTTCATCTGATATCAGGACAAAGCAATGTAGCTGATCTCACCATGATCATCAACTGGTTCTTTGAAAAGGTAGCAAGAGCTGTCAATGTCCCCTGTGACTGTGAGTGACCAACGTAATTCATGTTTTGGGCTTTTGGCAAGTTTGGTTATGATTTATGAACATAACCAACTGTAGCAGATCGACAGATCATAGTTCACCAGCCCATCCCATGATCAGTTCCAGTAAGTCTGATTTCATATATTGAGCTAAACAATTCATCAAAGAAAACCCTTTTGATTTGGGGGAGATTTCTACTTGGTTCTAGTGTTTCACAGGAAATGTATGTTTGAGGAGGGTCAGTTACTGGACTAATTGACCATGTAAAAAGAGCAACTGATGTACATAATGAATGAAGGGTCATGGGATAAAAAGATAAAATTTTGATATGTAATTTAGTGGATGAAACATTTGACCTGATTATATTTCTCTTACATTTGTCATTACGGCCAACTATGCTCTTACCTTTTATTCTTTTTTTTTTTAAATTCAGCATTGAAACTTAAAAGGCTAAGTTGATCGGTTGCGATCTTATTGTTGTTATATTAAAAAAGTATTGAAACATATGAGAATGTTTAGAAAAGGACAGATTGATTTTGTGAAATTCTTTCTTGTCATTCACAGCAGCTCAGCTGCAGAGTATATACAGGAAAAATGGAAGCTACAGGACAAACAACCATAACGCCCTTGTCCACTAGAACAATTACACGTGCCTAAGCTAGGCATTTACAGAGAAACAAAATAAATAAAACTCTAAATATATGTACAGTAAATAAAAGCGCTGCCGTTTCATCCTCCATTCTTCTTGTTGCTGGGTTTCAGTCGATTTGTTTGAATCTTCTCCTTTCCCTGTTCTGCAATTGACCGTTGCTGGGGCTGAGCTTCCTCTTCTTCTTCTTCATCTTTCTCTTAACTCACCATGGGATTCATCAGCCCCCCACAAGCTGGCGAGTATATGTCATATACTCCCAGCTTGAACAAAATCCACTTGAAGCGATGTGCACTTAACCCTTTTGTGAAAATGTCAGCCAAATTGCGATCTGTGCAGACATACTTCAAGGTAATCAACCTCGAATTTACTCTTTCTCTAATCACATGGCAGTCGATCTCTATGTGTTTTGTTCTTTCGTGGAACACGGGATTTTCTGCCATGTGAATAGCTGACTTATTGTCACAATACACAGTAGCTGGTCCTTCGTATTTGACATTCAAATCTTTTAGCAACTGAGTTATCCACTGTACCTCACAGGAGAGCTGGGACAGAGCTCGATACTCTGCTTCGGATGATGACTTCGAGACAATAGCTTGCTTCTTAGCCTTCCAGGTGATGAGTGAGCTCCCAAGGAAGGTACAGTAGCCCGTAATTGATTTTCTAGTGTCAGGGCAAGCCCCCCAGTCTGAATCGGTGTAGCCTGTTAATGAAAAAACAGTGTCTGATGCAAAGAACAGACCTTGTCCTAGACTGCCCTTGAGATATCTCTGCACTCTGTGTGCTGCTTTGACATGAGAAACCTTTGGTTGAGCTTGGAACTGACATAGCTGCTGCACTGCGTATGCTATGTCAGGCCTTGTTGTGGTCAAGTAGTTCAGTCTCCCCAGCAACGACTTGTATTCATAAGGATTTACCAATTCTTCATCATTGAACTGTGACAACCTGGTCTTCATGTCTGATGGGGAATTAACAGGCTTTCCATTTAAGAAACCTGTGTCTTGTAATAAGTCCAAGCAATACTTCCTTTGACTAACTGATATTCCACTTGCACTTCTTGCAATTTCCAAACCTAGAAAGTACTTCAACTCCCCTAGGTCTCTCACTTTGAACTGCTGTGATAGGTAATTCTTGGCTCCTTGTATGAGTTTCATACTGTTGCCAGAGAGTATAAGATCATCCACATATACCAGCATGACTAGAATACCTTCAGGTGTTTGTTTGGTGAAGAGGGAGTAGTCAGAGTAAGACTGAGTGAAGCCAAAGTTTGTCAATGCCTCAGTCAGTTTTGCATACCACTGTCTACTTGCTTGCTTGAGTCCATAAAGAGATTTCCTTAGTTTGCAACACTTACCTGGAATTGCTTTCATTCCTAGAGGTATCTTAATGTAGACTTCTTCCTCTAGGTCTCCATTCAAGAATGCATTACTGATGTCCATTTGGTGTAAAAACCAATTCTTCACTGATGCAACTGCCAGTAGTGTTTTCACAGTGTTGACCTTTACAACTGGTGAGAAGGTGTCAAGAAAGTCAACACCATAGATTTGAGTGAAACCCTTTGCCACCAATCTGGCTTTCTGCCTTTCTAGGCTACCATCTGCATGCAATTTTTCTTTAAATACCCATTTGTTGTCTATTAGCTTCTTTCCTGGTGGACAGTCCACAATGTCCCATGTGTGCTTTGCATCTAAGGCACCTAGCTCATCATTCACTGCCCTGTTCCAACCTTCATGTAACATAGCTTCCTCAAAGGTTTGAGGTTCCTTCATGTTGGTTACTGCCATTGAAAATGATTTATGGCTTGTACTAAGTTGAGAATAGTTCATGTAGGAAGCAATGGGGTATTTGCTGGCGCTTCCTACATGATAATCTCTATGCCAAACAGGTGGAACACTGGTTCTGGTGGACTTCCTCAGTGGATGAGCATCAGGTACTTGTTCCTCTTCTCTCCCCCTCTTCATCTTCTGCTTGGACTTCCTCATTAAACTCAACATCTTGCTCATCCATGGTTTCAAAATTGATGAAACCAGGTGAAGTTGGAGTAGAAGAATTAGGATTAGAAACAACATGAATGAATGGATCATTAACTGTATGCAAATTATCACATGCTGGGGTTGATGAGGAAGGGAAAGGAGAAGGGAAGGTAGGTTGATCAGATGGTTTGGATTGGTCTGATGGGTTGAATTGGTTTGATGGTTTGGGTTGGTCTGTTGTGGTGTTTGAGGCAAAGGGAAAGATGGTTTCGTGAAACAGAACATCCCTAGATGCAATGACTTTCTTAGCATCTAAGTCATAAACTTTGTAACCCTTAATTCCAGGAATGATGCCAATGAAAATGCCTTTCCTGGCTCTTGGTTGGAACTTGGTTCTGCCATGTTCTAATGTAGATGCATAACATAGAGAGCCAAAAACTCTGAAGTGAGAGTAATCTGGTGGTTTGTTATAAAGTTTCTCATAGGGTGTTTGGTTGGACAAAATGGGGGTAGGTAGTCTGTTTAGGATGTGTACTGCATACAAAATGCAGTCACTCCAAAATCTCAAAGGTAGGTTAGCTTGAAACTTCAAAGCTCTAGCAATATTTAGGATATCTTGGTGTTTCCTCTCTACCCTACCGTTTTGTTGCTGTCTTTCTACACAAGACATTTGGTGTGTGATTCCATGCTCTCGAAAGAAATCACTCATATGGAATTCCTGTCCCTGATCACTCCTTATGTTCTTGACAGTTTTGTTGAACTGTTTACTAACCATAGTACAGAATTGTTGCAGAATAGGTCTAGCCTCAGACTTGTGTTTCATTAGATAGACCCACACTGCCCTATAGAAATCATCTACTATGGTTAAGAAGTAGGAATAACCATCATAAGAAATAGTGCTCAAGGGCCCCCAAATATCAGTGTGAATAGTTTCAAAGGCCTCTTTACAAATGTTGGAACTGGATGAAAATGGGAGTTTCTTTTGCCTAGCAAAATGGCAAATCTCACAGTGGCTAATGGTACTCAAAGGTACTTTAGGGTTACATTGTTGGAAAAGTTTAACTCTAGAATTGGACAAATGCCCCAATCTGGCATGCCATAGATTGGCTATTTCACTCTCTGGATTGCTCACTGCTGCTACTGTCTTCCCTTTTGACTGATGGTTGGTAGCAACAGTGGTTTCAAGCTGATAGAGTCCTCTAACCTCTCTTGCAGAACCAATCCTCTTCTGTGAAAGAAGGTCCTGAATATCACAGAAGTTGGATTGAAAGGTTAGGGATATAGGTAAGGTTTTGGCGAGAGTACTAACAGACAGTAGGTTAAAGGTAAAGCTAGGAATGTGAAGGACGTTTTGAAGGGTAAGATTTTGGTTAACTTGAACATTCCCAACATGTTCTACTTTAACTTTTGAACCTGTTGGTAGAGTGACAAAGGTGTTGTTTACTGGATGGTATGAAGTGAAAAGAGTGAGAGTGCAACACATGTGATCAGATGCTCCAGTGTCTATGATCCAAACATTCATGAGTTCTTGCTGTTGAAATGCAGTGTAGGTGGATAGGGTAAATTTACCTGCATTGTCTGGCATTTGGTTCATGTATCTTGAGACTGAATGAGCTTGTGGTTGAGAGTTGTGTGCCTGTGGTGTGGTTGCAGAATTGATTGTTGATTGTTGGAGTAGCATCATGAGTCTAGAACAGTCTTCATTGGAGATTCTTAAGGTGGTGACATTGGAGTTTCTGTTTTCTTGCTCATTCCCTCCATTGTGACTCTCAGACATCTGATCTCCATTCCCATTGGATGTTGCTGCTGCTGCAAAATTAGATCCAGGTAGTTCTCCTCTTTTCCTTTTTAGTATCCAGCAGTCAGCAATGACATTATTTGTCTTCTTACAATAGTTGCAAAACAGATTCTGCTGACCATTACCACTGCTCTCATTGTTGCTTCTTTGATTGTTTCCAGAGTATCTGCTTTGATAGTTGTTGCCTTGGTAGTTGCTACCTTGATAGTTGTTCTGTCTTCCTTCACGAGGATATTCTGGCTTCTGGTCCTTTCCTTTGTTGTGGTTCTGTGCTGCAAGAGCCACATAATCTACTCATGAAGTGTCCTTAGTTTGCTGTTTACCCATCTGTCTTTCCAGTTTGAGAGCATGTTTGTATGCTGATTTCAAGTTGGTGCAGGATCCATAAGCAAGAGTTGGTTCTTGGTCATCTCAAAAGAGTCATTAAGACGAGTGATGAAATCAATGGTATGATCCTGTTCTTGTGACTGTTTCACAGCAGCATAAGTAGCACAAGTGAAGGTATATGGTACACCTCCACATTCACAAGCAGGTATAGATTTGAAAGACATGAACTCAGTCCACAAGAGCCCTAATCTATTGTAAAAATCAGTGACAGAATCATTCCCTTGCTTGCAACAGGCTATCATTGTTCTTACATGAGCCAGACGAATGGAATCAGTTTCACCATACCTTTCTCGAAGATCTTTCCACATGTCTTGTGCAGTTTCATTGTCCATGACTGCCTCTGCAATCGGTTCCAGCAAGGAGTGTAGGATCCAACCCACGACGTTGGTGTTGCTTTGTTCCCACGCTTCATAGTTTGGATCAGTGGTTTCAGGCATGGGAAGAGATCCGTCGATGAACCCAAGCTTCTTCTTGGTTTTGAGGTCGATTCGCATAGATCTGCTCCAGACGTGGTAGTTGGAGCCATCCAGCTTGACAGAGATGATGCCTTGAGAGAGGTTTTCGTTGGGATTGACATAATAAGGATCCAGAGCCAGCCGCGAAGGCAACAACTGCTGGGTTTGTTCGCCTTCCGCCATGGATGATGATTGTTGGAAACCCTAGAGGTATGAGCAAGGCTCTGATACCATGAGAATGTTTAGAAAAGGACATAGTGATTTTGTGAAATCCTTTCTTGTCATTCACAGCAGCTCAGCTGCAGAGTATATACAGGAAAAATGGAAGCTACAAGACAAACAACCATAACGGCCTTGTCCACTAGAACAATTACACGTGTCTAAGCTAGGCATTTACTGAGAAACAAAATAAATAAAACTCTAATATATGTACAGTAAATAAAAGCGCTGCCGTTTCATCCTCCATTCTTGTTGTTGCTGGGTTTCGGTCGATTTGTTTGAATCTTCTCCCTTCCCTGTTCTGCAATTGACCGTTGCTGGGGCTGAGCTTCCTCTTCTTCTTCTTCTTCATCTTTCTCTGAACTCACCATGGGATTCATCATACAAGAGTCATAAATGACTCCATGGTCGAATCTTAGAGAGAAAAAAAACTATCTGACCTATTGCCTTGCTTTCAACAAACTTCTATACTTGAAAAAGGTTCTTCCCAAAGGCATACAGACCAGACCAAGCAGAAAGCTCCACGTACGCTTATGGATCATTTCATTCATCATAACATATGACGAACCAGGTAACGTGTAAGTTGTAACGGAAGAACGACTGACGGCTGAGCCCACCTCCTGGGCAACGAGTTTGGCTTGGTTTTATAGAAACCCAACCAATGCCATGTCATTGTCAATGTGGACCAATCAGAAACAGCTGCATCGGTACCGCATTTTTTACAGCGACACTGTAGCATTGGCCTTGAATTATTTATTATAAGGTGAAACTTTTTGGATCCTTATAAAGAGCCCAAAGTATAAATTTAATCTATACCGTTAAAATACAAATTTGGTTTGTACAATAAGTAAATTTGAACATTATTTAACAATACATGTTTAGTTTGTATTGTAATATAAACAATGGCGGACCCAGGATTGTCCAAGAGTTGTGTCGCTAATAAAATATGATAATAATTCAAAATTAAATACAAAATTAATTAGAAATTAATTTATAAATTTCACAATGTCATGTTTACAACGAATCAAAATGACTTTTCATCTACTTAAGTGTCTCAAAAATACATTCATCACTTATTCTGCAAAGCAAATCTTTTTCAAATATACACAACAGCCATTCATAAATTTGTCACCCAACCGATTTCGAAGATAGTTCTTGATTATCTTCATAGCTGAAAATGCTCTTTCGCAACTTGCATTTCAACATATAAAGTCATACCAACTTCAAAAGCAAGTATTCTGGTGAGTCTCGACAGTTGTCGCTTGGGCTTTGGTTATTTTTTTGTTTCTCCATTAATGAAAGGACCAATCCGAGCACATATGTATATTGGTATGGACTATGGGTTTTTTTAATAGCAATTGATATGATTATGAGTTATTTTAAACAAATTAAAAATGAATTTTGTTAATTAGAATTCAAGATTGTTTCATTTAAATAATAAAATTCTTCCTGTCTAATGAAGGTGTGTCGGCTATAATTATCGAAGGGGTGTCGGAAGTCCAGAATTTAAAATTTTTGTACCGAAAATATGTAGGTCCTTCACAAAATTCTCGGACGAGGGTGTGTCGGACGACACACCCTCCCTTAGTCCGCCACTGAATATAAATGTATATATTTAGTTAAGTATAAGTTTAGTTTGTACCATAATATAAAAGTACAAATTTAATTTATACTATAAATTACATTTTACAAAAAAATACAGGTATAAATTGAATTTGTATCATAATATTAAAGATAAAAATTCGGTTTGTACAATTAAAGTATTTTTTTAATAAAACAAATCATTGATGGTATAAAACACTGTAAAATTTCTCCGGTATGAATAGTGTACTAGTAAAGTTTTGTTTATGAATAAAAGAAGGAAGTTGTAAACTACTAGTAAGCTTTTTTGTTATTAGTTGTTGGCCTGTTTCGATCTTATGATGTGATGAAGGTATCACACATTATCAGTTTACTATCATATTGGAGTAGAGTTTTTCTGATAATTAAAACAAGTATGTCCATATCAAAATAGCTTTGAATGATGGAAGTTGCTAAAGTAATAATGAAAGACAAATGAACTACACAAATGTGGAGAATTTCAGTTAGTAAAGGAACAGAAACATGGGAAAGGGGTGGCAGTATACATACAAAACTTTGGTATATAATAACTTCAAGTTGGTAAATACTAACAAATGAATTTCCAAATATTTACTAAAGTGATGATTAAGAAAATCTGATGTAAAGTGTTATCAAAATTTACAAAGAAACAATAACATTCTGTAAGCACTTGCAGACTTGAGGTGTACTATATATACATACAACCTAAAATTAGCGGCGGATCCAGAAGAGCACTGGGCTGCATTTCATTAAAAAATCAGATACCGTAAAAAAATCATAGTTTTTTTTACAATATCAATTATTCATGTCGATCTTTTAAATTTTAATATAGTGAATTCATCAATAATGGAGTCTACATCCATACCAATAGCATACTCTCTTTAAGATAAAATAGTTACACAATTGGAGAGAAATTCATCGCTCATTTTGTTGCGCAAATAATTTTTCACTTATTTCATTATTGAAAAGGTTCTCTGCATAGTAGTTGTTGAAACGAGCAATGTCAACACTAGACAAATCAATTGACTAATCAATATATATTGTGTATCAATTTCTACTTTCACCAGGTGCTCTAGTAATTTCTTAAGCGAAATAGCCTCATATTTCTTTTAGTCTTTTACGTTTTAGAATTTTAGGTTTCATTGTTTGTTTTTCTTTATATGAGAATCATTGGAGCTAGAATTTTCAGGCTAAATTTAGAGTAGTGATTTGAATATGTTCATCTTACCCATTTTCTTAGACAATCTTATTATAAAATAACACTGGGCCGAATTGCTAAAATCGATAAACTCATAAGGGCTATACTAGCTCCGGATCCAGAGGAGGGCCGGACCGCGGCCCGGGGTGACCACCCCCTGGATCCGCCACTGCCTAAAATCGAAAAAGTAAGAGGATAGACAAACAAGAGTTTGGCTTAGTAGCAAGTATAATTTTGAATATGAAGGTTTTACATTAGGATATTTTAAGTAATATCTAATAATAAAAAATAAATTTATATTACTCTTATTAAAAAGGTAAGGAGGATGGAAAAATATTGAGAAATTAATTTTCGGATTGTCATTTTTGAAATGATTATATTATTTGTTTAAGTGGGCTAATTATAGATGGCCAAATCATGGGGCTCAAGAAGACTACTTAATATCTTATACTGGCTCAATGGTGGAAACTAGATATTATGCTAATTAAATAGACTTTTATGGGAACTCTAGCTAAACCTAGTATACGAAGAACTTAAAGATTGTGTCCAATAAAACGCTAATTAAATTTTGCAAGAATACGTGAGAATTCCAGTTAAGGGTGTGCAACTGTTTGGTCCCTAGTAGAATTAACCAGACCATATCAAATCGAGTATAATATGGGTTGCGTCTTGATCCTATGAATGTTATAATACTAAAAATGAAGCGAAATGACATTCGGACAGAACCAAACACGACTTAATGCACTGTTGATCTGGTCCTATGAATTCTTTCACTATTGGACCGCGATTCTCATGAGTTTGGTCCGGACTGGACTGTTACACCCCCCTAATTCATGGGAACAAAACTAAGGAAACTTAGTCGAGGAAAACGGCAAAACCCCCCCGAATTCCACATCAAACTCCCAATGATCAATCGATATGAATCTAGACATTTTTTCAATCTATAACGACATAATATTTCCCGAGAAATTTGCCCAATATTAAAGCTTAAAGTAGTAAGTAATTATAGAAAGAAAATACATACATGGAGAACCAAGTAAAACCACTTACGACAACCAAAATTTTGTCCTAATGCACAAGATAAACATGGCCGGTTCATCCCCAAATTGTCAAATAATCCATTTACACCTTTGCCGTAACAATGGTAATTCGGTTCGAATGCCAAAAGAACTGCCACCAAACATCAAATCGATCATTTCAAGTCACTAAATTAAACCTAATCTCGTTTTCCTTAACCGCGGGATTTGATGCCTCCCATTTATCATGTCTTGCTCAAACCGGGAAATGGGTATTGGATAAGAACAAGAGAGAGAGAGAGAGAGAGAGAGAGAGAGAGAGAGAGAGAGAGAATGGGTGTAATGACGACTGAGGGATCCATTTTTCCATGGGAGAGAGAGAGAGGGAGTAACCCAAATGAGAACAATACTCTTCTTCTTGTTTCTGGTACGTGCCCCCATACCACCGAACTTGACCACAAACCATCTAATCTTAGAGATCGGAGGTTTTTGCCGCCACGCTACACAACCCTCTTTCGCCCTCCCCACATTCTTCTAGCTAGTTCGTTGAAACTTCTCCCCCCTTCAAGTTTCAAACTTTCAACCCACCTATCATATATGCTTCAATCTCGTATGCTGGATTATTGGCATGTTGAGTTTGTCGCGTGTTTGAATCTTCGTTTTCTGAACTTTGAAATAGATTGCTCGAAAGTTTTTGATTGGGAGACTTGTTTATAAGGGGCCGAGAACATCCTCGTTTACGGTTGCTTGCAACTACTTATAAACTTTGAAGATGTATACCGAGCTGAAACAACATAAAAATATGATTGGTTTCATTTATTATAATCAACTATACGATTACATGACGACAACTACAATACAAATATGAATTAGAGATTTATAATAAACCAGAATGATATATATTGGCAGAATGATATATATTGGCAAGAGGTGGCAATTGGAACAGATTCGTGGATTGGATTGGTGTATTCATGGATCAAATGGATTGGTGGATTCATGGATTGGATCCAATGGATTGGTGGATTCATGGATTGGATCAAATGGATTGGTGGATTGATCCATCAATCCAAATGACATCCAAGACTTGGACCAAAATGTAAAATTTGAAAAGTTTTGGTACTAAAATGTCATTATGAAAAATTTTAAGTACCAAAATGTAATTTCCAATGATATTTTTTGTATAAAAATATAAATTTTAGGTACCAAAATGTAAAATATAAAAAATATAGGTACCAAATCGTAATTTGCCATTTGGATCCATGGATTGATCCATGAATCCACCAATCCAATTGGATTTGGATCAAATGGATTGGATTTAAATGGATTGGATTAGGTGGATAATTTGGTGGATGGATTGGATTCATGGATTTGGATCCTATTTGCCACCTCTAATATTGGCAGAACGAATGAAGGATGATGGTGAGCGGGCCATGATGGGGTTTGGTAGAGACACATACTTAGGTCTGCGCGACTGGTTCGCCTTCGATCGAGAGCTTGTATCTCGTGACAACTCTTTCAACTCCTTTTTGACGAAAATTTTCCTAAAGATTTCTGCATATAGTTTAGTTAGCGCAAGTGGTTACAGTCCTCCTCCAAAATCATTTCATATGAGGTTATAATGTTGCGAGAGTGGTATTAGCCTCTCCTCATTTTGAATTTCGAGCTTCGTCGCTCTGGTCTTATTAACATTTCTTGTCTCGTTAGTCTGATATTTTATTGGTGTGGTACAATTCGACACAATACTATGCATATGAAGTTTGATAACACGAATATGTGGACAACACCAACGTAAAATTTTACGAAATTGAGTTTGAAGAATGTCATAGCTAGTTGTCTAACATGTATTCTACTAATACTTAAAAAACATATAAATTTTCGATGGATTATTCAGAACCCAAATTCATGTTAAAAAAAGAAAGTAATTTAAACCCAAAATCCCATCTGAATGGGGAAAGTCCTAACCCCTCTTTGATTTTACTTTGAGCAGTCTTTCGAGCATTAATCAATGCCAACTGCCCATGAGCCATATGACCAACCAAACATAAAATCGAACTAACAATACAATGTGCATTATATTGTACGTTTTTTTACCCATGCAAGGTGGTTCTTCCCTGCCTAAATTCACCCACATTTTCTTATGGTGCATTGTTTGAACACTCAATCTCAAGAGTCAAATATTTATGATGCTAATATAGAGGCACAACTGTGGTTGATTTGGCTGTGAATATGAAAAATAAAACATAACTTTTCTATCATCTATATGCAATTCGAGCATGTGGTTTATGAAATGACAAATACAACATGAAATACTTAACTATTTTAGTGATGAATGTAACACCCACCGTCAGCTCTCATCGATGGTAGGTAACGAGATACTAATGTACATAGGGTTGATGTTAAGAAATATAGCATATTCATCGTCTTCTCTTTGTACGTAAGAGAAAAGTTCTGTGATAGAGTCGAAAATCAAAGCGATGTAGGCAGAAAGAACGAACCATAGAGAACCAAGCAATTAAAAAGACCAAAACCTGTAATATTTCGGTCGACCCCTGTTTTTATTATTTCACAGCTCGAATCTGATTCCTGTAATATTTCGTTATAAATGAAATAATACAAGTGATTCATAAAAAAAAGACCAAAACCTTATCATCAATTGTCCTATATATTTCGCAATTGTTTTACGCGAATGTTGCATGGATTTTTACAATAGTTTGGAAATCAAAAGACGACGCCCATGCCCCCGGCCAACCTATGAGTGTCTTCACCATGAAAACTTATAATATGGTTGATCGAACTATTGTGTGCGTGTGTGTGTGTGAAATATGCATTCCACAGAAAACACACTAATCTTGATAGGCCGTCGTCATCTTTCGAGTATCTATGATGCGAAAGGAATGGTGGAAACCAATCCCACAAGGTGAATCGTTCCTCCTCAACTCCACATCTCCACAACTGATTTCATATTCAGTCTAATGCTACAATTACTTCCTTTCCTCCCTCTCGTTCTTAGTTCGTTATTCTTAGCCACATACCACGAACTGACAGTTTCAGTTTTTTTGTTTACGACCTAAATTAAATACATATCACACACGAAATATTCATTATACTCGAACCAATCGCATCACAACTATCCTTTTACCATTGGCACACCTAAACTATTATACTTTGGTTTGAACTAATTTGCTCCAATATATATTTCCTTTTATAATCCAAAAGTTCTCGTATACATATGCATACGTTTATACATGTAAAAATACGTCCAATACTAATGTAGCACACCGGCAATTCATCATTAAAAATACATATATAGGAAACCGGCCAACCAAATGTTCCGTATAGATCTCTCTTTTCTCTCTTTGCTATCAAAGCTCCAAAACGTCACAACATAAACCTCCAACCTCCCTTTCTCTTCCTTCATTCCATCTTGTCTCTATAAATACCCATCAAACTTCCCCACATTTCCCTTCACCTCAACACATTCTCTCCTCTAGAAAAAAAAAGAACAAACACCAATAACCACCTTAATCACTTGCCTTCTCACGCAAGAAACCCTATACCTTTTCACACAAGAAACACACACACACAAACAAACCCATGCTTACGATGGCTCCTTCTTCAACATCGTCATCACCTAGAGTTCTCTCTCTAATCGCCACCATCATCATATTCTTCTACATCTCCATCACTCTATCGTGCCATCATTGTGTTGCTGATCATCATCGTGATCATCATTACACCATTGAACAAGAAATCGAAGAACAACAAGGCGAAGGAAGGTCCATTGGTGCTTACAATGGTGATAATCATTATTATCATCATCATGGTTTTGAAGCATATCCATCTTCATCCTTTGGCATGGCGGCCCATGATGGTGATGATGATGATGCCCATTCCATGGACTTGGTGAAGCTTACAAGTGATGTCCTCAGCTTCAAAACAACCGAAAAAGTGGGTGCTACATCATCTTCTTCTTCGTCATCTTCGTCGGCACATAGAGTTCAAGTTGAAGATTTTAGAGAGTACGCTGGTGGCAACGATGACACTAAGGTATCGTGTGTGATTGAATTTCCTGTTCGAGTTTCTATCAAGTTTAAGCTTTCAATAAATTCATCAAATCATATTGGTCAGTAAAGCATGTTGTTTTTAGTGGTTGTATCTAGTTTAGACAATGTTAAATAATTCGAATAGCCCATGCCCTATCTAGGATTTGATTCCACGACAATAAATGAAATTAAAGTTGGGCATGGTTTTTTGGCAAGGTTATTTGGTATGCATTTACTTTCCTTTGATTTCATGATGCAAAAGGGTGATTTGATTTCATGATCAAATCACAATAAATACTTACGTAAATCTCTAACTTAATGACTCGATATGGTTTAATACTTTTTTTCCCCTTCAATACGTCAGATGTTTGAGAAAGCGTGGGAGGCAGCTTGCAGCACAAAGGGCTCCGCGGTTCAGCTGGTCGTGCCGGCAAAAAACAGTTACACTGTTGGCCCAATCACGTTCTCCGGCCCATGCAAATCCAGCAGTCTGACGGTCGAGATCGCCGGCACCATCCAGGCCTCCGGCGACCGGTCGGATTACAAGGAAGACACCAGCCACTGGCTTCTTTTCGAAGGCGTCCAAAATTTGGTCGTCCAAGGTGGTGGCACCATCGACGGAAACGGCAACGTCTGGTGGCAAAACTCTTGCAAAGTCAACAAAGCTCTCGTAAGTTTACTTGCTAATTTTATTAGTTTTTTTTTTACCGGAGAGAGATTGCATTTGTATCTGATCCGTTTTATCTGATTTGTTCGACATGGATGGGTATTGCATTCTTTTATCGACCTCAATTGTCTGATTTATCTTATTGTTATCCATTTTTCCCTAAATTATATATGATTTTAATCAAACTAATTATAAATTTCCATTTATTATCTCCTATTTTAGCTATAATAAAGTAATAAATAGGTGAGATTCTTAATTAATTATAATTTAATGGCATTTATCACATTATGATTTTTTTGTTCTATTAATAAAAATAGATATTTTCAATATTTTTCTTTTAAATTACTTTATCGACTAATCCCTACTCACACTCGATTATAAATTGCCAACCAAACCTGAACCATGCTCGTGACGAAAAGAAATATGGCCATCTCATTGTCATTAATTCCTATCCTAACGATGACCTAATATTATATAAATAATATCTCCAATTTTGTGGCGCTGATATATTACAATTTCCTTTTTGTTTTGCAGCCATGCACGAAAGCGCCAACGGTACGAAATTAATCTTTTTTTTTTTTATGGAATCCAGAATAATTAGTTAACTATAACTAATTATAGAAATAAAATAATTAGTTAGCCTGAATTTGTCCTCCATGCGTCATATTTCCAGGCGGTGACGTTCTCGAAATGCAACAACTTGGGCGTGAGGAACCTGAGGATCCAAAACGCGCAGCAAATGCACCTCACCTTCCAAGCCTGCACCAACGTCCAGGCCGCGAACCTCGCCGTGAAGTCACCGGAGAAGAGCCCCAACACCGACGGGATCCACGTCACGGGGACCAAGAACATCCGCATCTCCGGCGCCGTCATCGGGACGGGCGACGACTGCATCTCCATCGTGTCGGGCTCGCAGAACGTGGAGGCCACGGGCATCACTTGTGGGCCGGGCCACGGGATCAGCATCGGCAGCCTGGGGGCCCACAACTCCCAGGCCCACGTTTCGGGTGTCACCGTGGACGGGGCCAGGTTCTCCGGGTCCACCAACGGCCTCCGGATCAAGACGTGGCAGGGCGGGTCGGGCTCCGCGTCCAACTTCAGGTTCCAGAACATCGTGATGGATAACGTGGAGAACCCGATTATTATCGATCAGAATTACTGCGATCAGGACAAGCCCTGCAAGGAACAGGTAATTATATGATTATGATCCCATTTTTCCTAAAAGAAATTTGAAATATACCCACAAGAGAGAGAATTAATAACTTTTTTTGTTACAGAAATCGGCGGTGCAGATAAAGAACGTGGTGTACAAGAACGTGAAAGGGACGAGTGCTTCGGAGGTGGCGATAAAGCTGGACTGCAGCAAGAGCTTCCCGTGTCAGGGAGTGGTGCTACAAGATGTTCATCTAGTGAGGCAAGGGTCGCAGGAGGATAAAGGAGCAAGGGCTGTGTGCAGCAATGTGAAGTTGAGTGAAGTTGGAGCCGTTTCTCCAAGCTGCAGCCATTGAATGGGTGGAATTTTATGAATGAAATGAACGAAACCCTAATTTCATTCCACATGAATTGGGTTGATGTAAATATTGATGTAGTTACAGTAAATAAAGTGAACACAAATAGAGTCACACACTAGAAAGTAATAGTATACAGATCATACTTGTAAACTGCTGGTTCGTTGAATTTGGGATCGATTTGATAATGTACATAGCCGATTTGAATAAAGACCACACAGGTGGAAGTATTGTTGATTGCTAAAGTATTGGGCCTGAGCTGCCTTGTCCAGTTTGTTGATCAGTTGGATGGGCTAACTGCAAGTTATGTAAAGTATTGGGCCTGAGCTGCCTTGTCCAGTTTGTTGATCAGTTGGATGGGCTAACTGCAAGTTATGTACAGTTAACCCAAGGAGATAAGGTAACATGGAAGCCATGGTCTTTTGGTTTTATTTGGGCTGGGAATCAGAATGTTCGGTGTGAGTGAGTTCATTACAACGGGAGGAAGAGCTATGATGCCATGTGAGGTCACATGCCCTTATTTATATGCTTCAAATTTCAATCACGTGAGAGGTTAGACTTTAGAGGTAGGGTAAGTGGGTGACTGACTCAGACTCAGAGTCTCTTTTTGTCTTCCAGGGAAAGCAAATCAAAGGTAGAGCAAGAATTATGAAATATACCAAGATGGACTAAGGTATCGTTTGCTTGTAGGATTTGGGTGATGGATTTGGTATCTAAATCTCAAATATAATGGAATCGGCACAAGTCCATTGTTTGCTAAGGGACACAAATTCGTGGGGCCCACGGATTTGGACCCATTTTTTAGATCCAAATCTGTGGACCCCAAGGATTTGCAAATCCCACTTTTCATTTGAGATTTGATAATGAAAGGCAAACTGAACAAATCCATAATGAATATATGACAAAAATAAACTACACAAACAATGTACTCTTCCAAATCCATAATGCAACAAATCCATCATAAATCCAAAGGTTTTGAAAACTCAAAACCCTCATTTCAAATCCAACAAGCAAACTAGCCCTTACTAGGGTCATTTGGATGACATTTTTTAAAATGATAGACTTGGGACAAAATCATCCTTTAAAAAGCGTTTAATGGAATAGAGGAAATTTGAGAGACACGGAGAGAGGGAGATCGCTTTGAGGAGGAGATTTGTGATGGGGTTGAAGAAGAAAACTTGTATAGGTGGGAGAAGTAGGTGGTGGCTGACGCTAAAGGAAAGGAAAGGAGGTTGCATATGCACAGATCAGGATATAAGGAGAAACGAGGAAGTGGAGGCGAAAACGACGATTCTGGTGGGGGGACGAGAAGAAACACGAAGATGGTTGGAATGAGAAGTCAGTATATCGAAGACAAGGAGGAATGAAGAAGTAGTTGATAGATCGGAGAAATGGACGAAGTCGATAGATAGTAGGGCTAGTGTTGGTTTAAACAAAATTGGGATGGATGATTTTGGAATTGAAGAAATAAAAATGTGATATTTCAAAATAGTCGGGAAAACTTTTCCAAAATGTCATATTCGTGGATTTTTAAATTACCACAACCCCAAAACTTCTCTTTTACGAGAACCCCTTCTCAAACAATGGATTTTGGAAAAAAGTGGCACAATCCCACCAATAAATATCTCATACAAATCATCTCTATATTTGTGAATTCATCAACTCTTTCACATTCAAAATTTATCGACACAAAAAAAAATTACATTTTTCTCTGTTCGTAATATATCAACCGATAAATAACGAGCATATAAGTCAAGTGCACAACTCATCCTCCCAATCCTCAAAATCTTCCTTTTTCTCTCTCTTTTCCCGTCCAATCTTTATTGTATTAGCCATTAGGTACGTGAAAGGGATCGCATCCATGGTCAGTAGAGCGGATCAAGAGTTGATGTTATTTATTAACGAACCAGTAAACCATCGTTGCCGATGAAAGATCAGAGAACTCAGAGCCAGAGGTGACAGCTTACTCGCTACTGCCAGCTTGTTATTTGCTAACAAGCACCCATTGCTAATTGCTAGCTGCGTTCTGTAAGTAAACAGACACATTTTCCCGCGTCAACTTGGTTAACTAACTAAACCAACCTGCTCCCTCCCATGTGAAATACCCAAATCGCCCCCCTTCGTTCCCCTATCGCTTTCGCACATCCCGTCGGCTGGGCTCGGCCACGTCAGTCTTGCAGGGCCCAATCATCCGACGCTACGTAAGCAAAAGCGCATAAACATCTTCTGCTGACCTGTCAAGATCTGACCGGGGAAGTTAAGCAACGTGCAGCTGAAGAGAAGTTCGTGCACCGGCGGCAGAATCCACGGCGGCCACTACATGACTACAATGGGAAAAAGAAATGATAATAAAGAAAGAAAATAGCTAGCGGGCGGTGGTGGGGACAGTGGGTTTTTTTTGGCGGACCTGTCGGTCGAGTGTCGGTGTGGGCTTTGAGGGAATTTGCCAATTTGGTCATTTCTTTTAATTGGATCGACTGGATCCAATCGAGAGAGAGAGGCGCTAGAGAAGCAAAGGATTAAGGAAGCATTCGGCTTCTGCCATATCTTCCGCTTCATTGCTGTTCTTGCTTGGCAAATATGGAGCACGAAGCTGATCATGGCGGGGTCAGTCCTCTCACTCTCTCTCTCTCTCTCTGCCTTCGCTTTAATCTGCAAATCGAAATTGAACTGTTCTTTGACTCCCTCTCTCTCTCTCTCGCTACTGGTTAGTGTCACTTCCCCCATTTCTGAATTGGTGACTGCATAGAGTTGGGGTTTCATTCAATTCCTCTGTTATTGATTGATTCGAGTTCGTTCAATTCAAATGCATCTCTCTCGGATCCAATCCGTGTTCTCTAATTTGCCGCCCGTTACTCCAGAGTGGAGTTGATTTGATTGCTATGTGGATCTGTTGTATTGCCTTTCTCTTGACTGTCTGTTTGAGTGGTGGACTGATAATTGTTGATTGTGGAAACAGACCAAGAGCTTAAAACAGCAGGTCTGCCAGATCTGCAGCGATGATATCGGGAAAACTGTGGATGGGGATTCCTTTGTTGCTTGCCAAGTTTGCGCATTTCCCGTCTGCCGCCCTTGCTACGAGTACGAGAGGAAAGACGGCACTCAGTCCTGCCCTCAGTGCAAGACCAAGTACACTAGGCACAGAGGTCGCTCTTTCAGACCCTTCCTGCTTTTATCTCCTGTTGTTTGTGAATTCTGGATTCTCAATTTCATTGTTGAAAGCGATCGGATGTGTTTGTTCTTCAGGAAGCCCTCCAATTCACGGGGAACAGGTGGATGACGGGGAGCTCAAGGATTTGAGGAGCAAGTCAACTTCTTCTCACCCCGCAGTTGGGGTTCAAGATGAGAAACACAAGATTGATCGTATGTTGGGATGGGAGTCTGGCTCTGGTCGTAAAGAATATTTTCCTCATTCATATGAGAGGGACGGGTCTCTCACCCATGTCCCCTATGCAGCAAGTAGACCTTCGGTATTGTCTTGGGATTTTGGATCATTGCCTTGGATTTGTTTCATATTTCACAAAAGTATTAAAATTGAAAAAATCTATTTGCCATTCCTTTTTGTGGTTTCAGATGTCTGGGGAACTCTCTGCTGCATCTCCTGGGCGTTTCTCGATGGCTTCTCCTGAGAGTGGCAGCAGAGGTATTCATGGAATTTTGCTTTTTATCTGGTGTTGTGTTATGGTGTGTCTATGTTGGATTGAATCTTGATACCATGAGTCTGATATATGCAGCAACCATAAGACTGGGAGATGGACAGAGGGAATATGGGTCGGGTGGGTTTGGCAATGTAGCTTGGAAAGAGAGAATTGATGGTTGGAAGATGAAGCCAGAGAAAAGTGCAGCTCCACCAAGTGTTAGCAATGCACCCTCGGAAGGCAGAGGGGGTGCAGATTTTGATGCCAGCACCGATGTGCTTATGGACGATTCCTTACTGTGAGTATCATAGCACTTGTTTCAGGACTTACAAGTTGGCAGATGATTTGGATAATCTCTTATAACATGTCTCTTATTGTTGCTGCAACAGGAATGATGAAACTCGTCAGCCACTGTCAAGGAAGGTTCCAATTCCTTCGTCCAAAGTTAACCCTTACAGGATGGTCATTGTGCTGCGGCTTGTCATCCTATGCATCTTCTTTCACTACCGTATAACAAATCCAGTCTGGGATGCCTTCCCCTTGTGGTTGATTTCTGTTATTTGTGAGATTTGGTTCGCAGTATCATGGATATTGGATCAGTTCCCAAAATGGTTCCCTGTGAACAGGGAGACATATCTAGACAGGCTATCGCTTCGGTAAAATTTCTCTTTCTTTTGTCCAATTTAAACTGGATCCTGAAGATGTGCTAACCCAGGTCTTGCATTCTCTGCAGATATGAAAAAGAAGGAGAAATATCTCAATTAGCTTCTGTTGACATCTTTGTCAGTACGGTGGACCCTTTGAAGGAACCTCCACTTGTCACAGCCAATACGGTGCTGTCAATTCTTGCGGTAGACTATCCCGTGGACAAAGTTTCTTGCTATGTTTCAGATGATGGAGCTGCTATGTTGACTTTCGAGTCCTTAGCTGAAACAGCTGAATTCGCTAGAAAATGGGTTCCTTTCTGCAAGAAATACAGCATTGAGCCACGAGCTCCAGAATGGTATTTTTGTCAGAAAATTGACTATTTGAAAGACAAGGTTCATCCTTCATTTGTCAAAGACAGAAGATCAATGAAGGTGGAGTGTATTAACTCTCTAAATTCTGGAAGTACTGCAGGTATTACATAGTTCAATTCTGATTGCAAATTATATAATTTCAGCGAGAATATGAAGAATTTAAGATTCGCGTCAATGGGCTTGTGGCCAAGGCGCAAAAGATTCCCGAGGAAGGATGGTTCATGCAAGACGGTACACCGTGGCCTGGTAACAATACCAGAGATCACCCAGGAATGATTCAGGTTTGTGCATCTGGTGCTGATAACATTAACCAGTATGAAGTACTTCATCATCATAAGTTCCTACATGTTGTGTGTGTTTGTGATGCGTTCATGGGCAAGAATGATTCAGGTTTGTGCATCTAGTGCTCATAACATTAATCAGTATGAAGTACTTAATCATGATAAGTTCTCACATGTTTTATGTGTTGTGATGCATTCATGCACAAGATGGAACCTCTTGTCTCAGGTTGCTAACTAGAACTTTGTGGTCCTCGTAGATATCTTTACGTGTCACTTTGATGTCATGACTTGAAAACTACAAATATGGGTGACTTTCTTAACATGAATTAATAGAATTTAGATTTTACTTCTTTTGTGAAGGAAGTTTTGATTTGGTATTCACATGTGACTCTTTTATGATCTTTGTTGATCAAGATTAGGGTGTTGGTTCCACAAGTCACCACTTAAAACAAGAGCATGTTCACGTTGGATGTATCAATGCTGATGTTGCCTTACACTTTCTTGTTGCATCTTTGTAGGTTTTCCTAGGCCACAGTGGAGGACTTGACAGCGACGGCAATGAACTTCCGCGGCTAGTATATGTATCTCGTGAAAAACGTCCGGGTTTTATGCATCACAAAAAGGCTGGTGCCATGAATTCTCTTGTAAGTGGGTAGTGATAAATCCTTGCTGTCTATCTCCTATTGTTGAAAATTGTTAGTATAATGATCTATTTTTCTGTCCTACAGGTGCGTGTTTCTGCAGTTCTGACTAATGGGCCATTCTTGTTGAATCTTGATTGTGACCATTACATAAACAACAGCAAGGCGTTGAGAGAAGCTATGTGTTTTCTGATGGATCCTAATCTGGGAAGATCAGTATGTTATGTCCAGTTTCCACAGAGGTTTGATGGTATTGACAAGAACGATCGATATGCCAACAGAAACACTGTGTTCTTTGATGTAAGTCCCACTAAAATACTGCCTAACTGTTGTATGTTGACTATTCAATGATCAGAATTCTGTGGACAGTTGATTATATATGTAATGCGTTCTTGACTATTCTTTTATCTTATAAGTCATTTAACAAAACATGCCTTGATTTTAGATGAATTTGAGAGGATTGGACGGCATCCAAGGACCTGTCTACGTGGGCACAGGGTGTGTGTTCAACAGGACAGCATTGTATGGCTATGAGCCTCCCTTCAAGCCTAAGCATAGCAAACCAGGGTTCTTATCTTCATGCTTCGGTGGTTCCAGAAAGAAGAATTCTAAATCAAGCCGAAAAGAAAAGAAAAAGTCGAGCAAGCATGTTGACCCTACTGTCCCAGTCTTCAATCTAGAAGATATAGAAGAAGGGGTTGAAGGTAACTAAATAATCGGAAGTTCTGTCCATATTTCACAATAAGTATATACCATTGAGAGTTCCAACTCAGATTGATTAGAGTCCTGGTGTGTGTATTTTTCTTCCAAATATAGCCCACTGTGATTCGGTTTTATATTGGGGAAGGCAGAATAAGCCTCTTTATGTTTCACTGAGCTCTCCTACACAAGCTTTAGTGAATTCACCCCTTCTGAGTCCAACTTGTGCAACCTTTGTATTCCCTTAAGGATTAAATTTGAAAAAAATTGTTGGGTAAATTTCAGTTGGTGACTCTGGTGGTGTTATATGCAGCATGCTTAGCCTTGTATAACATCTGATGCCATTCATTGTGTATTTTTTGCTTCTCCTAGGAGCTGGATTTGACGATGAAAAGTCACTGCTTATGTCACAAATGACACTAGAGAAGAGGTTTGGTCAATCAGCAGTGTTCGTTGCATCAACACTTATGGAAAATGGTGGTGTTCCCGAATCTGCCGCCCCAGAGGCTCTCCTGAAGGAAGCTATCCATGTGATTAGTTGTGGCTATGAAGACAAGACAGACTGGGGACAAGAGGTACACAAACATAATTTCTTTTGCTTTAATAGAATCAAATTTGCCTGAAGGTTTTCAGTAGTTGCAGAACAAAATTTTCCTAATGAAGGTTTTCTTTTTCTTTTTGAGCAGATCGGGTGGATTTATGGTTCAGTGACAGAGGATATTCTGACAGGATTCAAGATGCATGCTCGTGGTTGGAAATCCATCTATTGCATGCCTGAGCGCCCTGCATTCAAGGGTTCTGCCCCCATCAATCTTTCTGATCGTTTGAATCAAGTGCTTCGATGGGCTTTGGGTTCAGTCGAAATTCTCTTCAGTCGCCATTGCCCTATATGGTATGGCTATGGTGGGAGGCTGAAATTTCTCGAGAGATTTGCCTATGTCAATACTACCATTTATCCCATCACATCCATTCCGCTTGTAGCTTACTGTACATTGCCAGCTGTCTGTCTCCTTACCGGAAAGTTCATTATTCCTCAGGTAATCACAAATAATTCTCGTTTGCATATGCTTCAGCTTCAGCACCAAGTTTGGATTGTCGCTAATACAATTTGTGGCTTTGATTGCAGATCAGTAATATTGCCAGTATCTGGTTCATATCCCTCTTTCTTTCAATCTTCGCGACGGGTATTCTGGAAATGAGATGGAGTGGAGTTGGGATTGACGAATGGTGGAGGAACGAACAGTTCTGGGTCATCGGAGGAGTATCGGCCCATCTATTTGCAGTTTTCCAAGGCCTGCTCAAGGTCCTAGCTGGAATAGACACCAACTTCACTGTCACTTCCAAAGCATCGGACGAGGACGGAGATTTTGCTGAACTCTACTTGTTCAAATGGACGACTCTACTGATCCCTCCAACCACTTTACTCGTGATCAACCTAGTCGGAGTGGTTGCTGGAGTCTCGTATGCCATTAACAGCGGGTATCAGTCATGGGGGCCTCTCTTTGGTAAGCTCTTCTTTGCCTTCTGGGTGATCATTCATCTCTACCCGTTCCTGAAAGGTCTGATGGGTCGTCAGAATAGAACCCCCACCATTGTCATCGTGTGGTCCATCCTCCTCGCTTCCATCTTCTCGTTGCTGTGGGTCCGGATCGACCCGTTTACTACCCGGGTCACCGGGCCTGATGTGGAGATGTGTGGAATCAACTGCTAGATAGAGGTAAAAGAAAGTACACTTATTCTAAGCCGTAGGCAGATATGCAGCAGAGCAGAGATTTGAAGAAGAATCACGAGGGTGCCTGCCTGCCCACCCGCCCTGGATATTTGCTGTCTAGCCATGTGAAGCTAGCTGGTGGGAGTAGATGTCAAATTTGTGTTGATCAGTGCAATAAGGGTTGGATGTATTTATATGTCAGTTATATTTTATAAGATATCTCTGGGTGGCCAGTGTTTTTTTTTTTTTTTTTTTGTGTAGTTTTGATTCTTTAGTTCTTTGGACATTCATTCAGTGCCATTGCTCTGTTGTAATTTATACATGTGTTGGAAGGGAAAGGACAGTCCTTTTAATTGTTCGATAGTGACTTTGGGGAGGGTATAGCTGCTGCTGCAGTTTTTTTTTTTTTTTGCAATTTTATGTGTTTCTTTACGACTTGGAATACTGGACAAGAATGAAAAAAAAGGTTCTGATACCGTAGTTCTTTGGTCCTCCTGGTTCTGCATCATTATTGATTCTGATACTTAACTCACTAGGGGTGCTATGATTTGTTAGAAGATGTTCATCTAAGGTCTGATATTTCTTGCTGCACGATACGTAATATGAACAGAGCTGTCCATTTAGCGGCGATATGAGCCCCTGTGTGTGGTGTGAGTGTGACTGGTGTCCCATATAGAAATCTATCTATATGAATCAGAAGCTCCAGATTCTGTGTCACAGATCACGATATCTGATGAAACTCTGCTTTTGGTTTTCATTCACTGAATCGCCATTGGTATATAGTGGTAGGCGAGCTTACTTCATTATTTTTACTGGGAACTTGTGAGTACTTGTTGTGAGTGGTCAGTGTGGTGAATAACAACAAAACAAGTGAGGATTCCTAAATTCCATTCCATGCACACCCAGCTGCACCAGAATCATTGCCCTTCATTTGGCAACGGTCAAAACGTATGAATAAATAACCCACCCACCACCCCTGTTGCTGCTGTTGACACAGCCAGAAACACAGAGACCCACTGTTTTCAATCAACCCGAAAAGAGACTACTGTTAGCCTAATTTTTTTGTTGTTGTTGCTATAATCAACGTAAAAACGTTCATCATTATGAACAGTTGTAAAAGGAAGGGTCCAACGGTCGACTGCCCTTTTGTGGGTTCTTTAATAAAACAAACACACTAATAAATCAAAAGTAATTATACTGGTAAGACATTATTGTGGTGCGGCGGCTATGATGCTGTTACATTACCTTTTATGCTTGCTTGACATTGAAGAAATGTTGTGGGTAGCAAAACTTGAAATGTTTCGATAATACAAGTAATTTAGCCTCTGGAGTCTGGAAAAATGCTTGCTTAGCTTATTACGATAATAAGTCAATCTGCAATGTTAATTCTTCCCAAACTTAAATTTGAAGTAACTAAGTAAGAAGAAGCGAGAAGGGAAGTAGAACACTGCGATCAAAATTAATTAATGAACTCCTCCGCATTTTTACACAAGAATCAAAATCACACATACATTAGAAGTCGATAATACGACTCCAAAAGACGCCGCAGTTTTTGTCACTTCTTTGGCTCTTCCGCAGCTGGTTTCGCTTCCGGTGCGGGTTTGGCGGGTTCCTCCGCCGCCGCAGGCGGCGCCGGAGCGGGAGGAGGGACGGCGGTGACGCCGCCGTCGATGCAGCTCCGGCACTTCCTCTCGACCCATCCTTCAACGTCATGCTCGCGGCTGCTCAAATGCCTCCCACCGCAGAGGCGCGCCACCATCCCGGCGAACACCGCGACGATGGTGATCGCCGCCAGCACCACCACCAGCGTTTCGATTGATTTCTGTGAATAATATCGGCCTGCCTCCCCTGATGAAGTCTGTGCCATGGCCGCCGACGCCGCGGCGGAGGCTTCGGGTGCCAGAGCGTCGCTCAGCCTTTCTTCCAGCAGGATCCTCATCGTCGTTAAAGAGTTCTAACTTCTAAGAGCAAACAGAGAGAGATTTTTGACGGCAGAGTGATGAAATGAGAAACAGAGGGTGGGAGTGGGAAAGTGAGCTGTGACTGTGAGCGTTGCTAGCTGGCTTTTAAATTTAGTTGTTGGGCTTTCGTTATTGGACAAAGTGAAAGAGGCCATAATTTCAGGCCCAAGTATGTTCAGAACGAGGCCCGCCAGCTACGCTGGGCTCAGAACAATATAAGTTTATGTAGTCAAATATTGATACCATGTAAATTTGGGGGCTCAAATGTAACTTTGTTTTGAAAACAGAAGGAAGGGAGACAGACTGACTGAGACAGAGGTACGACTTCCTTATTTCCTCTTGTACAAAAAAACGAGTCGTCTTGTCTTCTCTCTTTCTTTCTCGTGCCGTCTCCTTCCTTTCTTCTGACCGAAGCTTCCGATTCTGCGGTCTCTCTCTGAATACGCGGAATCGGAAAATTTACCTCCCACCTTCCTTCTTCTCCGATTTTTCTTGCCGGAACATTTTCAATCGGAGAAGAATTGAGGGAGCAACCGGATAGAGAAGAAGGAGAAACGGTAACTTTCGTCATCGATTTCCTCATTTTGGGTTGGGAGAGGGCGCGGGAAAGGGGAAAGCAGCGACCATGGGGACGCCGGCATTTCCAGATCTCGGTAAACACTGCTTCGTGGAAGATTGCAAGCAGCTCGATTTCTTGCCATTCACCTGCGATCGCTGCCGCCAGGTGCCTCCATCCCTTAATTTCCTTCTTCCATTGCTTTGGATTGGAAAAATCTTCAATTTTGGGTTCCAATGCTACTCTGCTTATGCAATTTCTAGTCAGAAACAAGATGTCTTTGCTGAGTTTGTGTATTTAGTAGCTTGAATCGTGATTTATTAGAGGTTTTAGTTTGAAAGTGTCTTGGCTTGGATGTTCTTGTTAAGGAGAAAGGAGCCTGGGTGTTGATGTTGGTGGCTGCTTGATGCTTGTTTAGGATGTAGTTGCTTTGAACAAACTATACATCTGCTGGCTTTGTATTCGTATTTCTTCTTTACATTCGATCTTCGATTTTGGTAGATTAGAGCAGAGATTGGTGTTTTGTTTCGCAAGAATGATTATCTTCTGAGAATGAACTAGAGAGTTAATTAGAATGCTAAGCTGAGCATGATCTAGTTTTCTTGGTCTTACTAATGACTATGATGTGTTATTCAAAAGGAAAGATCATAAATATCTGGCTTCCTGTATGCACGTAGCCTCCGCCCTCCAGTGATTCTGAATGTTCGGAAACAAAATCCCAAGGTGAAAATGTTGCAACTGAAACAGATGTAGCTACTGATGAAAGGGTCGTTTACATTTCAGTTTTAGTTTCCGCTTCGAGCTTCTTTTGCAGTTTCTTCCCTTAGGATATATTGAATCAAAGAACTAAGTTATACATTGTGGATTACATTATAGCACTTTAGATACACTGGAAAAAGTTGATTGGGATTACCAAACACAGATACACTGGAAAAAAGTTAATTGTACCTGATTGCAACTTTCTCAACCAAAGCTTCTATGAGACCTCTTTACTAGTAGAATTGGTATAGATTGGTGTTCTTTCTGCTACCTGATCAAGTCGCAGCACGATACATGGATTGTGTTTTTATGATGTTCTTCTTAGTAGATACCCTCAGGTGGGTTGGTTAGCTATGAAACAAGTAGGAACATGAATTTGTCCATTCCAATGTCTGGAACTCCTGAAGCTGAATTGAAGCATGCATTGCCTTTGTTAGATTTGGTTTCCCTATCTTTTGTAGCCTTTGCTACTCTTGAAAGTTGCTTTGTTCAAAAAGATCTGAAATTCTTACATTATCCTGATCATGTACTGCGGTGTGGGATGATAGGTTTTCTGTCTGGATCATCGAAGCTACCTCAAACATAACTGTCCAAAAGGTGATAAGAAGGACGTTACTGTTGTCATCTGTCCACTCTGCGCTAAGGGAGTTCGTCTAATCGGCGACGAAGACCCAAACATCTCATGGGAGACACACGTCAACACAGAATGCGACCCTTCAAATTACGAAAAAGTCACAAAGAAGAGAAAATGCCCCGTCCGAGGCTGTCGAGAAGTTCTCACATTCTCAAACACAATCAAATGCAGGGACTGCACAAAGGACCACTGCTTGAAGCATCGATTCGGCCCTGACCACACATGTCCTGGTCCCAGGAAACCCGATGCAGGCTTCCAATTCATGAGTCTTCTGAGCAGGAGCAAGAAGGAAGAACCACCAAGACCCAACAACCGAGCTCCTCCCACAACCACATCCTCAGCAACAAATTGGACCTCAAACTTCCTCAGTGCAGCATCCAACGTCCGAGCCTCTGCTGAAGCTGGAGTGTCGAAGCTGGGCCGGGAACTGAGCCAAGCGTGGCTGACAGCAAGAGACGGCATTGGGCCTAGCAGCAGCAGTGGAGGGGGAGCCGAGATGGACGAGCAGTGTCCACAGTGCGGTGCCAAGTTCGAGTCGGTTATGAGCCTGGTCGAGCACGTGGAGAAGGTGCACGAGAAGAAGAATCAACAACAATCTCGGGTCCTGAAGTTGCCTGTAGATGTGTGTCCAAAGTGTAGTAAAGGCTTCCGCGATCCTGTGGACCTTGTGGAGCATGTGGAAAGGGACCATGGAGGTACCTCGAAAGCTTAGGCAGTTTTCTTCCGGGGCCTTTTGGAACTGATTGTCTACTGATTCGATTGATCCCAATTTAAGGTGGTGACTCTTAAATCTGAAAAGAAATGGAAAAAAGATTGTTACTTCGATTCAATTTGGAGCAAATGCCAGTTACCAACTACAAACAAAGCAATGATTTTGATTTCCTATGAAACCTTATTTCTTTCACTATCATATTACAATTTCAAAAAATAATTACCAGTACGGAAATGGCGGGCAAAAGAGGGAGGCGGGTAATTAACTGTCGAAATGGCGGTGAACAAAAGGACAACACAGCACGATTCCAAGAAGGGCATATGTCATGTCAGAGAGAGAAGGGAAAGCAGCTATCATTTTTTTTTTTTTTTGGGTCGAAGAAAGAAAGCACCTTTCTAGCATTAGTACATTACTATTCCTAATTAATTCTTTTACAATAAGAATAATAATAATATACTAAACTCTAACGGCTTACAAAATATTTCAATAATGGTGCTGTCATTTGATTTTCGCGTAGCCAGTTCAGATTTGGGAATGGTGGTGGTAGGCCGGCCGGCCGAGAGAGAGAGAGAGAGAGGTAAAATAAAGGGTTGAAAATGCCGGAACTCCAGTTCATCTTTTTGCATGGCACAGCGCCGATCCTAGGTATTATTCTGTATTCAATTTCCCCATCTTCTCTCGATTGTCCTCCAATTGGGCGATCTCCCGATTCCGCCTTTGAAATTCTGTGATCAGTTCGTTAATGTTGTTTCGTTCCTTCCTTCCTTCCTTCGATTAGTTTCTTCTCCCCGCTCTCTCTTGGTCCAGCTCTTAGTTCAAATTTTGGTTCGCATTTTGCATTTGGGGGGTCGGCTTTGTTCCTTTCCTAAAACCCTTCTCGGTCGGGTTTTGTTGCGTAGAATCGGAAATGGGTTTTGATTCTTGATTTTTCCTTGTTAGTTCTTGTAGCTCATACAGCTCTGGATATGGTGAGGTCAAATTTTGTGGTGATCTGCTGATCTCCCTCCATATTGTGATATTACTTACAGGTTGATCGTCCGGAAACCCAATTTGTGAACGAACCTGGTCTTTCCTTTCCCTTCTCAGTGCCAAAATCCAAGATAAATACTTGGTTCTAGGAGGGAAGGAAAGAGAGGTTTCGTGTCCGTTGGGGGATGAGCTTGTGAGCAGAGTCTCTGAACATGAGTGCCGTTTCTGGTGTGTTATCACGGCAAGTATTACCAGCGTGCGGTAGCCTTTGTTTCTTTTGCCCTGCTTTGAGGGCAAGGTCCAGGCAGCCTATCAAGAGGTACAAGAAGCTCATAAGTGAGATTTTCCCCAAGAATCAGGTGAGAGACTCTTTGACTTTCAGTTGCCTTTTTACCCAAGTTTCTGTGTTGAAATTGTTTGAGAGAGTGAGAGCACCTTGCTTGTGCTTGTAAGGGACTTGTTTTCCTTCAGCTATGGCCCTTGTGCTTGCTTCTTGCACCAACTAATTGGGATGAAATACCCCTTTCGGATATTGCTGATTGGTGTTATGTTAACCTCCTGTTCTTGTAGCTATTTTTTTTTTAGAGAATGCATCTTCAATTCTTTTCTCAACTTTACTTGGCGATTCACCATCTTGAGATAGATGCTTCTGTATATGTTAACAATATTGATGCGTATTAATGGCAGGAAGAAGGCCCAAATGATAGGAAGATCGGTAAACTTTGTGAATATGCGGCTAAAAATCCTTTGCGTATCCCAAAGGTACAGTTACCTTATTATAACTCAGGTGATGATAGCACCTTGCTTTCTGCATGAGCATACTCTTGGATCAGAAAATGCGTGACGTTTACATCAGAGGTGTACACATGCTTATGCTGTTCTCATTTGTATTGCTAAGCAGACTGAGTTAGTACTCAGACGGAGTACTACTATGCTTAAAATATCCCATTGCTGTTCTTGTTGGACCGTCGATGGTCAACTTCTCATACTTTATCTCCTTGCTTCACTTTTAATGTACTGGTGTCGATCCTTTTCTTACAGTAAAGTGTATCAATTTTAAACTGAAATAGGAGTTGTAGCAGGCCCCATTTATCTCTTACTAATTATTCTAGTGATATTTATTTATGAAATAATCTCTTTTGGAGCCGCAAGTTTCTTTATTTTCACCAATTAGATCATTGAGTTGCATCACAGAATAAAAAATGTCAATAAATGTGATGGTTAATGGACGTTGTACTCTTGACCAGATTGCAAACTCTCTTGAGCAAAGGTGTTACAAGGAGCTGAGATATGAGAACTTTCAGTCTGTCAAGATTGTGATGTGCATATACAAGAAATTGTTGATCACTTGCAGAGAACAATTGTGAGTCTATCCTTCTTCCATTACTTTGCTTTCTGTTCATGTGGTATGTCATGCTTCCACAAAACCTTTTCGCTAAGCAAAATTGGCATCAATCATGATGTTTGGCCCAGGAAGTTGCATTTTGGGATTTAATTGGTCTATCACCTTTTGTTTTGTGAATGATAATCCTTTCCTTGCACTGAGTGGTAGCATTTTTCAGTATTGTCGCAGTTTTAATTTGAAAATATGAGAGCTGGTTTTATGTCTTCTTTCCCTCTGTTTTATATTTGGTTCTACACCTTTGAATGAATCAGTATACTTGTGTTGTTACATTCCGCTTTAACGCCTATCTTGGTGTCTGTTGGTGAACATTACACAGGCCTTTGTATGCTACTAGTTTAATGAACATAATTCATACATTGCTGGATCAAACGAGGAGACAAGATCTGCAACTTACAGGATGTGAGAGTCTTTTTGACTTTGTAAATAACCAGGTAGGTGATGCCCCTTTCCCTCATTAACGGCAACATTTTCTTCTACAAAGAGAAAGAAGAGACTATTCTGCCTCATGGCAGTTTCTTGTGTAGCTTTCAGGTTTTTGCATACAGGATGCAACTCATTTGGTTTCATTAATTTTCAGAAGGATGGAACTTATGCATTTAATTTAGAAGGCTTTATACCTCAGCTCTGTCAGTTAGCTCAAGAAGTCGGAGAAGACGAAAGAGGAGTTTGCCTACGGGCAGCTGGTCTCCAGGCTCTTTCTTCAGTGGTATGCATTTCCTTGGTTAATATTGTTTCACTAATTTGGAGTCTTAGTGCTTTCGAGAACGCTAACACAATCACAAACCTTTTTGTAACCAATCATTAGTCACTTAATATTCATCAAATCTTTGATTTCTACAAAAGAAGACCAAGACAATTTATTAAACATCCTTGCATCTACATTTATTCTTTATACGCTGATTGTTCAGAGAAAACCCAATGGTCATCACTTGATATGAGAATGCTATATTACTTCCTTGCCTTTCCATAAGGAACAGCGAAAAGTAATCATTCAACTAAAAAAAAAAAAAAACAGCGAAAAATTATCTTCTCAAACCTTTTGTTATGCCTTACCATATGTGAATAAGTTCTTTTCTTTCCATGGGAAGATTTACCAAGCGCGGTTAAAGTTTTATCTATGAGAGTTTATATTCCCATAGGGTATCCTCCAAGATTACCACTGTATCTAGGCATGGAGTATTACCGGAAACAAAATGCTTCTTAATGGCTTAATATTTCACTTTAAGTCATGGTTTAACGCAAATGATTCCGTACTGACTTGATTCTTTCTCTTTGAAGGTCTGGTTTATGGGCGAGCATTCACATATTTCAGCAGAATTTGATAATGTAAGTTCTCTGTCTTGAACTGAAACTATGTGCAGATTTACAAAATTTCATTATTTTAGCGCTGGACAGTCCTCCATTCTATGCTTATTTTCATAATTCACATCCTGTATACAATATGGAATGTCCTTTATGCTATTGTAGTGCTTGTTTGCCTTCAAACATACCATTTTGTGTGCTTAAATTCCCGATTATGGATTCTTCAAGTGTTATAGATACTATGCCATTATAGCTTCTCAGAATGAGGCATGAGTATAACTTATAATTGGTGCTTTTGTGCTCCTAAAAAGAGGAGACGTGAAAGAGTTGGCCAAAGGAAGAAGTTCAATAGTTAGCTAATTTAGGCAGTATCTGGGCACATCCACTAGAATGAGAGTACAATTTCCATAAAAACAAAAGAAGAATTCACCAGTATTTTGACGTTTCTTTTGCATGACTGTGCAGATCGTTTCAGTTGTTTTAGAAAATTATGGAAACCCTGAGGATGTTCATGAGGAGCAAGGTAACCAGAACCAATGGGAACAAGAAGTGGTTAAAAATGAGGAACAGGGGTCTACTTCGTCTGAGATGCTTACCAGGGTTCCATCTTGGGGGACAATTGTTAAAGAAAATGGAGAATTGAATGTGACGGAGTAATTCCTCAGCCCTTAACCATTGATTATTATGGGACTAAATATTGGTTTCATTAATTAATATTGAGATGTTGTCCTTTTGGTGGCACAGAGAAGATTCCCGGAACCCCTGCTTTTGGGCTAGGATTTGCTTGCAGAACATGGCGAAGCTAGGGCAGGAGGCTACAAACATACGGCGAATTTTGGAATCTTTATTCCGATATTTTGATAGTAGTGACCAATGGTCTCTTGATCACGGTCTTGCGCTCCCAGTATTGAACGACATGCAAATTCTTATGGAAAAGTCAGGTACACGAGTTGTTGCTTTTATTTTTGTTTTTGTGTCTGGGACCTATTCATGATTTCCAGTTTGCTTTTCGGATGGCTTCCACTATACACACTCTGAACTCTGTTTCTTTTATATAATCTCCTTGGGAGATTAGGGTATAATTCACATGTTCTGCTGTCCATGTTGATTAAGCACCTGGATCACAAAAATATCCTGAAAGAGCCAAACATGCAGCTAGACGTATTGAATGTCACCACCTCACTAGCTCAGCAAGCAAAGGTTGAGTCTTCGATAGAAATTATTGGTGCAGTTAGTGATGTCATAAGGCATTTAAGGAAGAGCATACAATGTTCTGTTGATGACGCTAACCTTGGGGCCGAGGTTAAGAGTTGGAACAAAAACCTGAGAGAGGCAGTGGATAAATGTCTCGTGGAACTGTCAAATAAGGTGGTACTCATGTCCAACAACAATTGTTTCGATGTTCACTTTCAACCATTTCCTCATTGGTTTCCTATTCCTTGATCTTGAAATAGAGAATAACTGGATACTGGTGGTGCGTAGGTTGGAGATGCAGGTCCAATTCTTGAAATGATGGCTGTAGTTCTGGAGAATCTTTCAGCTGTTACAATTATTGCAAGGACCACAATTACTTCTGTTTATCGAACAGCTCAGATAGTTGCCTCATTGCCAAATTTGCATTATCAAAGCAAGGTAACATGATCTCTTGCATATCTCATTTACAAGCTTTGCATGCTACATTCTGTTTTTTATTTGAACCCTGTGGTTGTCGCAGACTTTTCCTGAGGCTCTATTTCATCAGCTGCTTCTGGCCATGGTCCATCCTGACTATGAGACGAGAGTTGGAGCTCATCGCATATTTTCTGTTGTTCTAGTACCTTCTGCTGTTTTCCCGAGGCCAGTTTCAACTGGTCTTGATTTAAAGAGACAAGCTGAAGTTGAAAGGACCCTCTCAAGAACAGTTTCCGTCTTTTCTTCCTCAGCTGCTCTTTTTGAGAAGCTAAAGAGGGAGAAAGCGTCAAGCAGGGAAAATTCCTCTCATGGACACAAAGTAGATGCCGGCTCTGCAGGGAAAATGCAGAATGGGATGCTTGACAGATTGAGGTCATCTGCCAACCAAGGGAAAAATATTGCAACTGATGGTCCTTCATTGGCTGATGAAAAGTCCATCTCCAATTTAAATAAGGTGAATGGGTTGGGGAAATTTTTTCTTTTTCTCACCAATGCGGATCAGTTCAAGCATCTAATCATGTCTTTTGCTTTTGTACTTTCTTAGATTCCATTGTTCATAAATTCTTTGATCTAATGTCATACTTCTGAGGTGAAACAGAAGCTTCCTGTTGTAGATAATGCTCCTGGCCCTGTTAAAAACTTCATTCAGTGATTGTCTTTGTTACCCATTTATTTTGCTAATGTCAAGTTTCTGTTCTTCCTGTGTGCAAACCTTCTTAGACATATTCAAAATGGTCAAATCTGTAAATTGCCCTTCGAAAATGATTTTTGAGGAGACCTAGGTCCCTACTATGTCTCCAAAACTTACTTTTCCACATTTGTGGTATGGAAGACATGATATTATTTCTTTTGGGCCAAGTGATGGTCATGATATTAGATTGTCGTTTGATGTACACCATGTTTCTGTGTTTCAGCTTCTTTCTCTTTGGTACTGAAGTTTTAATGACTGTAATGCTAACCAACCTGCAGGATGCTACTATTTTGAGGCTCAGCAGTCACCAAATTAGTCTCTTACTGTCGTCAATTTGTGCCCAGTCAATTGCTCCTGAAAATATGCCTGAAAACTTTGAAGCAATCTCTAATACGTTTAGTCTGGTGCTGCTATTTTCCCGGGGCAAGGTACTTATATTGCTGCTATACATCATTAAACATTTTTATTTCCAGCTAGTTGTTCCATTGATTGGGGTGTTGCCTGATTTTCGTTAAAAGGCTTGGAATTGCTTCACTTCTTATCAAAGAGTTACAAAGACTCAGGCTTGGTTTCTTGGATATATTCTATTAGATTTGAAGACCGATTTTAATGCGCACTAATCAAACTGTCTCGTGCTGAAAGTAATATTATGAGGATAAGATATTTTTGCTTGATGGAAACATAGTTGGAAACATAGGTCAAGCCAATGGACACCCTATAGGAGAAATTAGACTTTTGTCCCTGTCATAATTTGTTTATCACTGGTTGGACTAGGAAAATAACTTCTCCGATGGGATGTCTTTGACGTATCTGTTTACGAAGAAAGCTTGCCGTGGCCTCATATTTTTGCTTTCTGCATGAGAATGTTTAATTGTTGCACATCGTACTAAGTCTTGGAGTTTCAATATAAATACCTAAAGGCACTTTGAGTCTTAACTCTTTGATAAGAAGTGATGCAAGTTTAGGCTTTTTAGCTTTTCCATTTTGTGTTGATTGCTTGTCTGCCTATCACTCTATGGTTTGGTCGATTAAGTCAAAATTCCATCTTTCATTCCTCTTCCATGTTAAGGATGGTCATTTTTACTCTGTGAATACACGTCACCTTGTGCCTTGCAGAACTCCAGTCATGAGGTTTTAGTACGCAGTTTTCAGCTTGCTTTTTCCTTGAGAAATATTGCTGTCAGCGATGAAGGTAAGCTCTATGGCTTTTTTTTTCTGTCCTAAGATTAGAGCCCGGCAGGGCTGAATTTTTGCTGTATGCTTAGCAAATGAACATTTTGTATATAGAATGTACCCTGTGGACTCAAGAAGTTGGGCATGTGCTGATATTTTCCAGTTATGTGTGAACCAGTCCAGGACTGAGCAATTGATTTTTCATTTGTCTTGCAGTTTCTCTGGCCATATCACGTCGTAGGTCACTTTACACCATGGCAATTGCAATGATTCTTTTTTCATCAAAGGCCTATGGCATTGTTCCGCTTGTATCATCTGCCAAGCTGATACTCGCAGAAAAAATAGTACGTCTACTGTTACCGAGTAAACTGAAATTGCATTTTTGTAATCACTGTTGGAATGTTATCCTTTTTGGTAGTCGCATGCACAAAGCTGATATTTTTCCTCCCCCCACACCCTTTTCCCCTTTCTAATGCTGTACCATTATCATTTGTCAACCTTCCTCTCTCGAGTCAGGTGGACCCATTCCTACGTCTAGTTGAGGACCGCAAGCTACAAGCTGTAAGTGGTGAAACTGCTAACACCAAAGTTGCTTATGGATCTAAGGAAGACAGTAAATTGGCTTCGAAAGCAATTTCATCTATAAGCATCACTGGAGAACAAAGCAAGGAATACTTTGCTGCGGAGATCACAAAGACCTTATCAAATTTGTCAGAAGTACGTGCAACTTTTCTTTCCCCTGATGTTAATCTCATTATATTGTTGTATTCATGAGGTTTTGAAACAACAACGGATGTCTTGTGCAGTCTGAATTGTCTATTATCAAGCAGCAGCTCCTTGAAGAGTTCTTGATAGATGATACGTGTCCGCTTCCAGCTCCATCTTCCCGAGACACCGCTCACCAAAATCAGCTTGATGCCAAGGATGACTCTTTGGAGGTACTGTAGTAGCTATGTTTCTTCCCAATTTCGGTGAATTTTCCGGAGACCAAGTTCTTTGTATTGTTAGTTAACATCTTAAGCTTGCATCTGCTTCTTTATTCAGAGTGATGATTTTATTGAATCACTGGAAGGAGTGGCCAATCGGAATAAGCAGCCGGCCTTGCAGAGCCATGATGTGCTGAGCGTCAACGAACTTCTAGAATCTGTACGCCCCTTCTTTATGTTACTAAAGGAAGCTGATTGATTTATTAGATAGATGAATCTGAAGAAGAACTTAGCTAGTCATTTTAGCTGTCAGTTGGCATTCTTTCTACAGGAAGCACAATTTCTGATTGAAGTTTTCTATATATGTAAACCAATAGGCATTGGAGACAGCAAATCAAGTTGGAAGAATGTCTGTGACTGCACCTGATGTTCCTTACGAGGAAATGGCGCTTCATTGTGAGAAACTCCTGATGGGGAAGCAAAAGAAGATGTCTCATGTCATGAGTCTCCACATAAGGCTGGTGAGTGCCACACAAATCCCCCACTAGGGAGCAATTATTCGAAGGGGGAGGTCTAACTGACAGCTTATTTGTCTTTGAAAAATGCAGGGTAGCTCTCCTTTGCTCGACAAGAACTCGGCCGCGGTCCCCCAAAGACCACCGCTTATCCCTCTTGCTCTGCAATGTGCAACAGAGTATCAAAATCAGGGTAACTCTCTCCGCCTCCCAGCATCTAGCCCTTATGATAAGTTCCTCAAAGCTGCTGGTTGTTAACACATCTGAACAAGCTCAAGATATCACGAGATGAGTTCGCTTGCTTACTGAACAGACGATCTATATATATGTATTTCATCCATTCTTTGATTCTTTTGTTCAACATTCTGAATTTCCCATTTTTTCTATTCAACTACACCAATTTTCCGGCTGTTTGATTCATTCTGTTTGTTCATCATTGTACAAAAAAGCAGAAATACGAGTGAAGGCGAATTCCGTAGATTTCTTTTTTCTGTTCAGTATTGTTGTATAGCACACAAGTGACTGAACCTTTCATGTCATCTACTTCAATCCTTCATGAATCATGATCAGTATTGTGCAGAATGTTCCCTTTTTCTGGAAGAGAAACCTATAGCTCAACACTACTACTACGCTGCCGGGGCATAGGCCACGGTGCAATGAGGCAGAACCACGATCCCGGACCTCATGAACGCGCAACTGCGAACCACCAGTGAAAGTTTAGCACCAGCCAGACAAGAAGTACACTCCGAAACTCCTACGAGCGGACTGCAAAAGGCGACGCCGGAGACTACATCATCCGCCGAGGAACCGGGAGGAAAGGTGGTGGAGTAGCGACGACGGCCTTTAGCTGTCGAGGTCACATCCACCAACTCGTCAAGTACTTGCGCTTTATGTGCCTCGAACGCAGCTGAAGCGCCTGTGTCGTCGCAGTATGGCGCCCCCCAAGTTTCTTCAGTCGTAGTAGCAATCCTGATTCCACTCTGACGACTCTGATCAGTGCCGACTGCGACTATTGCTCCACCGGCGGCGATGATTGTTAGAACAACTGCTGCTGCTACTGCTATTCGCAGAGCGTTCTTCATTGTGATGGAGTTTGAACTGATCCATTAATGCATGCTTTTTCGTGTGTTTGTGTATATATAGAGGATAGTTTCCTTTGGTTATTACAGTACTGGCGCCGGAGAAAGATGTTCGAATTCGTCTAATTCCATCCATGAGTTTGCATGGCATAGGATTTTCTTCGGCAGTGCTGCCAATTGTCAAAGAAATGACGGCAATTCCGATCTGCAGAGCGTGTTACAATAAGTCAATAACCGCGAGCCAAACTTTTTGTAGTTGTCTGCGTGGTTTACAACAATCTACTACGTTACAAATTGTTTGTAAACTAGACCAATGTTGTTTGTTTAAATTCAAGTGCACTAAATTACCGGGGGAAAAAAAACCAAGTGCACTATACAAACAGATCATTAGTATGATGAACAGTTGCAAACATATGTTGCCATCCAGAAGGAGAGATTGATTTGGGAATCAAACAGTGAAATGATAATACCAATAATTTGATCCAATTGTCATAACCCGTACGAGTATTAGGTCGGATTCAAATAGATCAAAAGGTACATTTTTAATGAATTTAAGTTTTGCTTGGGTTTGGATTGGTTTAAGTCCAATTTGAGTGAACTCGTTGGGCCCGACTCAACTGAGTCCAAATGATTGTACATGTAATTTCGCGATAATTTCTTATACTCAGTGGCGGAGCCACTTGGAGAGGAGGGGTGAAAAAAGATTCCCAGTAAGGGTATATACAAAATTGAACCAGTGACCATTTATTTGCATGAAGAATTCCTTACCATCTCAACCGAGTGAGTTTTGTTATGCAATGCACTTTCGTTTTTATTTATAATAATAAATTGTTGTTTTTTGTTTAAGCAAAGCTGAAAGTGAAGAAGTACCAATTGAAGTTCACTTGTTTGTTTCACAAAATCAATTCCAAGATGCTTCTGAGTTCTAATTTGCAATATTTGATGAATGGAAGTCTTGACTTGTATGTACTGAACTTATTTGTTTGACGTTATAACCGGTGTATATGAAACTATTTTTATATAATTGTATGAATATTGAGTATTGCGTTGTTGACTTTTTGTTTCATTTAGAGTTAACTTTTCTATTATATATGTGATTTTTTATGATATGATAAAGACACCCCTTAGTCAATTTTCTGGCTCCGCCACTGGTTACACTAGGCATCTCACTCTCTTTAGTATAGTAGACTAATGTAGGTGTTTCTATCTTTCTGTTATTTCATAATAAAATTGAGTTATTCATTTTCTTTTTGGGTTAATTGCATGGTTGGTCACTGGAAATATTTAAATCCAATTTTGGTCACTCAAATTAGTTAAATGGTTCAAGTTTGGTCACTCTCCGTTACCTTCCGTCAATCTCTGTTAACTCCGTCAATTTTTTGCTGACATGGCTAACAGAAATACCTAGTCACTCAATTTTAATCCGAAAAAATTAAAATTCAACCTACCACATCATTAAAAAATTTCACATCATATAACCACAAGCTAACCCATAACCAACCTGTGAACCAACCCCCCCCCCCCCCTCTCTCTATCTGGGTTTTGTCTTCCTCCTCCCCAAGAACTTCAACAACAACCCCTACCAGTCAAATCCAACTCTAAACCCCCCCACCTTTCTGAACACCAAGAAAATGAAATTCGAAATTGAAAGCGCAGCCGCCGAACCAACAAACTACACCAACCCCGGCGAGCTAGCTCCAATATGATTATGTTCCTTGCCGACCAAGTAGCAGCGGCAGCGATGACATCCCACACTCCACGTTGTGTATCAAATCGAAGACCCATAGCGAAAGACAGAGCGACCGACACGCTATTGGAGAGAGAAGAGATGGAAAGAGGAGAAGAAAATGAGATTCGAATTAATTAGATCTGGAGCTCCAAGTTTTCCCCTCACCATAAGTCGATCTCTTTCGGTTGATGCTCCCTATGGTAGCGCCAGATTCGGGGACGAGATGTTCGATCGACTTTGAATTGGGACCGACCTAAACTACCAGGGGTTTGGGCCTCCCGTTGATGGTCTCTGAAGTTCGGCCGGAGCAGCGACATCGAGAGGACTGAAGGGCGGACATAAGAATCTGGGGAGGTGGAGTAGATGAAGAAGGCTGCGATGGGTCGACGACCTTCCTCATCCTCGTCGGTCGACGGCGAGATCCAGACCTGCCCGGACTTCGCCATTCATCATCGCCTATCTTCGTCATACTCGACCGGAGATTGGTTGGGAATAGAGGAGAGAGAGATGCATAATGGAGAGAGGGAAAGGCGGAGAGGAGAGAGAGAGGGTGGAGGTGGTCGGAATCGAAATATGGGTTGTGTATAGGTTTAATTTGGGTTGGTTAATGGGTTGGATTGGAATTTTGATGATGTGGCGGGTCGGATATAAATATTTTGGGTTAAAATAGGCTGATTGGACGATTCTGTTAGCCATGTCACCAAAAAACTAACATAGTTAACGAAAGTTAACGGAGAGTGACCAAACATGACATGTTTTAGTAAACTTAGTGACCAAGATTGGATTTAAATATTTCCAATGACCAAACATGAACGTTTTTTTTAATCTCAGTGACCATTGCAATTAACCCTTTTCTTTTTGGATATTCAAAAGATACAAGTACAGTTTAAACCCAAACAAAAAAGTTAAATTATTCAAGTCTTATTTTTGGACCCGTAATACGTTGGGCTTTGAGTAACACTCAAATATCAAGTCTCCTTACCACCCGGTAGACACGTATACAATCAGCTACATGCAAACTTAATAACACCCGGCCGGCCGGCCGGCCACTACTCGACGACGGCGATAAAGCTCATGGTGCATTGAGGGAGCGTCACCGCCCCGTAAAGGGCGAAAGCACAGCTCTGCGCCAGCGAAAGTTTAGCCCCGATCAGACAGCTAGCACATGCCGAATCTCCGACGTCCGGAGTGCAACTGGCCGAGCCGTAGACGGCCTCAGGAGCGGCCGTGGAACCGGGCGGAGGAAACTTGGTGGAGTAGCTGTATCCTTCCATTGTCGGCGTCACGTTCGCCAGCTCGTCGAGCACGTGCGCTTTGTACGCCTCGAAATCCGCCGAAGCGCCAGTGCCGAGGCAGTTCGGCGCCGCCGAGGTTTCTTCGATCAGAGTGCCGGCGGCGGCTGCAACAACGACAACAACTAATGTGAGCAGCTTCTGCAGAGAGAGATTCATGGTTATGTTTTGGAAGATGGTTTTTCGGGATTAAATTGGGTTTAATTAATTTTCGTTTGGTTTTTTATTTATTTATTATGGTACCGGCGCAGGAAGAATATATATATGTGTCGCAACGTTGTTCGGATCTGTATCCGGCCGTGATTTTGGCTTAGGATATGAATTCCTCGGCGATGTTGTTACAACTTCCGTTGCATTGTTTTGGCGGCATAATTAGGAGAGGACGCCGTTTTGTAATTGTGGCGTGGTTTACGACGGTCTATGTGCTCAGCCATGAGGATATATAGGCGGTGACGACATTTTATCCCTGAGCTGAGAACAGATATGAAGAACTCTACAAGGACATGGGCTCTTGGCGCGCCCATTCTTGCTGAAGAGGAACGCCAACTTTTGTGCCCGCTTCTACCTTATATTCCGGGTTCTAATATCCTCAAGTCTAAAAATAAAAAGCAAATAAATATCAGTTTTATATATATACATATATAAAACCTTCAGATCATGAAGAAAATTTGTAAGGAAATGATTAAGTATCATTTATGGACATTTTCTAACAACTCGAGTTTGTGGAAGTGGTTGGTTTTTTATATGGTATGAGAATTGGTTTATTACTGAGATAACGTGTTTAAGTCCTCACGATTTCTAATTATTGATGCCAAGCGTAGTGCAGTCTGCTTCAATATGTTTAAGATACGAAGAGCGCTGACATTCCAAAGTCTTTAACCACCTCCAACTGCATGTGTATACCTGAAAAAGGGACCAACAGGAAGTGTCCCGATTGGAACCTCTTGCGATGCTCAAGTTAGTAACTTGAATGAAACAATACAAATACAGTGATGTTAGACCTCATTCGGCCTCACGGTCGTAATTGAGCATCGTCGGCTATTTAATGGCGCCACCCAGTGGAGACTATCCACTATTATTTGAGTAGTCCGCATGTATTGAGTGTTTACAGATTTAACACGTTTTGTGAGGTTAGGCAGAGAGAGACAACTTTTTTTTAGAGAGAGTAGAAAAAGAGAGTGTATTATGAAGGTTTGATGTCGCCCAAATTTGTCGTAAGTGACGTGTGTTGTTACTTGTCTTGATAAGAGGAGGGAAGTGGTGCTCCTATTTATAGGAAAATATTGTACTTGATAATAAGCTTTATTCGGAACTCAAACGTAAGACATACTCGCCCTTATATATTCATTATACTTTTTTTTATAGAAATATGCACTAGGCTTTTATTGAGAATGTGAAGCCATTACAGAATCCAGCTCTAGCTGGTCAAGTAAACAAATGGGAGGTCGGTCGAACCAAACCTCGGAAACATTCAATCTAGTATCAACGTGAGCCATTATATGGGCGACTTCATTAGCTGATCTATAAGCATGCTTGCAATCCCCTGCACCCATCTCCTCAAGTAATCTTTTTATGCTTCTACAAATCACTCCGATTCAGTATGATTTCGGTCAGCTCCCTCTATGCACTTCATAACCGATGTGCAATCCATCTCAAGTTGGGGCACTCCTAATTGGTGTTGGCGCACCAATTGTAGCCCAAGTTCTACTGCCAAAGCTTCTCCCACCTATGGGTTCTGCTCGCCTCAGATTCTCTTAGCTGCCGCCATTAAAGAACCCATTTTCATCTCGCACCACTGGCCCTAGGCCGCTACCATCTACACACAAACCCGCGTCCGTATTTAAGCTTCACCTTCTCGGGGGGGGGGGGGGGGGGGGGGGGGGGGGGGGGGGGGCTCGTCCAGTGGTGTTCAACTCCACTTTGCTGCACAGGAGGAGCCACGTACTGCTGCTGTCTATATTCCTCAAGCAAAGTCGCTGCTCTCGGCACTACTTCTTCCTCAGCAATCTTCATCCCATTAAACATTTGGGCATTCCTCTCCTTCCAAAACATCCACAAAAGCATACTCCATTCCCCGAACTCCGACATCGACACCGTGGCAGCAACCTTCGTCATCCATTCCAAGCTACCCAAGTCTCCCCTCATTTCAAAACACGATGATACTTGGGACCTCCGCCATAGCCTACTAACCCATTCGCATTGGCATAAAGCATGCACTCGTGTCTCCCTTTGGTTAGAGAACGGGCACACATCCCCCCTTCTTTCACTTCTGGTACTCACATGATCCCCAGTAGCAAGTGAATCTCTAGACAGCCTCCACTCCTTTAACCACCTCCTATAGCCATCCCGGGCTGTGTATTCTCCATCTCTACTGTCCGCCCAAATAAACCTGTCTTGTTCGAGTGATCCGCCCATGGATGTCATCGATTGTGCCATCCGGGACCCGAAACACAGACATAGTATAGGTAAGTTGTGCTTGGGCCACGGACTTAATGAGAACTTCCCGTTCTGCCACCGACATAACTCGTTCCTTCCACCCTGCTAGCTTCTTCCTTATCCGCTCCTTTAAGTATGTGAACATGGCTTTTTTTGATCTTCCAACTTCAGTAACTAGGCCCAGGTATTTGTTATGCTTCTCAACTCTCTGCATACCTAGAACCGAACTCACTTGCAGCTTCTGGTGCATTCGAACGTCCCCGCCAAAGGAGAGTTCTGATTTCTCCAGGTTCACCAGTTGTCACGATTCCTTTTCATAAGCATTCAGGATTCGTCGCAGCTCCAAACTCTCCTGGACATTGGCCATGACAAAAAAGATAGAATCGTCAACGAAAAAAAGATGTGAGATCACCGGTGCACCCCTAGCCACCAAGATCCCATGTATCCTCCTCTCCTGGACCGCTTTCGCCGTAAACGAGCTTAGCCCTTCCGCTACCAATAGGAACAAATAAGGAGACAACAGGTCTCCCTGTCCCAAACCTCTGCTCGGGGCGAAAGACTGCGATCTGTGCCCATTGACTAGTATCGCATAAGTTACCGATTGGATGCACATCATCATCAGACCAATCCATCGCTCAGAGAAACCCATTCGTCTCATCATCCCCTCCAGGAACTACCATTCCACTCGGTCATAGGCTTTGGCCATGTCCGTTTTTATGTCAGGAAGCCCTTCTTATTTTTTGCCTTTATTTTCATCGTGTGAAAACATTCAAACGCAGTCCTCACATTATCTGCTATGAATCGGCCAGGCGCAAAGGCTCTCTGCTCTGGGGAGATAATCTCATTCAGTAAACCTTTCAGACGGTTCACCAAGACTTTTGCCAGAATTTTATATAAAACATTACAGAGACTTATAGGGCGAAATTCCTTGGCCATCATTGGCTCTTTAACTTTTGGTATAAGAGCTATCAATGTATGGTTGAGCCCGTTAGGCATCTCCCCTTGTTCATATATCTGCATCACAGTCTTCACCACTTCGTCCCCAACGATGTTCCAATATCTAACAAAGAACAGAACCGAGAGACCATCAGCTCCAGGGGCCTTTCGCCTCCCTATTTGTTTCAGCACCGCATAGATCTCGTCTCTAGTCATCGGTCTAGTCAGCTCCTCATTTGCCTCTGGTGTGACCCTACTTGAGATAGAATCCAGCACTGGTGTAGAGAGTGGGCGTTCACCTGCCGAAAAAAAAAATTAACAAAGTAAATACCAAGGCATTCAAAGACTTGGTCCTGTCTCGCTCACCATTGTCCTGCCTCGTCTTTCTATTTCCGAATTGTATTCCGCTTCCTTCGAGTCGTCGCTTTCTTGTGGAAAAAATTAGTATTCTTGTCCCCATCCTTCAGCCAGTCTGCTCTGCATCGCTGTTTCCAAAATATTTCCTCATCACACTACACTTCCTCCAATTCCGTTTGAAGTTTCTTTCTCTGCTCAAGCACCCCATCCATCGACTCACATCTCTCTAGGGTCGTCAGAGCTCGCATTATTCGCACCTTCTGCCTCCTGAAATCGAGAATAGAGGCTCTACTCCAGCTGTCCAAACTTGAACTTATTCGATTGAACTTGCTAAAGATATCCCCCGTCCCTGAATTCCAGGCTTCTTCTACCGTTTGGCTGCACCCATCATATTTCAACCAGTGCGGTTCAAAACGAAATGACCAACCCCATTTAACTTGCTCGTCCTCCTGCCCCAACGTCTCACACAGAATTGGACGATGATCGGATATGGTGCTATTGAGATGAGAGATTCGTGCTTGAGGCCAACTTTCACGCCACCCCTCATTAGCAAGAAATCGATCCAAACGTTCCTCAATGTAACCACCTTGCATCCGCCGATTCTCCCAGGTATACTGTATCCCGTGAAACCCAAATCTTGTAACCCCACATCAACTAGACAGTCCGCAAACTCCTGTATTTCCGCTTCCACCGGAGGGTTTCCTCCTTTATTTTCCGAATCCGAGAGGACCTGATTCAGGTCTCCTCCACAAAGCCACGCCCCTCCCCACTGCGCTGCGAGCTGCCTTAGGAGCTGCCAGGTACACTCTTTTTCACTGCCTTCCGGCCACCCGTACAAACCCGTGAAACGCCACTCCCCTGCCAGCGTATGCACCACCTTAGCATCAATGTGGTGTTGGGACCGTGTCATTACCAAAACTCGAACTTCATCAGTCCACCATGAACTCAAACCTCCTGCCTTTCCTCCATTCGAGACGTCTGTAGGCCAACTCTTCCCATTCTTAAAGCCCAGCTCATTCCGCGTTGCTTCATTCTCATCGCTCAACTGTCGCGTTTCCATCAGAAACACAACCTGAGGGGAGGTTTGTCTCAGAAGTGACCTGAGTGACCTAACTGCACGTGTACTTTCCAAGCCACGACAGTTGTAGCTCAATAGCTTCATTTGGTTACCAAAGGGGATGGGTTCCCCGCACCCTCAGCTTTGTTTGTCACTTTTAAACCTTTTGAAGTTTTGTTTGATCCCGTTGTAGCTCCCGGGCTCTTTCCTGGGTTAACAACTTTCTCCCCCGATGGTTTTGACTTTCCCGTATCCTTTTCTAATCCCACCACTTTCTGATTCTTTCCTTGATTTTTATTACTGCCCTTTCCTTCCAGAACTGGCGACTCCTCTGCTGTACCCTTCTTCACATTGCCACTCCCCATTAATTCTCCTCCCACCATATATTTTACCTTTCCATCACTTCCCTTTTTTCCACTTCGTGCTACATCCTCCCCCACTGACTCCTGTGTTGCCTCAGTCCCCTTTCCTTCTGTCTCATTTTCATCTATGGCCACCGTGTCGACTTCAATATCAGTAACATGGAGTGCTTGGAAGCGATTCGTATTATCAGCAGCCATCGAGGTCTTCCTCCTCGTCTCTTCCCGTCGAACCGGCTTCCATTCCCTCCTCTTCACAAGCATCCATTCTCCGAACGTTCGTCCCATTGTCGGGTCCGGAATTGGTTCGCTGGGTATCTCTTCTTCAGCATTGCAAGTTCCCTGGGTCATATCACGGCAAGAGCAAGCTTCTGTAGCCTTTCCATACGTCCCACAGTCGATGCACACCTTATCCAAACCTTCATATTGGATCAGGTAAGTAACCCCTTCAATTTTATACTGCGACAGCAATGACCGAGTTAGGTCAACCTCCACGCAAACTCGTCCAAACTTCCCTCTCGCCCCCAGCTCAGTTGCCCTATCCACTCTTATTGGTAGGCCAATAGCCTCAGCTATACGCATAACTGCCTCTTATTAATAAACTTGATCGGTAGCTCAGGCAGTTGTACCCACACCATCGTTGATGTAATCATTGTCTTCCATGGATTGAATCCCTTAAACCACCTATGGACCGTCAGATACGTATCCCCTAAGAGCCATGGGCCTCCAGTTGTCACCAATTCATAATCTTTCTGATTCCGGAATCGTACCAAGAAACATCCATTTTTCATATTAGATATCTGGAGCTCCCCGTTACGACCCCATAGATAATTCAGTCTTTTTGCAAGTGGCACGTATGAAACTTTACGTCCCAGCCCTTTTACTACTAGGGAGGATCTCCATTCACGACGCCATCAGATTTTCTCTGCTGCAGTGTAACAGATGGTGGGACACCTTGGGTCTTCTTTTTCTTCGTCCACCACGTCATCCTCTTCTCGTTCCATCTACTCAACATCCTCCGTGTCGGATTCTGCCACATACCATTGATCTTGCTTCGGGCTATCACTAAAAACCGGTTTCCCTCCAGACCTCCCTCCATGTTGATCTGCTTCCGCCATGTGCTCCGACCCCATCTCCTCTTCCGTTATGTCTTCCACTTCAACATCTGCCGACGTAAAGTTCAAAGCCCTCGCGCGCTTCTTTGCCTGTGTAGACTCCTTCGCCGCTTTTTCATTTGGGGAGGAGGAGGCCTCAGTTGGTCATCGGATCCCCCCAGCTATGTCAGGGGGTTTTCCTTTCCCAATCGACGCCATTGTCGGCGCCTCCGCCGCCATTCCAGAGCCGAAACCCTAGGTGTTGTGCGCTGTAGTTTTTTCTCCGCCTTCCGAAAAAACCGGAGCTCTCTCTCTATCTACTTTCGCCTCAGATATATTCATTGTACATAGAAGTATACGATGGTTGAATTGATAAATTGTCAAATCTTTGGAGCAAGTTACCACACAAATACAATATACCATAATATTGTTATATATGAGGAATTTATATGAAATATCACGTTTAGATGAGTTATAACTTATAGATAATAGTAGTACTTTTTTATAATTATAAATATTGGTATTTGCCCTCAAATGTGTTCTTTTACTAATTTGATCTCTTAGCCCCATCTCTTTTTCGCTTTTCTATCAAGAGAGTTCCATTTTGCATATGATCTCCTCTTCTATTATTCTTATAGATAGACTTTATCATCATTTTTTAGCTAAATATTGGAATAAATGCATATGTGTTTTAGTGAGAGCTTGTAATACTCATTTTAGTGAGCAAGTTAAGGTTTAATTGTTTTTTTTTTGCCAAATATATGCAAGTGAGAATACAGCTGATACGACAAAATAAGTGGACCTTTTGCAGGGTCAAACTTACAAAGTAGAATTAAGGAAGAGCCGTTGGTCGACCTACCGACGATCTAACGAAGAGAGGGCTTGTTTCACAACGAGATGGACAGTCCTATTATACTTACGCAGGACGAAGTAGAACGATGAACATTGTAAGGAGGCTCGAAGGACCCGAACTTCAGAGAGAAGGCTACCGGCAGTTGCGTGGGATTAATTAGTAACATATGTGTTTTACTGACCGCTAGTTATTGTCTTTTTTAAAATTTAAAACTGAATGTTATACATGTTTCATACCCTAAAACAAATGTGAGAAATTCGACTACTCAACAACAATTATAAGAGAAGAACAAAATTTTAAACATCAAGACGGTGCATATTATTGTTATTTATTGTAGAGGTATACAATCAGCTTGCATCCAAGCTGAATAACACTACTAGCTCTCCCATAACAAAGTAGGAGCCAACAGCCAGCCGGCCGGCCGGCCACTACTCGGCCACAGGGGAAAAGCTCATGCGGCAGAGAGGAAGTATCACCAGCCCGTAAAAATCGTAAGCACAACTCTGGGCCAGCGAAAGTTTAGCCTCGATCAGACAGCTAACACATTCAGTAACTCCGACGTCCGGAGTGCAACTGGCCGAGCCGTAGACGACATCTTGAGCAGCCGCGGAACCGGCCGGAGGAAACGAGGTGGAGTAGCTATATCCTTCCATCGTCGGCGTCACGTTGGCCAGCTCGTCAAGAACGTGCGCCTTATGCGCCTCGTAGTCCGCCGAAGAGCCCGTGTTGAGGCAGTATGGCCCCGACGTCGACGACGAAGTTTCTTTAACCCGACTGCCGGCGGCTGCAACTACTACTATTACTAGTAGTAATGTGAGAAGCTTTAGCAGAGAGCTCTTCATTGTTTTATGCTATTTCGTAAATGCAGACTGGGTTTGCTTCCGTTTTTTTTAAAGTACGTACGTACCAGCAGAAACATATGTGCCACAGCGTACGACGTCGTCCTCTATATCCGGCCTTATTAGCATATTAATATTCCTCGGCGATGCTGTTTGAACTTTGACCTTCCGGGCCTTGTTTTGGCAGCATAATTAGGAGATGACGCCAATTTCGATTTGTATTGTAGTTTACTATATATAATTCATTATGGTGACGTATTCGGTACATGCAATTTTTCGAGTGCACTCAGTGCCCCCGCCTCATAATTGTCATTCTGAGCATGTGATCCATGTCGAAACGGTATCAATTGTTGATTATGATATTATGAACAAGAAGCACATGAATTTGAAAAAAATTCATTCAAAATTTACTTTAATTCGAAGGATTTAGGATTTAGGAATTTTAGTTTTAGGGTTAGGATTTAGGTTTACAATTTGGGATTTTAGGTTGGGATTCAAAATTGAAGGTTAAGGGGTTACGGAAATAGATTGATTTGTTATGATTCTATGTCATAACATCATATTAGATTGATTGTACTAATTAAAGTTCAAAATTTGATGTATTATGGACACTTTTAGAGTTGGGTGCACTAAAAAAAGTGAGTGCACCGAACCCTTAAACGAATATTAAAAATAAAAAAATTTACAAATTCTATACTAGCTCATGATTCAGAGGAAGCTTGCCCCCTAGATCCGCCGCTGATTATCACGAAAGGTTGAGGTTGAATTAATAAGTATGGTCGAATTATACCGAATCAATATTTGGAACAATGTAACAAAATAAGTTCCAATATACGTTAAACAACATACTCGAAGTCCTGCATTTAATTGTATTCTCAAGCTAATAAAAAGAGGTATAACAGCTGGTTCCAGGTATCAGGGACCCCGGCGACGCACCAGTGCGTGCAATCCATTCTGCCGTCGGCGCCATTGTATGTCGCCGGATGCCCATCTATCCTCAGCTGGGAAAGTGTCGTCACATTCAGGAAATGAACATGTTTGTTCCTCTTCACCTTCCTCAGCTCTCCTTCCACCACTCCGGCGATCGACGGCAGACCTCCCGGATATCTAGAACCGGCCACCGGTACCGTCTCCCGGGAGCAGTCCCTAAGTCCCGGCTTCCCCCACTCAAACCCACTGTCCATAATTTGGTTAGCATAATTAATTACATAACGACACCAAAGATTGTTAGAAGATATGAGAAGTTTGGGTGGTTAATTGTAATTAGCCATATGTTAATATCTCCCTCTCTGCTGTATATAACTATATATATATATGTAGAATAGCCAATTCTCTGTGCCGTGGAGTAATCTCAAGTTGGAAAAATGACTTAAATCCGGATATCATTCTATTTTTTTGCATTCAGTTTATTACGTTTGACAAAGATAAGCACTTACGAACAGATGGCTAATTAATTATTTACCGGTAATGAGCGGGGAAAATCCCCTCGAAGAACACTCTAGTCTTTGTAGTGTTGACATCCGAGTTTACCCATCGTCCCCACGTTGCCAGAGCTTTGGCCATGGCAGTTGTCCTGTCCATGTCCTTCACGATGGTGTTGCCATCTTGGACAAAATCCCACCTGCACCCAAACGAACAATAAATTTCGTCAGAAGAACAAGCCGAAATTGTGGTCGTGTTACTTTGTCTTTCTTGCATTGTTAGATATCCCAATTCGATAGTTCTTTTAAGTTGAAAATAAATTAATTATAATGAAAGTGATGTTGAAAACAGGGTACGTACGTACTTACTTACCCTTTCCGATTGCCTTTAACATACCACCAAAAACCAATGTCGAAAACTAATACGTCCACTTGTTTCCATTTGTCCCCACCATCACGGATGGAATCAAGCTTTAGCACTCTCCCGAAACTTTCTTCCACAACGTCGACCAGGTAGTGACTCCATAAATATGTTACTGTAACTTCATAGTCCTGCACCAACAAGTGAAAAACAAACAATAGAAATAAAAAATGATTTATAAACCACACACCATGGAGAAACAAAGGAGGAAGAAGCACAACAAAAGGAAAGAAAAAGCTTCTCCAAAGAAAGTTTTGTCTTGTGACATCTTATATATCCATGACTTATATGACCCAAAGTAGGGCGTTTTTTTCTTCTTCTGCTTAGCGTCTTTTTAGAGCCATGCGTATTAAGTTGTATAACAATGGTATGAAAACAAGATGATACAAACGTACTTGAAAAGTGACGTAATGCGTTGGGTAGGGAGCGGAAATGTTGGAATTGGGGACAGCAGCATGGAGAAGGCAGATCAAGGAGTTGTACTGATTCAAGATGACAGAGTCGCCCACGAACATGATCTGCTTCCCTCTCATCTTCTCCAGGAACCGAACTCCATTGAATCTGCACATACATGTGTTAATCGGTTTTAATATATCGGATTCTTAAACTTTATGTGACTATCACATGATATATTTAAGTCAATTGGTGTTATTTTAGGGCTCGCTAATCCGGGAATGGTTGAAAAGCCATTACTGCCTAGTGCCATGAGTTTGGTATGTTACAGGTGGAGAAAGCACGAAAAAAGAAGAAATTGCACAAACAATCAATCGGGCTCGAATCACTGGTGGAATATTCACTTGGACTAAGAGGAGCAACGAGCCGAAAGTGACTCGACTGGGCTGAGAAATTATAGCTTGGAGTCCCTTGACATAGATTATTTTTGGGCCAGGCCCATTACTGATGGAAGGGGAATTCTTTGGAGATGGGGACACGTTTTTGGGAAGGAGGAGGCAATTATTAGAAAACGAAATTGGGAGGAAGGAGGGGAATTGGTAAGGGGACGGAATTGCTGGCGGCGAAATATACTTGGGGGGACGGAAACTTTTTTTTTAAAAAAAGAGAATTCTTTTTGCAGCGAATTGGAGAGAGAGCGAGCAGCTTGTTGTGGACAAAATTCTTTTAGGCGAGGGATTTCTTTTGTGGAGAATTGAGAGGGAATAGCAGGCGGAATTAAACGCAAGCATTTGTACTTGAGCGCAGCGAGCAGGAGCGCGGAGTTGGAAGCGAGCTATCGCGCGGAGCAAGCAACAGGCGATTGGAGCGAGAAGAAATTGGTGTCGGGATCACGTTCGAGAATCTCAGTATTTTTTCTTTAGCTTTAATTGATACGATGATGATTATAAACATGATTGTGTGCTTTATTTTCGTCATGAGCTAAACCCCAATTTCTGGGGGAAACACCATAGGATGTAGCTACTTCTAGAATTGATGGATTAATTCGTATGTCTTTTCTTCCAATCTCTATTGCATGAAATTAATTAATGCTTTGTGTTGACTGGCCACCAATACATTGATTTGTAGTTAATTAGGTTATTAGCGACAGTGAAACCCTAATGACTGAGCATATTTCATGTGACATAGTAACTTATCGAAGCGACAGTGGATTAAATAAGGTGCTATGCGGTCTTAAATAGGATATCGATCTTCAGGCTAAATAATTAAGTCATTGAGCTACGACGTAGGATTTGATTTAATTGTTTAGTACGTAGCAATTCCCGACAGGGATAGCTAGCACATTCGTGATATTCTGGTTGTAGAGAGTTGGATTAAATTGATTGGAATATGTGAATTAATCTGGATAGGATAGGTAGTGAATCCCGGTGTTTCTCCTAGAGCTTTCTCCCATTGAATTTCTCCCGACAAGTTTACTTTGCTTAATTAGTTTAGTTATTTTGCTATTAGTTAATAATCTCATCAACCAAACCATTTTTCATCGATAGTTTGCTCCGCAGAATTGATAAATTACAAGGTTGTACCAGTCCCCGAGAGACGATACCTGGACTTCCGGTTTTACTACGAGATAGGATTGAGGCATTACGCTTTTGCCCTATCAAGTTTTTGGCGCCGTTGTCGGGGACTGCCATACCTTATTTTTGTTGATTTTTGTGAGTGAACTAGTTTGATCTGGGTGTTAGTGTGCAGAAGAATTTTCAGGTTTATCTTCCTCGTGCATGCCAAGGAGAACGATCGACAATTTACTGCCACTTGATCCATAGATAGAGAGGACCTGCCGACAGAACAGGAAGCAGGTCAAGTTAGGGAAGCAGCCAACCACAACCACAACTCCTAGGCCTTCCCTAACCCATAATCGTCAACAGAGAGGGCATGCTTCATCACCTGTCGTCCCTACACCACCACCATCACCTCGTAACCTTGAACCTGTCATCATGGCAGACGAGGAATGTTCGATCAGGGCTCGTTTGAATTGACGGACTGGAGCCCGAGCTTCATGTGTTGTCATTCCGGCTAGGGATGCAACCATGGAGATTACCCCCAGCATTTATCAACATGATCACCAATGGATATACTTTCTCCGGGGCTAGCAATGAGGATCCTCACGAACATCTCCGCCGGTTTGCGAGCATTTGTGATACGATGAAGAGCCCGACTGTGTCTGATGATGCAATCCGTCTTCGGATGTTCTCATTCTCTCTGATAGGGAATGCATCACACTGGTTTCAGAACTTAACACCACGTTCCATCACGACATGGGCTCAGCTTGAGAAGGTCTTTCTAGATAAATACTTCCCACCTGCCTTGGCAATGAAGAGGCAAGAAGAGATTGTTACTTTTAAGCAGGCTGATGATGAGAGTCTGATTGAGGCATGGGAGCGCTATAAGGGGCTATTGATGAGATGCCCAAGCCATGGTCTTGAAGATTGGAACGTGATCATTATTTTCTTCAATGGAATCAGAAGGGAGTTTCGGGATGCCCTGAATAATGCTTCTCGAAATGGTTTCACAAGCACGGAGGCACCAGCAGCATATGATCTGGTAGAGAAGATCTGTCAGAAGCCACTGAATGGGTAGTGAGACCAGTATTCGAAGAAGAGGAGGCTTGCATGAGATAAACATTGTTGTGAGTCTAGAAGCCAAGATAGATGCCAAAATGGATTTTAAGTTCGATGCACTCGAACGAAGGCTAGCCAAGATTGCTCTGGGTAGACAAGAGGAGGTTGTTTCATGTGAACTTTGCGAGGGTCCTCATCATAGAGATATGTGTCCAATGGGATCTGCTCAGTTGGAAGATGTCCAATATATCAATAATCCGCGAAGTCAAGGCTAGGGTGGTATGTATTCAAATACATACAACCCTCAATGGAGACATCACCCCAACATGTCATGGTCAAACAATAATCCAGCTGGTGTTCGAAACATCCCACCTCCTGGTTTTCAACAGCAGCAGCCTCAACCAGAGAAGAAGCCCCAGCTGGAGGAGTTGATTTTGGCTCATATGCAGAAAACAAACAATAATTTCAAGGGTCTTGATCAATTTGTCACTCAACAGCTAGCCATCAACAATAATATGCAATCATCTATGCTAGCTATGGAGAGGCAAATAGGCCAGATGGCTCAAACTTTGGCAGATATTCAAGGTAGGATTCCTGGGACTTTACCAGCAAATAATGAGAGGAATCCGAAGGACGCCATGGTTGTAGCAGTCACATTGAGGAGTGGGAAGGATTGGAGGATCCAAAGAGCAAGAAAAATCCAATAGAAAAGGAGGGCAAAGCAGCTGCAGAGGAAGAAAGTGCAAAAGCTGAAAAATCTGACTTGAACAGGCAAACTGCATGCAATCTGTTTGTGCATGAGCAATCTGCCAGTGCAACTCCAAAAGTGGAAAAACTCAAGAAGGAAGAGGTAAAGCCTTATTAACCTCCCGCACCATTCCCTCAGAGGTTAATGAAGCCCTTGGAAGACCCAAACTTCATGAAATTTGTGAATATATTCAAGCAACTTCATATCAACATACCATTGACGGAGGCACTTGAACAGATGCCTACTTATGCTAAATTCTTAAGGGAGTTTCTGAAAAAGAAGCGTAAATGGGCTGATCTAGAGAAGGTAACCCTTACTTCTTAATGTAGTGCTGTGATTCAGAATAAATTACCAGAAAAGAGGGATGATCCGGGCAGTTCACCATTCCATGTGTCATTGGAGGTACAGAGTTTGATAAATCACTTTGTGATCTTGGAGCAGGAATTAATTTGATGCCATACTCAGTCTACAAGAAATTGGGATTGGGAGATGTTCTTAAACCTACTCGGATCACTCTCCAATTGGCTGATCGATCAGTAAAAATTCCATAGGGAGTGGTGGAGAATGTATTGGTGAAGGTGGGAAAGTTTATTCTCCCTACAGATTTTGTTATTCTGGAGATGGAAGAAGATCGGGGAGTGCCTCTCATTCTTGGGAGACCTTTTCTAGCAACTGGAGATGCACTCATCGATGGTGGGAGAGGCAAACTGACATTCCGAGTAGGTAAAGAGGAGGAAATTTATAATGTCTTTCAAGTTGACCATAAACACGATGCATTTGATGACTTTGAAAGTGGAGCTCGAGAAAGGAAAAATTCATCTTCCTGTGATAGTGGACCACCCAAAGAACTATCACATGTCCTAGCAGCTCAAAGTCTGAAATCAAAGCAAGGACAGAAATCCTTGCCAGATCACCTCAAGTATAGATATTTGGGCAAGGATTTCAATCTTCCTGTTATTATTCCTTCTTCACTGACATTGAAACAGGAAGAGTACTTGCTTGAGGCGCTGCAATACCACCTACGCCTCACTAAAGGGTCCAACATGCAAACTAAGAAGGTCATACCGAATTTTCGCACACCTGGCCCTGTAGAGGTGACTCATATGTTGGATGGAGGTTATCCATTCTATAATTGCTCGGGATGGTATTCTGGATACCTTTCCATACCCATTGGTTGAAAGCTCCATGAACGTCAGGCTGAGGACGTTAAACAAACACTTCTTGGGAGGCAACCTAAGGTGAGTTTTCTTTTCTTTATTTTTAGTTGTGTCAAACCCATGCATGTTTAGATTAGGAGTTGAAAATTAGGGACATTGTTCCATCCTGAGTGTGGGGTGGTGAGTCTTAGTGTTTGTTTGTCCCTATTGCATGGGGTAAAAAAAACCCATTAGGTTGAGCACAGCCAAACTGCATGCAGTCTACCTGTGCAGGTGCAGTCTGCCTGTGCAAAGCTAATGGCTAAAAAACACCTAAAAATCAGAAAAATTAAAAACAAAACCTTGTACTCTTGTGGTAACATGATGTAAATGACCATTATGCCTTGAAAATGAGTTGGTGCTTGAAGGAAATCATCAAAATCACCCCCACTAGTGGTGAATTGCATAGTTATTCACAATGAACTTGATGTTTTGACTGACGTGATATGCTTTGAATGAGCAAACTCTTTAGAAACACTCTATTTTGTGAGGATAGTGTAACGAATCTTGGTGAAGTGGTTAGGTGGAGAACATTGACCATTCGACATGTTTAGATACCGTGCTTACTTGCATCTATTGTGAGTTGTTGACTTTGCAATGAGTCTCTGTTTTGAATGTTTTATGATGTGGTGAACTGCATCTTTATAAAAGAAAAAATCCTACCTGACAAGTAAAATATAAGAAAGTTGCCATAACAATTAAAGTGTGGGTAAAATGCCAAAATCGTGTGAGGAAATCACTCATTGCACAGGGGGGATTAGGAAAGGTTCAACTGAGCATCGGTTCGCGACCGTACAATGTTGCTTATCAAGTACGATCCCCAGTTGAGTGAAGTGTCGTTTGAGAATGTGCAATGACCCTCCACACGGACCAAGGAAAAGGAGTTGAAAGAAGCCCTTATGCGAGTGCTAAGAAGCAGAAATTGCTCTTGCTCGGTCACCGGTAGTAAGAAACAAATCCCACTTATACTAAATACGACCACTCGGCAAGCAAAATCAGAAATAGAGAAAGCCTTTCCTTGTCATAAAAGGTAGTGATGTGCTTAAAGTTAAAATCATGTTTGCGAAAGGCTTCCCCCATTAGTTTTTTTAGACTCATGCCTTGTTAATTGCTTATGATTGGTGTGAGTAAGCCAGATTGTCCTCACGAGATATGCACCTCACTGATGTGGTTAGATTCTCCTAATAACTGTTATACCATAAGTTGTTAATCACCCACTACCGACGATCGGAATTGAGTGTTGCTATTTGAGTTTTTGATGGATTGGAGTCAGTCGATGTTAAATGGTTGCAAAGGCCTTGAGTGTGGGGTGAAAGGTATGATCATTAAAGCACAACTTATCCTTTGAGAAAGAAACTACTGATTACAACAAGAGTACAAGGAAATTTTGTGTTTTATTTTGAGTGTTTGAGTGTTGAGTCTGTGGTGTGTCATTGTTTTGGATAGTTATGTGTTTGTGTCTTTTGAGTCGTTGCTTAGGGACAAGCAACAATTGAGTGTGGGGTTGTGATAATCGGCTTTAATATATCATATTCTTAAACTTTATGTGACTATCCCATGATATATTTAAGCCAATTGGTGCTATTTTAGGGGTCGCTAACCTGGGAATGGTTGAAAAACCATTACTGCCTAGTGCCATGAGTTTGGTATGTTACAGGTGGAGAAAGCACGAAAAAAGAAGAAATTGCACAAGCAATCAATCGGGCTCGAGTCACTGGTGGAATATTCACTTGGACTAAGAGGAGCAACGAGCCGGAAGTGACTCGACTGGGCTGGGAAATTATAGCTTGGAGTCCCTTGACATAGATTATTTTTGGGCCAGGCCCATTACTGATGGAAGGGGAATTCTTTGGATATGGGGACACGTTTTTGGGAAGGAGGAGGCAATTATTAGAAAACGAAATCGGGAGGAAGGAGGGGAATTGGCAAGGGGACGGAATTGCTGGCAGCGAAAATATACTTGGGAGGACGGAAACTTTTTTTTTTTTTTTTAAAAAGAGAATTCTTTTTGCAGCGAATTGGAGAGAGAGCGAGCAGCTTGTTGTGGACAAAATTCTTTTAGGCGAGGGATTTCTTTTGTGGAGAATTGAGAGGGAACAGCAGGCGGAATTAAACGCAAGCAGCAGTACTTGAGCGCAGCGAGCAGGAGCGCGGAGTTGGAAGCGAGCTATCGCGCGGAGCAAGCAACAGGCGGTTGGAGCGAGAAGAAATTGGTGCCGGGATTATGTTCGAGAATCTCATTATTTTTCCTTTAGCTTTAATTGATACGATGATGATTATAAACATGATTGTGTGCTTTATTTTCGTCATGAACTAAACCCCAATTTCTGGGGGAAACACCATAGGATGTAGCTATTTCTAGAATTGATGGATTAATTCGTATTTCTTTTCTTCCAATCTCTATTGCATTAAATTAATTAATGTTTTATGTTGACTGGCCACCAATACATTGATTTGTAGTTAATTAGGTTATTAGCGATAGTGAAACCCTAATGACTGAATAAATAGGATATGCGACAGTGGATTAAATAAGGTGCTATGCGGTCTTAAATAGGATATCGATCTTCAGGTTAAATAATTAAGTCATTGAGCTACGACAGTAGGATTTGATTTAATTGTTTAGTACGTAGTAATTCCCGACAGGGATAGCTAGCACATTCGTGATATTCTGGCTGTAGAGAGTTTGATTAAATTGATTGGACTATGTGAATTAATATGGATAGGATAGGTAGTGAATCCCGGTGTTTCTCCCAGAGCTTTCTCCCATTGAATTTCTCCCGACAAGTTTACTTTGCTTAATTAGTTTAGTTATTTTGCTATTAGATAATAATCTCATCAACCAAACCATTTTTCACCGATAGTTTGCTCAGCATAATTGATAAATTACAAGGTTGTAACAGTCCCTGATAGACGATACCCGGACTTCCGGTTTTACAACGGGATAGGATTGAGGCATTACGCTTTTGCCCTATCAACATGCATGCGTGACAGGAAATCAATTAAAAAGTTAAAAAAAACAGGTAATTAAATTCGTTGATCACCATATACTTATTAATGTTGCATGTGGATTAGATATCGTGATTCGAACAAACAAAAAGTCTCGCTAATAATATATTGCGAGGACCAATTTGTAACCAACCACTCGAATTATTGGTACTTACCTGGGCAGGTTGCAACCGGAGGGTTGCCACCTGTAGTTAAGGTAGTGGCGGTCGGGTCGGCCGTACTTTTGGCAGTCGAATTCCGACCTTAGGAAAGGACACGTGGCAGAGTAGTCTGAAGTAGGGTAGGACTGGTCGAAAACCCAGCTCCCGCTGAAGACGTCGCACTTCTTGCTGGCTCCGCCGGCGAAGCAGAGGATGGGGGAAATGCTGAGAATAATTAATGCCACAAAATGGCAGCTTCGTCTGCTGGCGGCATCCATTTCCCAGCTCTGAAAATGGTTATTATGAGGATCAGCAAGAAGCCGAAAGCAGAGAAGAATTCAAAGAAACTTTGTAACAACGTTATATTATGGAGGGTCGATCTGAAGAATTAAAAGGCAATATAACCGTAACATTCACCTGCAGGTTTAAGATCGAGCTGGTCAGTTTGGAGCAAGGAATTGTTCACACCTGCAAGCCATCATCAGGATTTCTTCCCGCTGAACTGTTCCCCATTTCGGATGCAAACATACAAATGAATCCAGAGAGGACAGTGCGACCGTTAAACGTGTGGTGTCGAAATGAACTGTTGATGAAGCTATAGTAACGAAAATATTGATTTTTAGTAAAATTTGAAACTCATCATCTGCAGCCGAAAACACCACTCTTGATTTTGAAACGGCATGGAGCTGGGGATGTTATTCCCTCGGATCCGGAAACAGCCGCTATCTGCCCTCTCGCTGGGTTCATCGTCAATACGTGATCATAAAGCTGAAAAGACTGTTTTTTTTTTTAATGAGGTTTGGTGGAATCTCATTCTATGGCCTCGGGATTTGCGGCTGTGTATGACAGGCATAAAACCGGAGATTGCTGCTTCTGTCTGGGTCTTTGAGCCGGACTCCTTGAAATCTGCTTTTCGTCTTGCAGGGTATAAGGAAGAGGAGCTTGCGAGCTGGAGGAGCACCATAGGGCGCTATCCGCGTCCCAGTGGCACCGGTAGCAGCAGCGGTACTGGTAGCAAAGGAGGAGGAGGCGTGGCTGGAGCCACTGCGGGCGCTGGGGGACCTACGGCGGCGCCGGCGCCAGTTGCTGCGGCGAGGGGAGGAATGCGGCCACCACCTAAGGGGTTTGTGCGGCTGTCCCCTGCAGAGATCGAGCGGAAGAGGCGGGAAGGGAAGTGCTTTAATTGCGACGAGCGGTTCACGATAGGTCACAAGTGCGCATGTCCCGATTTGATGATGTTGGTCGGAAGGTGGGAGGATGAGGCGGCTGGTCGAGTTCGCATTTTTTGAGGACTGTACCAAAAAATAAATTTTATGATTTTGACCTAAAAGCAAACAATTATTAGAATATAAATAGCGCCTAATTGGTATAAGGGGTCCAGTGGGCTACGGGTAGGTAGCCCGTAAGCCCCTGTGCACCCCTTTTTTCCAGTCCCGAGATCCACTCCTTCCTTCTCGACACTTCTTTCTCATCCATCTGTGATCCTCCCATCTTCTGATTACATCTGCGTTGATTAATTTTCCTCTACGGACTGACTGCCCATTGGCAAACTGGCGACTGCCCAAGTTGCTACAGGAGAGAAGCCTCGAACTGGGTTGGTAACATAGGTCTTCATGCACCTTTTTCTGCTCCTTCTTCGATGTCCCTACGTTGTCTCTCTGGCGGCTGGTCTAGTTCGCATCTGCCCAAGCTGAAAAGACTGTTTTCTTTTAATGAGGTTTGGTGGAATCTGTAAACATAGATCATAATAGCATGGATCTTAGAATTAGATGATTTCACGAATCGATAATAGATCGTGAAACCTACCTCGATCCATGAGAGCGGCTGCGGCGCTGGAGTAGTAATCACCGGAATTGAGTTTCTCCCTCTTGACCCCTTTAGGTTTTAGGTTTAGAGATTTCTGTGATGGCTAAGAAATTCTACGTAATGGGTTGAGAGAGGACCAATCCTAGAGCTTCTTTATATAGGCCCACCATCAGGGCATATTAGAAACTTACCTTTCATTAACCTAATCAATATAGGATTTACCTTATATATTAAATCATTAAGTGATAATTACACTTGGGCCACAATTATTCCCTAGTTACCTACGGGAATTGGGCTTACATTCTCCCACTTGGTCCATGTGTCATTATATATCACAAGATCTAATAATAAACATAAGTGTGCACATCATGAGATAAATCCATAATATTTGGTTCACCATAAAGTCATAATCAAGTATGAAAGCTAGATTAGGATCATGGCGGTTCTGTATCAATTTATCGACATAGTCTCTTCCATGTACCACTAAACCAGTCTCATGCTCAATATGACGCATAACAAGGTAGTCATAATGGTCCAACAATAATGTCTTCACTAAAGACAAAAATCTTGTTTTGTTCACATAATGCATAATGTATATATACTGGTAATAATAAATAAAATAAGATTCATAACTTTATTCCAGAAACAAAATAAATGAGCTCAAAGTGTCAATCCATGAAACATAAAATAACTTTAGTCATGACGTCCTATAATCCCCATCCTTTCGACATGTTCAGTAAATGTCTTAGGAGGCAATCCTTTTGTTAATTTATCAACAATCATAAGCTGTGTGCTAATATGCTCGATCGACACCCTTTGTTTCTGAACTTCTTCCTTAACGACAAAGTATTTCACCTCCATATGCTTAGCACCCTTCTAATACTTGTCATTCTTAGAGAAGAATACCGCTGCGGAATTATCACAGTAAATTTTCAGCGGCTTGGCGATAGTGTCGACAATTCCAAGTCCATAAATAAAATTCCGCAGCCATAAACCATGATTTGTAGCTTCATAACAAGCTATGAATTCAGCTTCCATAGTGGATGTGACAATAACAGGCTGCTTTGCACTCTTCCATGAAATTTCCCCTCCGGCTAGAAGGAACAAATAGCCAAAAGTAGACTTCCTTGTGTCTACACATCCAGCATAATCTGAATCTGAATATCCAATCACCTCAAGGTGATCAGATCTCCTGAAGGTGAGCATGTGGTCTTTTGTTCCTTGCAGATACCTTAGTACCTTCTTTGCAGCTTTCCAGTGATCTACTCCTGGATTACGTTGATACCTGCCCAGCATTCCGACAGCAAAACTGATGTCTGGTCTGGTACAAGTTTGTGCATAATTCAAACTTCCAACAATAGATTCATAAGGAATGTGTTCCATTTGCTTGCGTTCCAATTCATTATTTGGACATTGTTTGAGACTAAATTTATCTCCTTTCTGAATTGGAACGACATTTGCAGAGCATTCAGCCATGTTGTATCTCTCTAGGATCCGGTTAATGTATGATTTCTAAGACAATCCCAACAGTCCTTGTGATCTATCACGAAATATTTATATTCCAATCACATAGGATGCCTCGCCCAAATTCTTCATTTCAAAGTTCTTAGAGAGAAACTCCTTGGTTTGATGTAATAAACCAAGATCATTAGTGGCAAGCAAGATATCATCAACATACAGAACTAAAATTATAAACTTACTCCCACTAATCTTCAGATATATGCATCGATCGACAATGTTCTCCTTAAATCCAAAAGATGTAATGGTATCATTGAACTTAATGTACCATTGTCGGGAAGCTTGTTTAAGTCCGTATATTGACTTCTTTAATTTACACACCATATGTTCTTTTCCCTCAACCACAAAACCTTCAGGTTGATCCATATAGACTGCTTCATCTGAATTCCCATTCAGAAAGGCGGTCTTCACATCCATCTGATGGAGCTCTAGATTATAATGAGCTACCATTGCCATGACAATCCTTAAGGAGTCTTTCTTAGTGACGGGTGAAAATGTCTCTTTATAGTCAACACCACTTTTCTGAGTGAAACCTTTAGCAACAAGTCTGGCCCTGTGTCTTTCGATATTGCCATTAGAGTCGTGTTTGGTCTTCCAGACTCATATATTACCAACTCTTTTACAACCTTCAGGCAAATCAACAAGGTCCCAAACTTCATTTTTATACATTGATTTCATCTCTTCTTTCGCGGCAGCTAACCATTTATTAGAATGCGCACTTTCCATGGCTTGTGAAAATGAAACTGGATCATGATAGAGTCTTAAATCAGATTCTAACTCGTGAAGATAAACCTCATAATCATCAAAAATTGCAGGCCTTCGATTTCTTGTAGACCTTCTTAATGCAATTTCTTGTGGTTCATCTATGTTAGGTTCATTCTCTATAGAAATATTAGGTGGTGCTTGACCGTTCATTTGTTGTTCCTGCAAATCGTTATCATGCTCAACATGTGCAGGAGCAACAACTTGAGAAGAGGGTAGAGGTAAAGATATTTGCACTCTAACTTCTTGAATTTCCACATTACGTGGCTCTAAGCTCCCACTAACTTCACCATTCTCAATGAACCTAGCATTTCCAGTTTCAACAATTCTCGTACTATGGTTAGGGCAATAAAATCGATACCCCTTAGATTTTTCTGGATAACCAATGAAAAAACCACTGATTGTTCGTGAGTCCAATTTCTTTTCATGTGGATTATATATTCTCACTTCCGCTGGGCAACCCCAAACATGCAGGTGCCTTAAACTGGGTTTCCTTCCCGTCCACAGTTGAAGGTGTCTTAGGAACTGCTTTACTAGGAACCCTGTTTAACAAATACACAGCGGTCCTTAAAGCGTGCATCCACAATGATTTGGGTAAGGATGAGTTGCTTAACATACTCCTAACCATATCCATTAAAGTATGATTCCGCCTTTCTGTAACACCATTTTGTTGCGGTGTTCCTGGCATAGTGTATTGAGCACAAATACCACGTCTTTCTAGGAACTTAGCAAATGGACCAGGGCACTGTCCACTTTCATCATATTTTCCATAATATTCTCCACCTCTATCAGATCTGACAATTTTCACCTTTCTTTCTAATTGCCTCTCAACTTCATTGATGAACACCTCAAGGGTATCTACCGACTGAGATTTTTCATGCAGCAAATAGATATATCCATAACGTGAAAAATCATCGATAAAGGTAATGAAATACTTTTCTCCACCAAGTGATGGAACATCAAAAGGCCCACAAATATCAGTGTGTATAATTTCAAGGAGCTGTGAGCTTCTTGTGGCTGCTTTCTTAAGTGTGTGTTTTGTGTGTTTTCCTTTAATACACTCAACACAAATTCCAAGGTCAGTAAAATCAAAATGAGGAAGGATTTCATTCTTTACTAGCCTTTCCATTCTTTCTTTGGATATGTGACCCAAGTTATGCCACAAGCAGAGGATTCATCAAACAAACCACGTTTAATACCAACATTATGATGCAAGGTTAAGAGAGTCTCAGCGAATAGGGTATCAAGCTTTAGTTTGTACAAACCATCAACAAGGGTACCAGAACCCAATAAAACATTTTGTTTGAACAAACTAATAGAACCATTTACAATGTTCCAAAAATACCCAGCCTTATCTAGTTGAGACACCGAAACCAAATTACGAGAAATAGAAGGAGCATACAGGGTATTGACAAGGTCCAAATGATGACCAGTATCTAAAACCAAACGATAAGTCCCATATAGATGAACTTCTCATTTTGCCTTATGGTTTGGGTCGTAAGGAATCCCTGCATCGTTTTGGAAACATGAATGGTACAACCAGTGTCAACCCACCAAGTATTATAAGGAACCTCAGTTAAATTTGATTCGAAACATACTGAAGCACTAGGCTTACCCTTTCTTTCGAACCATGCCTTTATTTTCAAGCAATCTTTCTGATAATGTCTGGCTTTCTTACAGAAGCGACATATATGCTTACTTGGTTCCTTCTTGTGGATTTTGGCAGATGACTCATTAATCTTTGATATTCCTTCCTTGCCCTTCCCATTTTTGTTCCATGGTTTCTTTCCAGCTCCTTTATGACCAACAAGATTGGCAGAATGATTTCCTGGTTTCTTAAACTTTGCTTCCTCTTGAATGAGCATGCTTTGTAACTCATGCACATTACATTTATCCTTTAGAGTATTGTAATGCACATGGAATGTGCCATACTCTGGAGGTAAGGAATTAAGGATGAACGTTACTAGGAAATTTTCATTCACTTACATTCCCATGGTCTTTAGTCTTGCTACATTGTTTGTCATTTCGACGATATGCTCATGCATGGTACGAGAACCATCAAACTTCATGGTGGTTAGCATACCCATCAGTGTCCCAGCAAGCGACTTATCAGCAGACTCAGATTGAGAGCTTTCTTTCACGGAATTCATAATTCCTTAGCACTTTCAGTATCATTGAAAGTTGACTTAATGTTGTTTGCTACAGTCATTCGCATAAACATTAGGCTTAGTCTGTTAGATCTTTCCCAAGCTTTATGGAAAGACTTTTCCTCGGCACTGCTAGCATCAGTAAGAGCAGCAGGTTTCTCACTTAAGAGTGCCAAATCAAGATCCAGAACACCGAGGTGAAACTGAACCTGTTCAGCCCATTCAGAGAAGTTGAGGCCATTAAACTTAACAACAGACGTGGCTTGCGAATGAAGAGAAACAGGAACAGATGCTGCAAACATATATAACATGTACTCACACATTAATGCTTTGGGTAATAAGCATAAACTATAATACAGATTCGGAAACGTAAACATAAAACATATATTGGTGCTACCTTTGGGCAAAACAACAATATATATGCGATAAATAATCGTAATTGATGCTCAAAATAATCATATAATTGGTGATAGACATACTCAAATTAGATATACTTGCAATCTTTGGATATACTAAATATATCTAACCAAGCACATCTATTTACCACAATAATGTTCATGAATTATAAAACGAGCAATCAACCTTTGGGCGATTCGAAAATATTTTATAATCACGAACTTCAACTTTAAAGCATCACATAAACATTAGTAGTTGAACTTGATTCAACTTGATATCTATAAACCTTCTAATTTGGCCACTTTGATGACTAACAAATTAATCATAACATAAATATAAAAGATATAATTTAACTCAAGTCAAAGCAATTGTTAATTATAATTCTCAAAACACATACACAAAACTTGTTTCGTTAATGGTTTTTTTTAATAATTACTTAACTGATCAATCATCAAACCTACTGATTAAATTCCAATTCATTCTTTGCCCCTCGTTGCTTTCTATTGGCTTCATATATATAATTACCTACTGATCAAGTATATATAATTACCATCAAGCCAATAATCACAACTCTGCGCAAGATCTGTTTCAACTGATGGAATTTGACAAGCATAATTGCACCCACATAAACGACAAAGCAAGAATGGCGATAATAGAAACCCTACAGCCGAATTGAAACCCTAACAAAGCAAGATTGGAATTTGACAAGCATAATTGAAACCCTACAGCCGAAGCAAACGGCTCTCATACGCAGAGCTTGGCGCACAGATGCAGCGGAAATAAAATACGTAAGCAAAAATCATCTATTCATGTAAACCTAAGGCTCTAATACCACATGTAAACATAGATCATAATAGCATGGATCTTAGAATTAGATGATTTCACGAATTGATAATAGATCGGGAAACCTACCTCGATTCATGACGAGAGCGGCGGCGGCGCTGGAGTAGTAATCACCGGAATTGAGGTTCTCCCTCTTGACCCCTTTAGGTTTTAGGTTTAAAGATTTCTGTAATGGCTAAGAAATTCTACGTAATGGGTTGAGAGAGGACCAATCCTAGAGCTTCTTTATATAGAACCACCATCAGGGCATATTAGGAATTTACCTTTCATTAACCTAATCAATATAGGATTTACCTTATATATTAAATCATTAAGTGATAACTACACTTGGACCACAATTATTCCCTAGTTACCTACGGGAATTGGGCTTATAGAATCTCATTCTATGGCCTCGGGATTTGCGGTTGTGTATGGCAGGCCTAAAGCCGGAGATTGCTGCTTCCGTCCGGGTCTTTGAGCCGAACTCCTTGAAATCTGCTTTTCATCTTGCAGGGTATAAGGAAGAGGAGCTTGCGAGCTGGAGGAGCACCATAGGGCGCTATCCGCATCCCAGTGGCACCGGTAGCAGCAACGGTACTGGTAGCGAAGGAGGAGGCGTGGCGGGAGCCACTGCGGGCGCTGGGGGACCTACGGCGGCCGGCGCCAGTTGCTGCGGGGAGGGGGGAAATACGGCCACCACCTAAGGGGTTTGTGCGGCTGTCCCCTGCAGAGATCGAGCGGAAGAGGCGGGAAGGGAAGTGCTCTAATTGCGATGAGCGGTTCACGATAGGTCACAAGTGCGCATGTCCCGATTTGATGATGTTGGTCGGAAGGTGGGAGGATGAGGCGGAAGATGAGGCGAGAGAAGGAGAAGACGCGGTGGAAGACTAACAACCTTGGGGACAAGGTTGTTTTAAAGGGAACGGGAATGATAGACGTTTTATTATTTGTTTTTATGTTCGATTTGAATTATTTTGTTTGGGTTTATTTTGGTTATGATGGAATATTTTGAGGCTTAATAAGTTGGGGTAGTTATAGGCAATTATGTTTAGGTATTAAAATTATTGTATAACGTAGAAGAGGCAAGCAAGATTAAACCTAAACCTACTTTTGATTAATCTCCCTCTTACTCTCTTCTCTCTGGCCGCCGAGCCTTCTTCTTCTTCCCCCTAGGCTGCCGCGCGGCAGCGCTTCTTCTTCCTTCCCTCTTCTTCGATCACAACCCCAAATTCATCTACATTCCCCTTTCTCAAATCACCGAATCAATCCCTAGTTGATCCCAAATCTCAATCCCTAGATAGAACCCAATTCTCCGGGTTCTATCATCATCCCAAATGCAGCTGAAGAATCAATTGAATTTCAATTTCCTCTTGCTTCATTTCTTACTCTCCAAAGTCTCCGGGAGCACAAACTGCAAAACGACGATGGCCTTCTCAGCGATGCTCCTCATGAGCCTGGGTAGGATATCTGTCAAAGGCACATCTGCTGAGCGAGGAGGCAGGTTGAGCCCTTGATCGTACATCGAATCAATGGCGGTGAGGAAACCCTTGCTTGGAGGAATGAAGATTATCTTGTTTGTATTGAAACACTCATCCTTGACCAATGAAAACTCGTCGTCCCTTGGGACGTAGTTCTCTCCGAGGAGTCCTACTCTCGTCTCCGTGAACGGATCTAACCATAACCCCAATCCTCTCTGTCGTCGCCGCGGGACAAGAAGAAGGCAGAAGGAGCTCGGGTTGACGTTTCCGATGGAGAAAGAAGCGGCGGACGGCAGGGGGATTCCGGGTCGGAAAAGTTCTCCAGCGACGAAGAAGCGAGAATCGGAATGTTACCAAAATTGAACTTTTTTTTAATAGTTAGAAATGAGGTGCAAATTTTGAAAATTAAAATTTTATTTATTTTATTATTTTTTTAATTGTCATGTCGGTCAACTATAAAAGTTGACTTCCATATAAACTAAAATTAATGGAGTTTGAAAGAGAGTGACTAAACTTGAAATATTTAACTAATTTTAGTGACCATGAATGGAATTATTGTGACCAATCTTGCAATTTACCCTTTTTTAAAGAGCATTGCTATTCTTCGCCCTAAAACTCCTTATTTGTCGCCCTAACATATATTAAAATGACTTAAATAACCTTCTTCCTCCTTGTGAGTGACCAGTTAGTAACCCCGTCGGGATGGGACTCCCCGTTGGCAGACACATCGTCCCGACAAACCAATGAGTAACCCCTCAAGCATCTCTCTCTCTCTCTCTCCATTTCTCCGCGATTCCTTGAATCCCTAAATTCGATTGATTGTGCCTTTCATCGTTGTTTGTGCGATTCCAGCTTCCGGTAAATGACGGATTGGTTTGGGACAACGGTACCAACCTTCTGGAGCCTTGTATCGATCGAATTGTCGAAACTGTTGGAAAGGTAAGCACTTTCCTTTGGTTTCGTGTCTTCTCTATTTGTTTTTTTTTCTTTATTCTGTTGCTTCCTTCTAAAACCTTGTGGTGTCTCTTTTCAATTTTGGGTTATTGATGGCAGTACGAAACTTTGGCTTTGTTGTGTTGAGGTTTGAGCTTCGTTGCTCAGAAACGGGTGACCATGACCTTCTTCCTCCTCCTTTCTTAGCAACAGCAGCGGGTCGGCAGATTGGGGAATCACAGCAGGCCGGCGTGCTAGGGGATTGTCTACGACGGCCGAATCCGGTTGGTGGGGTTCTTTCACGGCAATGACAGCAGGTCGGCGGGGTGGGGGAATGGCAGCACCGATGGGTTGGGGGGAACGACAGCGGTGGTTGGACGATTGGTCGGAGTTAGGAGTTATGGATTGCAATTGGATATAGGGATATAAATGTCAATTTATTACAATTTAGGGCGAAATAATTTAAAATTTAGGGCGACGAATAGCAATTCAGTTTTTAAATTGTACATCTACTCTCGGTATACCACATCAAAAAAAAAAACTCTTGTCTTCTCCCTATTTTCTTTGATTTATTATCACAATCAGCATAGCCAAAAACGTTATCTAAACGAAAATACGAAAGAAAACTGAAAATTCATCATATAAAGCTTGGTTTGAAATTAAACCACACAAGGCGAACAGCGTACGTGCCCGATATTATTCATTATTTTAGATGGAGCTTCACCACTAGCCAGCAGCCTTCTAAGCGGGGACGAAGCTCATGCTGCAGAGAGGCAGCTTCACCGCCCCGTTAAGGTCGAAAGCACATGTCTCGGCCAGCCAGTGACGTAGTGAGGATTCGAGTTTAGTGGGGTCCCATTTAGAGGACGTCTATAACCCATAATCATTTAGATTATGAAAGCAATATTTATATCTTATCCAAACTCATAATACTTTATCGATACTTTACCCATTATCAATGGGTCTACTTAAGTTTGGGTATAATTACCCATGAGTGGGTAATTGTCATCCCTAGACTAGATGTCACATAAATCTTGCTGTAATTTGTATCGATAGATCAATCTCCACAACTACTATAGTAATGATGACTTTTTCTAGCTCGTGGGCTAACCAACACACGTAGTGTTGGTGAACCACTTAAATAATTCATGTATTCTTTACATTCTTGTTGATCGTTGTCTTGCTTGTCAATGTCGATAGCCCCGATCTGACAGTAAGTATAGGTGGACAAGGATCATATCTACACATAATCAAATTGTACTGAATCAATATTTGGATGAGATGTAAGGTGATAATTAGTATATCTGATTCTTGAACTTTATGTGACTATCCCATGATATACTTAAGCCAATTGGTGCTATTTTGGGTCTCTCTAACCCGGAAATGGTTGAAAAACCATTACTGCCTAGTGCCATGAGTTTGATATGTTGCAGGTGAAGAAAACACAGAAAAATTGCACAAACAAACAATTCTCGAATCATTGATTAAATAGCACGTGTGCCTGAATAAAGCAGCTGGAAAGAGAGTGGGCCGAGGGTTTGGTGAGCTTCGGTGGCAATTATTTTGGACGCAAAGGGGAATTAATTGGGCCACAAGGAGACGGAATTCTCTTGGACCGGGAGGAGCAGACTAATTATATTTGGGAGCAATTTTGTGGGCGGAGGATTGGGCCACAAAGGGGGAACAAGAATTCTCTGGAGAATTCTGGGCGGAGAGAAGATTTGGGCGGAAGGCTTGGGGAAAAAACAGCTGGCGGTAGGGATGGCAATGGGTCGGGATGGGGACGGATAGTGCATATCCGTTACCCTACCCAAACTAGTTCGGGTTTTACCCATACCCATACCCATATGCGAAACGGGTAGAAAATTAAAACCATGCCCATACCCGTTCGGGTTTCGGGTATCCACGGTTATTCATGGGTAATAATTTCTCTTTATAACTCCAATCAATATGTTAACATTCACACGTATTCTCACATTACGTAAGAGGAAAAGTACGACAATAGTTCACTAGAATGAAGAAAATTAACTAAAACAACACAATTTCATGAAAATATTATATTTATATGCTAAATATAAAATATGTTAGAGAAAAATAGTAATTAATTCTAGAGAAAATACACATGCATGCGTATAATCGGGCGGGTTCGGGTTGGATAGTTAGAAACCCATGCCCACCCATTACCCGCAATATTCGGGTTCGGGTTTTACCCGTACCCACTAAATGTCCTTCGGGTTCGGGTTTTACCCTACCCGATTAAGCCGGATTCGGGTGGATATCCACGGTTACGGATATTTTTCCCATCCCTAGCTGGCGGCCAGGGCAATAATTTGGAGGGTTTTGGACGGAACAAAAATTGCCAAGGGAGGCAATTATTAATCTGGGGGGCCGGTTATTTACCAGGGGAACAATTAACCTAGGGAACGGATTTTTTGGAGAGAAATAAAAAAGCAGAGCAAAGAGGCGCAGCGGAGAAGGAGCAGCGATCATCGATTGTTGAGCAGTTTTCCAAGCGGCTTGAGCTGAGTTCAACGAGAGCGATTAGTTGGTTGGATTCTCTGAACCGAACTAGTTGTGTATTGTTGATTTAGAACATGATGAACAAAACCCTAATGTTTTATCTCAATTTTGTCATGAACTAAACCCCGATTTCTGGGGGAAACACCATAGGATGTAGCTATTTCTTGATTTGATGGATTGATTCGTATTTCTTTTCCTCCAATCTCTATTGCATGAAATTACTTAATGCTTTGTGTTGACTGGCCACCAATAGATTTGTAGTTAATTAGGTTATTAGCGACAGTGAAACCCTAATAACTGAACCTATTTCATGTGACATAGTAACTTATCGAAGCGACAGTGGATTAAATAAGGTGCTATGCGGTCTTAAATAGAATATCGATCTTCAGACTAAATAATTAACTCATTGAGCTACGACAGTAGGATTTGAATTGATTATTTAGTACGTAGTAATTCCCGACAGGGATAGCTAGCACATTTGTGATATCCTGGCTGTAGAGGTATGGATTAAATTGATTGGAATATGTGAAATTAATCTGGATAGGATAGGTAGTGAATCCCGGTGTTTCTCCCAGAGCTTTCTCCCATTGAATTTCTCCCGACAAGTTTACTTTGCTTGATTAGTTTTATTATTTTGCTATTAGTTAATAATCTCATCAACCAAACCATTTCCACCTATAGTTTACTCCATAGAATCGATAGATCATAAGGTTGTACCAGTCCCTGAGAGACGATACCCGGACTTTCCGGTTTTACTACGAGATAGGAATTGAAGCTATACGCTTTTGCCCTATCAAGTTTTTGGCGCCGTTGCCGGGGACTGCCATACCTTATTTTTGGTGATTTTTGTGAGTGAACTATTTTGATCTGTGTTCTAGTGTGCAGGTGAATTTCAGGTTTATCCTCCTTGTGCGTGCCTAGGAGGACGACCGGCGATTTACTACCACTAGATCCGGAGATCGAGAAGACCTGCCGACAGAACAGGAAGCAGGTCAAGTTAGGGAAGCAGCCAACCACAACTTCGAGGCCTTCCCTAACCCATAATCATCAACAGAGAGGGCAGGCTTCATCACCTGTCGTCCATACACCACCGACACCACCACCTCGTGAGGTTGAGCCAGACATCATGGCAGAACAGGATCGATCCATCAGGGCTCGTCTGAATCGGAGGACTGGAGCCCGAGCTTCATGTGTTGTCATTCCGGCTGGGGATGCAAACATGGAGATTACCCAGCCTTCATCAATATGATCACCAATGGGTATACTTTCTCTGGGGCTAGCAATGAGGATCCTCACGAGCATCTCCGCTGGTTCGCGAGCATTTGTGATATGATGAAGAGCCCGACTGTGTCTGATGATGCAATCCGTCTTCGGATGTTCTCATTCTCCCTGATAGGGAATGCATCACACTGGTTTCAGAACTTAACACCACATTCCATCACGACATGGGCTCAGCTTGAGAAGGTCTTTCTGGATAAATACTTCCCACCTGCCTTGGCAATGAAGAGGCAAGAAGATATTGTTACTTTTAAGCAGGCTAATGATGAGAGTCTGACTGAGGCATGGGAGCGCTATAAGGGGCTATTGATGAGATGCCCAAGCCATGGTCTTGAAGATTGGAACGTGATCATTATTTTCTTCAATGGAATCAGAAGGGAGTTCAGGGATGTCCTGAATAATGCTTCTAGAAATGGTTTCACAAACATGGAGGCACCAGCAGCATATGATCTAGTAGAGAAGATCTGTTCAGAAGCCACTGAATGGGGTAGTGAGACCAGTATTCGAAGAAGAGGAGGCTTGCATGAGATAGATAGAGTTGCAAGTTTAGAAGCAAAGATTGATGCTAAGCTGGATTCCAAGTTCGATGCACTCGAACGAAGGCTGGCTAAGATGGCTCTTGGTAGACAGGAGGAGGTTGCTTTGTGCGAATTATGTGAAGGTGCTCATCATAGGGATCTATGTCCACTGGTAGCTGATCAGTTGGAAGATGTGCACTATATCAACAATCAGCAAAATCAAGGCCAGGGTGGTATGTATTCAAATACCTACAACCCGCAATGGAGGAAGCATCCTAACTTTTCCTGGGCAAACAACAACCCAGCTGGTGCTCGCAACATTGCTCCTCCAGGCCTGCAGAAACAACAACCTCAACCAGAGAAGAAACCACAACTTGAAGAATTGCTTCTGGCTCACATGCAGAAAACCGACAATAATCTGAAGGGTCTTGATCAATTTGTCACTCAACAGCTAGCCATCAACAATAGTATGCAATCATCTATGCTAGCTATGGAGAGGCAAATAGGCCAGATGGCTCAAACTTTGGCAGATATTCAAGTTAGGATTCCCGGGACTTTACCAGCAAATACTGAGAGGAAACCGAAGGACGCCATGGTTGTAGCCGTCACCTTGAGGAGTGGAAAAGCCTTGGAGGATCCAGAGAGTTCAAGTAAGTCAACAAAATCTGAAAAAGAAGGAGTTGCAGAGGTAGAGGATGAAAAAAGTGCAAAAGCTGAAAAATCTGACTTGCACAGGCAAACTGCATGCAATCTGCCTGTGCAAAAGCATGCTGCCCGTGTACCTCAAAAAGTGGAAAAATTGAAGAATGAAGAGGTAAAGCCTTATGAACCTCCCGCGCCATTCCCTCAAAGGTTAATGAAGCCCATGGAAGACCCAAACTTCAAGAAATTTGTGAATATCTTCAAGCAACTTCATATCAACATACCGTTGGCGGAGGCACTTGAACAGATGCCTACATATGCTAAATTCTTAAGGGAGTTGCTGACGAAGAAGCGCAAATGGGCTGATCTGGAGAAGGTAACCCTTACTTCTGAATGTAGTGCCGTGATTCAGAATAAATTACCAGAAAAGAGGGATGATCCGGGCAGCTTCACCATTCCATGTGTCATTGGAGGTACAGAATTCAATAAATCACTTTGTGATCTTGGAGCAGGAATTAATTTGATGCCATACTCAGTCTACAAGAAATTGTGATTGGGAGATGTTCTTAAGCCTACTCGGATCACTCTCCAATTGGCTGATCGACCAGTAAAAATTCCAAAAGGAGTGGTGGAGAATGTATTGGTGAAGGTGGGGAAGTTTATTCTCCCAACAGATTTTGTAATTCTGGAGATGGAAGATGATCGGGGAGTGCCTCTAATTCTCGGCAGACCTTTTCTAGCAACCGATGATGCACTCATCGATGTTGGGAGAGGCAAGTTGACATTCCGAGTAGGTAAGGAGGAGGAAATTTTTAATGTCTTTCAAGTTGAACATAATCACGATGCATTTGAGGACTTTGAAAGTGGAGCTGGAGAAAGGAAAAAATCCTCTTCCTGTGAAAGTGGATCAGTTGAAGAATCATTTGTCCTATCAGCTCAGATTCTGAAATCAAAGCAAGGACAGAAATCCTTACCAGGTCACCTCAAGTATAGATATTTGGGTAAGGATTTCAATCTCCTGTTATTATTCCTTCTTCACTGACATTGAAACAGGAAGAGTACTTGCTTGAGGCGCTGCAGTACCACCTACGCCTCACTAAAGGGTCTAACATGCCAGCTAAGAAGGTCATACCAAATTTTCGCACACCTGGCTAGGGGTGGGCAACGGGACGGGACGGGATACCCGTCCCGTTTTAAACGGGTACCCAGTCCCATTTGGAGACCAAAGTCCATCCCATATCCCAAACCCATATGGGAAACGGGTACCCATTTCCCGTATGGGACGGATAACGGGTACCCATACTACCCATAAATACCCAAAGTTTAAACCACTAAAATTTTAACAAAAGTTTAAACTTGTATTTGCTTAACAATCACAAGACACAAATACATCCCAATCACAAATACTCGGTTTGCAAATAACACATTCATGAACAATCACAACACAGAAATAAATCATTCCAAGCACCAAATTATCAAATAAGAAGTTTCATTCAACACAACACAACAAAATGGGAGGCATGATGCTACTTTTCTTGTGTTGTTGAATGCAGAAAGTGTCCAAATTTTTAGGTTCATGGGAAGCTAAAATCTATAGCAGAGAAGCTGAGTCTCACTGAAAGGGTAAGGGCCCTGGGCCCAAATGGCAAATGGAATTGAAATTGCAAGGGTGAGGGCCGAAATGGCCAGGGTTCTGAATGGGGCTGGACTGCCTTTGTATTAAATGGGTATAACGGGTACCCATATTACCCAAACGGGTATTCGCGGGTAACCCGCGGGTACCCATATTAGGAATGTACAACCCCAAGTCCCATCTGTTTATAATATTACGGGTAATATGGGTACCCGTAACCCTTAAAAAACGGGACGGGTACGGGTATACCCAAATACCCGTTTCCCTTTGCCCACCCCTACACCTGGCCCTGCAGAGGTGACTCATATGTTGGATGGAGGGTATGCGTTATATCATTGCCCGGGAGGGTATTCTGGATACCTTTCCATACCCATTGGTTGAAAGCTCCATGAACGTCAGGCTGAGGACGTTAAACAAGCGCTTCTTGGGAGGCAACCCAAGGTAAGTTTTCTTTTCTTTATTTTTCTTTTTTAGTTGTGTCAAACCCGTGCATGTTTAGATTAGGAGTTGAACATTAGGGACAATGTTCCATCCTGAGTGTGGGGTGGCGAGTCTTAGTGTTTGTTTGTTCCTTTTGTCATGTGGTCGGTTAAAAAAAAATCCAAAAAAAAATTGCCATTGGTGAGTCTTAGTGTTGTTTGTCCCTGTTGCATGTGGTAAAAAAAAACCAAAAAAAAAACTGTCATTTGGCTATGCACAGCCAAACTGCATGCAGTTTGCCAAAAAGCATGCTGCCTGTGCAAAGCTAATGGCTAAAATACACCTAAAAATCAAAAAAATTAAAAACAAAACCTTGTACTCTTGTGATAACATGATGTAAATGATTGTGATGCGTGTGAAATGAGTTTGTGCTTGAAGGAAATCATCGAAATCACCCCACTAGTGTTGAATTGCATGGTTCTTCACAATGAGCTTAAATGTTTTGACTGACTTGATATGCTTGGAATGAGCTACTCTTTTAGCAACATTCTCTTTTGTGAGGATAGTGTAACGACTTTTGGTGAAGTAGTTAGGTGGAGAACATTGACCATTCGATATGTTTGGATATCGTGCTTACTTGCATCAATTGTGAGCTTTTGATTTTGCAACGAGTCTCTCTGTTTTGATGGTTTTATGATGGGGTGAACTGTATCTTTATAAATGAGAAAACACTACCTGACAAGTAAAATATAAGAAAGTTGCCATAACAATTAAAGTGTGGGTAAAAATGCCAAAATCGTGTGAGGCAATCACTCATTGCACATGGGGATGAGGAAAGATTCAATTGAGAATCGGTTCGCGACCGTACGATGTTGCTTATCAAGTACGATCCCCAGTTGAGTGAAGTGCCATTAGAGGATGTGAAATGACCCTCCACACGGACCGAGGATAAGGAGTTAAAAGAAGCCCTTATGCGAGTGCTAAGAAGCAGAAATTGCTCTTGCTCGGTCACCGGTAGTAAGAAACAAATCTCACTTGTACTAAATACGACCTCTCGGCAAGCAAAAGCAGAAAGAGAGAAAGCCTCTCCTTGTCATAAAAGGTAGTGATGTGCTTAAAGATAAAATCATGTTTGCGAAAGGCTTCCCCCATTAGTTTTTGAGACTCTTGCTTAATTAATTGCTTATGATTGGTGTGAGTAAGCCAGATTGTCCTCACGAGATATGCACCTCACTGATGTGGTTAGATTCTCCTAATAATTGTTGCACCATAAGTTGCTAACCACCCACTACCGACGATCGAAATTGAGTGTTGCTATTTGAGTTTTTGACGGATTTGAGTCAGTCAATGGTTAAGGGTTGCAAAGACCTTGAGTGTGGGGTGAAAGGTATGATCAATAATATAAGCTAAACTTACTAGTACATATTTGTAACATTTGTTGCTCTCGTGCATGCATGCCCCAATATCCAATTCCTTTTCCTTCCAATGTGAATAGAAACAAGTACTTTATTCTAAACAACATACTCAAAGTCTTGCATTCTCAAGCTAATAAAAAGAGGAACAACAGCTGATTCCAGGTATCGGGGACCCCGGCGACACACCAGTGCAAACAATCCATTCCGCCGCCGGCGCCATTGTAGGTCGCCGGATGCCCATCTATCCTAAGATGGGAAAGAGTCGTCACATTCAGGAAATGAACATGTTTGTTCCTCTTCACCTTCCTCAGCTCTCCTTCCACCACTCCGGCGATCGACGGCAGACCTCCCGGATATCTGGAACCGGCCACCGGTACCGTCTCCCGGGAGCAGTCCCTAAGTGCCGGCTTCCCCCACTCGATCCCACTATTGTCCATAATAAAGGTTAGCAAAATTAATTACACAACGAAACCAAAAAAATAATAATAATAATAATAATAAACACGAAGAGATGTAATTAAATTAATTAATTACCGGTAATGAGTGGGGAAAATCCCCTCGAAGAACACTCTAGTCTTTGTAGTGTTGACCGCTGAGTCTACCCATCGTCCCCACGTTGCCAAAGCTTTGGCCATGGCAGTTGTCCTGTCCATGTCCTTCACGATTGTGTTACCATCTTGGACAAAATCCCACCTGCACCCAAACGAACATAACAAAATTCGTCAGAAGAAGAAGCCAAAATTGTTATCTGTGTTGCTATGATTTTCTTGCATTGTCGATTATTCCGATTCAGACATGTTGAAAACAGAGTACGTACCTACCCTTTCCCATTGCCTTTAGCATACCACCAAAACCCCGTGTTGAAAACTAACACGTCAACTTGTTTCCATTTGTCCCCACCATCACGGATGGATGGAATCAAGCTTCAGCACTCTCCCAAAACTTTCTTCCACAACGTCGACCAGGTAGTGACTCCATAAATATGTTACTGTGACTTCATAGTCCTAGGAGCACCAACAAGTGAAAAAAATAAATAAATATCAGTAAATAAAAATGATTTATAACAATTGATGGTGAGTGATACAGTTAAATAAACGTACTTGAAAAGTGACGTAATGCGTTTGGTAGGGAGCGGAAATGTTGGAATTGGGGACAGCAGCATGAAGAAGGCAGATCAAGGAGTTGTACTGATTCAAGATGACAGAGTCGCCCACGAACATGATCTGCTTCCCTCTCATCTTCTCCAGGAACCGAACCCCATTGAATCTGCATATGCGCGTGTCAAGAACCAATTTGTTGTAATAATTTGAATTATAAAAAAAAAATAATGTATTGCGAGGACCAATTCGAACAAACAAAAAGTCTCGCTAATAATATATTGTGAGGACCAATTCGTATCCAACAACTCGAATTATTGGTACGTACCTGGGCAGGTTGCAACAGGAGGGTTGCCACCTGTAGTTAAGGTAGTGGCGGTCGGGTCGGCCGTACTTTTGGCAGTCGAATTCCGACCTTAGGAAAGGACACGTGGCAGAGTAGTCGGAAGTAGGGTAGGACTGGTCGAAAACCCAGCTCCCGCTGAAGACGTCGCACTTCTTGCTGGCTCCGCCGGCGAAGCAGAGGATGGGGGAAATGCTGATCAGAATAATTAATGCCACAAAATGGCAGCTTCGTCTGCTGGCGGCATCCATTTCCCAGCTCTGAAAAGGCCTATGTGATCAAGTAGATAGAGAAGAATTCCAAGAAACTTTTTGTACCAACTTGTATTGAGCTAGGGTCGATCTGAAGAATTAAAAGGAAATATAATATCGTAACATTCACCTGGTCAGTTTGGAGCAAAAAATTGTTCACACCTGCAAGCCGCCATGCATCAGGATTTCTTCCCGCTGAACTGTTCCCCATTTCGGATGCAAACATACAAATGAATCCAGAGAGGACAGTGCGGCCGTTAAACGTGTGGTGTCGAAACGAACTGTTGATGAAGCTATAGTAACGAAAAATATTGATTTCTAGTAAAATTTGAAACTCATCATCTGCAGCCGAAAACACCACTCTCTGTTTTGAAACGGCGCATGGAGCTGGGGATGTTATTCTCTCGGATCCGGAAACAGCCGCTATCTGCCCTCTCGCTGGGTTCATCGTCAATACGTGATCATAAAGCTGAAAAGTGAAAAGACTGTTTTTTTCTTTTCTTTCGAATAATGAGGTTTGGTGGAATCTCATTTCAGAGGCCTCGGGATTTGAGGTTCGCTTTTGCATGACGGATCGAGTAGATCATTTGTGTCCGTTTGACAGGTAGGGCTGGCTATTTGGTCCGGACTATTTGGTTTTACCCGAAACCGGACCGTATAATCTGGATTGGGATCAGATAGCAAACAATTCAATCTCATATTCGGGCTTAGATTTGAGGTAAAAAATCGTTTGAGACCGGATCGAAAACCAGATAAGAGACCCAAACACCCAAAATTTAAACAACTCCTCACCCTTTGATGTCTCAGGCCACTCAAATCCCCACAAGGTCAATCTAAAATCAAGACCAAATTGGGACCGGACCGGGTCAAGATCGGACTGTATCCAATCCAATCTTTGGTCCTTATATTCCTGAAAAGACCGGACTAGTACCGGATCAATTCGGGTCAATCTAACCGGACCGGACCGTATAGCCACCCCTATTGGCAGGTGAAGTGGAGATCAGCGTTTGCTTATTAGTAAATCAAAGGATATTCGTCTTTGTTTCGTGTATTGATGTAGATATGCATCTGGTAAATTTTTGTGTCGAACAAAGTCTGTGCTGCAAAGTGTTTGGTGGATCAAGACAATTATATTGTTGAGGGGAAGATACAGAATTTGTGGTCCTTGTATTGAGGAGAATGTTATTTGTTACAATCCAAGTAACACATCAGGAATATAAGGAAAGAGACCTTCGTACATTAGTGTCGAGCTAGCCAAATTAGTACGGGACATTTTTTGAGGATCGTACCCAAAAATAGATCCATCTGATTTTGACCTCAAAGCGGATCGACTATATTGTATTTGTTAGAGAGTGCTATGAGATCCAGCATAATCTTCTCCCAACAACTCGGGTTATTGGGACAATTGGTTTATGACATGGTATCAGAACTGGTTTGGCCAAGTGGTCGTGTGTTCGAATCTCCAAGATCCCCAATATAACACTTAATTAAAGCACAAGGTATGGTGGGCATGTGCAAACTTCAAGCCCGTAGGTTGGCTTCGTTTGAGGGGGCGTGTTAGAGAGTGCTATAAGATCCAGCATAACTTTCTCCCAACAACTCGATTTATTAGGACCAACTGGTTTATACAGTACTAGCTTTTGCTCGACCCGTTGGTCGGATGAATTTATTTATTTGTCACTTCTTTATGATAATCACCTCATTAGAGTTTTGATCCTAGAACTTCATGTTGTTTCCTTGTTCAACCTGCACATGCGCACACGCGGATATGCTCTAGAGAGATAAGTGGTATTCCAAGTTGTAGAGAGAGAATCCAACTTGCTTAAATGCTCTTACTTGCTCCCTATTTATACCCGATTTGGATCCGACAACCTTATCAGAGCATTAAATGTCTTATTTCCCCAAACGGGCATGCACCCCGACCAACGCTCTTGATCACACACACCGCCACAAAGGCACATGCACTAGACTGTCAGTACCAGTACTGATTTGGACAGACACTTACTTTGTCGTCATGCGCCTCCGAGTAGGGTTTTTCTCCTTGCCCAACCCAAAATACGCACGGAGGGTATTTTAGTTACTCCTGCTATGTTGGAGCAATTAGTGAACAAGGCAATTTCATCGGCATTTGCTAGCTTGCAAGTTTCTGGTAAGCTTCCCACCTGGATACTTGATTCTGCGTGTTTTCAGCATATGACGGGTAATGGTTCTGCTCTTAAGTATCTTTATCCGGTTGATAATGTGTCGTTACAAGTTTCTAATGGCGAGAGATTACAGGTGACGGGCATGGGTTTAGTTCATACTTCAGATATTGTTTTGCCATCCACATATCATGTTCCTAAATTAGTTCCAAGTTTGGTTTCTGTGGGTCAGCTTACTGACCAAGGTTATTTTGTTACGTTTGCACCCTCTGGGTGCGTTATACAGGATCCGAAGACCAGGAGGGAGATCGGGCGGGATAGCAAACAGGGTCGGATTTTCTACCTCGAGCAGCTTCATCATCCGTCATCATCTTCGGTGTCGTCTGCCTTAGCCATTTCACGTCCTTTGTCTCCTGTTTTTTCGAGTCTTCCTTATCAAAAATTTTAGTTATGGCATGCTCGGTTAGGTCATCCAAAATCTAGTCGGCTTATGACTATGTTTAAGCAACAGTTATTTGGGAATAAAGTTACTGCTAAAATTTCGTCGGATTTTGCATGTACTAGTTGCATTGAGGCTAAGACGATCCGTATTTCCTTTCCGTCTAGCCAGACTGTAATATCTGAACCCTTTCATTTGATACATACGGACCTCTGGGGTCCAAGTCCTGCTACGTCATGACTGGGGTTTAAGTATTTTGCCTTGTTCATCGATCATGCTACTAGGTACACGTGGGTCTACTTTCTCCGCCTAAAATCTGCCCTTTTATCTGTTGCTGCCGAGTTCCTTGCCATGATTAAAACTCAATTTGATAGGACTGTTCGTGTAGTTCGTTCTGATCCTGAGGGTTAGTTTAGTTCGGGTCCCTTATTGGGTCTGTATATGTCTCTTGGCATTTTGTCCCAAAAATCGTGTCCTGGTGTGTCCCAACAAAATGGGTAGGTTGAACGTAAAAACGGTCATGTCCTAGAGGTTACTCGAGCCCTTCTACTGTCTTCCTGTGTCCCCTCGTCCTTCTGGCCTGAAACTGTTGCCACTGCTGTTCGGCTGATCAATTATCAGATCACGCTTGTCCTTGGTCAAACCAGTCCATATGCTCGTCTCTTCCATAAACCACCTCCGTATTCCCATCTTCGTGTCTTTGGGTGTCTTTGTTTCGTCTTTCTTTCTCGTTCGGAACGTACCAAACTCACTTCCAAAACTGCTCGTTGTTGTTTTCTTGGCTATAGTGACATTCATAAGGGCTAATTGTGTTGTGATCCTGCTTTGCGTCGAGTTCGTATTGCTTGTCACGTAGTTTTCCTTGAAAACTTAAGATACTATTCTTCCCCTATTGTGTCCGACCCTCCTCTTTTTGACATGTCCCTTGCTCCTCCCTCATTTGCCGACGATGATGATGATGGTGCCTTGAATGAGCCGCTGGATGACTTGCTACCACTCGACTCCCCTCCCATTGCAGCTCACGACTCGTCGGGGTCCTCTTCCTCGGATGACTCGTCTATATCCCCGATTGTTGAGGCCCCTCGTCGCTCCCTTCGTGCTACTCGAGGCATTCCTCCCATCCGTTACCAGGATTACATGGCGTATAATGTGGACCCAATTCCTATTCCTACCCGGTACTCTCAGGTCAAAGGGAATCCTCACTGGGATCGTGCGATGGATGAGGAGTTTGATGCTCTTCACGCTAACGAGACATGGGATTTGGTTCCTCGTCCACCGCCTACGGTACCTGTGATTGGCTCCCGTTGGGTATATGATCTGAAGTTTCTTCCTGATGGTTCTCTTGAACGGTATAAGGCACATGTTGTTGCCCATGGCTTCTGTCAAGAGTATGGTATCGATTTTGAGGAGACCTTTGACCCGGTTGCAAAGATGGTGACTGTCCGGTCTCTTTTGAGGGTCGCTTCTATTCATGGGTGGCCTCTCTTTCAGCTCAACGTTAAGAATGCATTTTTGCATGGTGAGCTAAAAGAGACCGTGTACATGGAGCTTCCTCCGGGTTATACACGTGGGACACCTGACCAGGTTTGTTTGCTACGTCGCTCTCTGTATGGACTGAAGCAGGCTCCGCGTGCATGGTTCGATAAATTTCACTCCACGATTCTGGGTCTTGGATTTCAGCAAAGCCTTAATGACCCGTCTTTGTTTACTCGTCGTACTGTTTCTGGTCTGGTTTTGTTACTCTTATATGTTGACGATATGATCGTCACTGGGGATGATTCAGCTGGCATTGCCCCCTTACCGAAGGCCTACATGCGTCTTTTAACCTGAAGGAGCTCGGCCCTGTTTCCTACTTCTTGGGGATTGAAGTTCGGCGCTCCGGCTGGTATCCTCCTTAGCCAGAGAAAGTATATTGATGACTTATTGGAAACTTCTCGGTTTGAGGACTGTTTGCTAGTTACTACACCGATGGAGTTCAATCTTAAACGTGGCCGAGAGTCAGGCGATTTGTTGGCTGATGGAGGGAAGATTTACAGGAGTATTGTTGGCAGTTTGATTTACTTGACTTCTACTCGCCCGGATATTGCGTATGCTGTTCAGATCGTCAGCCAGTTTATGTCAGCTCCCCGTACGGATCACTTGGCTGTAGTACATCGGATTCTGCGTTACATACAGGGGACGAAAGATGTTGGGTTGTACCTTCCATTGTCCGGTTCTTTTGTGCTTCAGGCATTCTCGGATTCTGACTATGCTGGCTGTGTTGATACTCGTCGTTCAACGACAGGGTGGTGTGTTCGTCTCGGTAATTCGTTTATCTCCTGCGTTGTAAGAAGCAGGACCGAGTGTCGAAGTCTTCTACAGAAGCGGAGTATAGGGCTATGTCTGATGTCTCTTCGGAGCTTGTCTGGTTACGTCGGCTTCTTGGAGATCTCGGGGTTGAGTGCGAGATACCTCTTCAGCTCTATGTTGATAATACAAGTGCTATTCAGATAGCGACCAACCCTATGCTTCACGAGCGTAATAAGCATATTGAGGTTCATCTTCACTACATTCGAGACTTGGTTTGGGATGGTATTCTTCGTCTTTTCCACGTTACTTCCGAAAATCAGATTGCTGATTTGCTGACCAAGTCTTTCACGGCCAGTCGTCATTTCTATCTTTCTCGCAAATTGATGATGAGAGATCCTCATCAATTTGGGGGAGGCTGTTGAGTGATATATGTTTATGTATTCATGGGCCGTAGCCCACATGCATGTACGTAGGACTTAGGGCTGGCCGTATATGCTTAGTAGCTAGGGTTAGGGTTATACGACTTGTATATATATGCTTGTAACCAGACTGTTGAAGCTAAGCTGAATAAGAGTATACGATAGCTTCGGCCGTGGACTAGTCTCGTTCATACTGAACGGGGAAACCACGTAACTCTCGGTGTCAATCTCTACGTTATGTTTTGATAATCTACGTCATCTAACACTATGATCGTTCGATTATGTTAATGAGTTAGACGCTTGACGTCATCCCTTCAACCAACAAAAAAGAAAGTGAACCACACAAGCCGCGCGAACAACGTACGTGCTCGCTATTATTCATTATTATAGAGTTAGGTACACAATTTCAGGTTCCATGCATGCCCATAACAAAACAGGAGCTAGCCAGCCAGCCACTAAACAGCTGCCACGGGGACGAAGTTCATGCTGCAGAGAGGAAGCTTCACCACCCCGTAAAGGTCGTAAGCACAGATCTGGCTGCCCAGCGAAAGCTTAGCCCCGATCAGACATCCAACGCATTCCGAAACTCCGACGCCCGGAATGCAATCGGCGGCGCCGTGGACGACGTCATGAGCGGCCGCGGAACCGGGCGGAGGAAACGTGGTGGAGTAGCTGTATCCTGGAATCGTCGGCGTCACGTTGGCCAGCTCGTCGAGCACGTGCGCTTTGTGTGCCTCGTAGTCATCGGAAGCCCGCTCGATGATGCAGTATGGCCCCGGCAACGACAACGAAGTATGTTCCTCAACGCCGTCTGCTCCTCCGGCGGTGGTGATGATAGCTAGCACGACCACGACTAATGTGCCAAACTCGTGCACAGAGTTCTTCTTCATGTTGTTATGGTTTGAACAAATTTGGTTTCTTGATTGGATTCGTTTCGGTTTTTATAGTACCAGGAAAGTATGTTCCTCAGCGCCGTCTGTATATCCAGCCATGACTTTGCCTCAGCATATTCCTCGGCGTTGTTGGAGCTTTTTCGTAGCTTTGGTTGGGTTTGTTTTCGGCGGTATAATTAGGATATGACGGCAGTTCGGATTTTGTACGTAGCTAGCGTCGTCTACGATATAGTACATCGTGTGCCAATTGATGATTTGTTTCATTAGCCTGCGTGATTTACAATAATCCATCTGCCCAACAAGCATATTTAGGCGGAGACGTATATAACTTATTTATACATAACTATCAATAATATTTGCTAGAAGTTTATGGAAGACATATTATGATGTTTCCCTCCATTAATTCTAATAGCTTACCTTTCTTTTGTTTTAAGTCGGAATTTTATTTTATTTCACTCAATTGTAGGATGTCGATGACTATTTATGGAGATAATAACACCAGCGCTATACGGATAGCAATAAATCCAGTTCTGCGTGATCGCACGAAGCATATTGAAGTGCATGTTCACTATATCCGTTATAACTAGTGGCAGAGAGGACAGTTCGGCTTTGCTATCTGGCATCTGAGGATCAAACAGCGGACGTCTTGACTAAGACTGTACGTAGGATCAAGCAAACACATGTATGTATCTTCCAAATTGATACTTAGAACTCATCATCAATTTGAGTGAGGATGTTAATTGTATATCGGTATCAGTTTGTAAATAGCCATATATCATAGTTAGGGTTTTTTCTAAGCAAACCTATATAAACTTTATGAACGGTACATAGCCAGTTAACGAAATAAGAAGCCTAAAATCTTACGGAAAGATCCCCTCCATGTACTAGTCATCACTCTCACCCTGACATTACCACATTAAAAAAAAAACTCATGTGTTCTTCGCGTTTTCTCCGGTTTATTATCACAACCGTCATAGCCGAAAATAACATCGAAACGAAAAATACAAAAGAAAACAAGAAAGGCATATACAAAAGCTTGGTTATGGAAATCAAACCACACAAGCCGAACAACGTACGTACGTGCTCGCTATTATTCATTACTATAAGAGTTAACACAATTTTCAGGTGCATATATAAGCCGCCGCCTGACATCGATCCTTCCCCACTAGCTAGCCGGCAGCCACCACGGGGACGAAGCTCATGCTGCAGACAGGGAGCTTCACCACGCCGGAAAGGTAGAAAGCACATGTCTGCGCCAGCGAAAGCTTAGCCCCGATCAGACAGCCAACACACTCCGAAACCCCGACGCCCCGAGTGCAAACGGCTTCGCCGTGGACGACGTCACGGGCGGCCGGGTCAGGAAACGTGGTGGCGTAGCTGTACCCTTGAGTCGTCGGGGTCACGTTGGCCAGCTCGTCGAGCACGTGCGCCTTGTGTGCCTCGTAGTCATCCGAAGCGTGGTTGTTGTTGCAGTATGGCCCCGGCCCCGACGAAGACGACGACGTTTCTTGAACCCTATTACTGTCGACGACGGCAACTGCTCCACCGGTGGTGGAGATAGCTAGCAGGACTACGACGACCAATGTGACAAACTCGTGCACAGAGTACTTCTTCATATTGCTGTGTACGTTTGAATAAACTTTGGGTTTGGGATCGGTTGGATTCCAAAACCCCAACTGTGTATGTATCCAGCGAGCCATGACTCTGCCGCCTGATCGGCACGTTTTTCGTGCCTTCGGTCGGTTGGTTTTATATTGGCTGGCGGTATTATTAGGATGCGACGCCATTTCTGGTTTAATTGTACGTACGTACCTCGTGTTACTGTCCTGATTTGTTTTCATTAGCGTCAGCGTGGTTTACAATAATGATCTTTAACCTGGTCCATCAGGAGACGGATTGGGCTGACCCGCACTAAAGTATTGGGCCAGTTCGTTCACCCACGGGCCTCAAACCCATCATTCCTGCGGAAGTGGGTCGCCAACTCCCACAAAACAGGCATTTGATGTCTTTGAATAGAAAATAGGAAATGGTGGGTGATGGTGTAGATAAATTTACAATTTCGAAATATAAATTTGAGTTCTTGGAATTACATGCATGTACTTCTTTTCCATCTTCAATATATTGTTGCTAATGAGTCGAGTCGAAATTTATCTTGTTCAAACTCGAGTCATTGATAAAAGAGTTGAACTCGAGCTCCGCTCATTTACTAAAATATTAAGATCATGAGTAGGGATGACAATTATCCACCCATGGATAATTATACCTAAATCCAAGTAAACCCATTCATAATGGGTTGGGTAGACGTATGGGTGAAGTGTATATGGGTTTGGGGGTTTGTAGATAGGTTGGGTATGGGTAAGAATATTGCTTTCATAATCTAAATGGGTATGGGTTGGATATGGATATCCATTTACTTGAGGGTGTTTTAACTACACATGCAAAAATTGGACCTATTTGTAAAGTTTGAAAAGTTTAGGTATCAAAATGTAAGATCAAAAAAATTTAGGTGCCAAAATGTAATTTTCCATCGATATTTTGAGGACTTATATGCAAAAAAAATAAAGTTAGGTACTAAATATGCATATATATTAAGTTTAGGTACCAAACTGTAATTTATATTTGGGCATGGGTACAAACCCAAATCCATTTATTATAAACCCAACTCAATCCAAGTAAATGGGTATGGGTACAAACCCATCAAACTCTACTCATATCCATCTATTTGGATTTCATACCCAACCCAATTGGGTTTGATAGTAAAAAAACCCATGGGTATGAGCAAAATTGTCATCCCTAATCATGTCATGAGTCTGGCTAGAATTCAACTCATTTGTTCTAAATAGTTAAACCATTTACACTAAACTCTAGAATGATTTATGAATTAAGTATCTAATATTTGTATTTCATGTTTTATAAACTTGATTAATGGATCTCCCCCGTTTAAATGTTGGTATCATATTATTTTGGTTCATATAGTGTAATTTCATAGTAATCGGTATCTAAATAATATATGATACATAATTTATCTTATAAATTATAAGCGGGACATATTTTCTCACACACACAGTCTTAAACATCATATGGGGTGAGATATACAATTTAACAAACTTATAAATTATCAAGAAGTCAACCAATAAAATACAGATAGATATTTGCTCATAAGTCGGTAGTCGTGTATGCTCATTAGTCAATAGTCATCCACAATGTTGACACATCTCACTAGTTTAAACTTTAAAGTGAGACAGCTTGCGAGTTGAACTCAGCAAGCCACCGAGTTGACCTAGCTCGCAAATTCAAGTAGGCTTAGCTCAAACTCAATTCATCAGTATACGATTCAAGATTCGAAGACATTTTTCTCGAATAAAACGTCAAACCTATTGTGAACAACTCCACTTTTAAAAAAAAAGGCCAAATTCACCTGTATAGCCAAAACTTTGACGTTTTTGCCAAATATAGCCACTTTTGGAAAAATACCAGAAATAGCCACTTCTGTCCAATTGTTTGACGATGTTAGTTAACGTGCTGACTGGACAAACGGACCATCCGACGTGGCTTTTTTCGTCAAACAAGTGAATTCCACGTGGAATAAAAAAAGACGAAACAGTAAATGTGTTGTTACGCCTCAGCCACTTTCTATCTTTTTCATTTTCCCTTCCCTTTCCCCGAGTCGATATCCAGAGAAAACCCCTCTTCTCCGACGACGAACTACGACGCTCCCCCACTCCAGATCGGTGTTGGTAGTCGTCGTCGACGAAAGCCTTTCCGATCCACGAACCCACCACGAGAAGCAAGACCCCTTTCCTCCTTTCCGATTCACGAACCCTAAATCCTTTCCGAGCCTCCCTCCATCAAATCGGCCATGCATCGGGGGGTTTCATAGATCCTCTCCACGTTCCGGCGACGCGATTCACTGTTGGTGAGGGGGAATCAACCATCGTGTACCAGTTCAACCCATTCGAATCCCAATCCAGTTCCAATCGCTTGTGCTCGCTCCCTCAGGTCGATCAATCGACGGCCATCAGCTTCCTCCCGTCACTGCAAATACAGAGCAACCACCCAGCTTCCCCATCCAGGATATTTAGTCGATCCGTGAGAATCGACATCGTCACCGCTCACCGACGAGCAAGACCCAACAAATAGTAGAGGTGACTCGTCCCAGGCAGGAACTTCCTTCAGCGATTCCATATTTTGAATTTCGGTAGTGACCTTGTGGGTCTGGCAGTGACAGGGCATTTGGGAGTGGGTTTCGCGGAGGAAGCGGAAGCCGCCGTGGAAGGAAGGCGAACCCACCTTGGGAGGAGCTGTGCTGGAACTGTTATGTTTCCTAGGGATTGGCTGGAGGGGAATCGAGATGAAGCAAGCAGAGCTGTCGAAGGCGGCGGCTCTCAAGGATCTCCTCCACCCGTCACTAGTCGACTGGTCGTCGCTTCAATCGAAGCTGCCGCTAGGAGTGAGATTCTGAGAACTGGGGGAAAACGGTTGTTGCCGGACGGGTTTGAGAGTAACTAGATTGGAGGGATGGATTTTGTAGGCGACGGCGAGTGCAGTGCGGCGGAGCTGGGTTCGTCGACAAGTGCGGTGGCGCTGCTTCATTCGGCGGAGCTTGGTTCGTCGAGGAGAGCGGCTGGGAAACCCTAAATCGGATGGAATTGGGGAAAGGAAAGAATAACATTTCCAATTCTATTCACCTAATTTATGATAATTTTTTTACCCATTAAAAATGACGTGGCATTCCACCTGTCAATGGATGCTGAGGTGGGAAGGAAAGACACGGTGAGGTGGCAACCACATCATCTGTCCATTAAATAGACTAACGGTGTCATTGACGCCGTCAAACTATGTAACGAAAATGGCTATATTTGTCATCGAACTTTCAAAATTCTGGCTATTTCTGGTATTTTTCCAAAACTGGCTATATTTGTCACAAACGTCGAAGTTTTGGCTATGCAAATGAATTTGAAAAAAAAAAAAAAAAAACTCTTGTGTTCTTTGCGTTTTCTTCAATTTATTATCACAACCGGCATAAACGAAAACGACAACGAAACGAAAATACCAAAGAAAACTGAAAGTGATGTACAGCTTGGTTATGGAAATCAAACCACACAAAGGCGAACAACGTACGTGCTCGCTATTATTCATTATTATTATTATTATTATTATTATAGAGCTAGGTACACAATTTCAGGTGCATGCCGCCGCCTGACATTGATTCCCATGCATGTCCATAACGTAGCAAAGCTTAGGAGCTAGCCAGCCACGGCGGGGACGAAGCTCATGCCGCAGAGAGGTAGCTTCACCAACCCGTAAAGGCTGAAAGCACAGATCTCGGCCAGCGAAAGCTTAGCTCCGATCAGACAGCTAACACACTCCGAAACTCCGGCGCCCGGAGTGCAATCGGCGGCGCCGTAGACGACGTCGTGACCACCGGCCGGATCAGGAAACGAGGTTGAGTAGCTGTATCCTTGCGTGGTCGGGGTCACGTTGGCCAGCTCGTCGAGCACGTGCGCTTTATGTGCCTCGTAGTCCGCCGAAGCGTCATTGTTGTTGCAGTATGGCCCCGACGACGCCGACGACGACGACGTTTCTTCAACCGCAACTGCTCCTCCTCCACCGGCGGTGACGATAGTTGGTAGTACTGCGACCAGCAACACGAACAATGTGGCAAACTCGTTCACAGAGTTCTTCATTGTTGTGTTTGAAACTACTGCATGGGTTTCCTTTCGGTTTTTATAGTACCGGAAAACTATGTTCCAAAGCGACATCGTATATATATCCAGCCATGACTTTGCATGATCAGCATATTAATTCCTCGGTGATCTTGTTAGACTTTTTTTGGTGCCTTAGGATATGACGACAGCTAGCTTCAGCGTGATTTACAATAATTTATCTGCCGAGAAAGTATCAACAGTATAATTTATAGCTGAAAAGTAAAACTGCAACCCCCATTCAAATTTTCCTGCTCATAGAGTGATTTTAGGAAGCTGATGTGGCAGAGTGTTAAGCGGGAAAAAAATAGGAGTCCCCGCCTGATTGCAGAACTAACAAACTGCCCACTACCCACCTTTTCTCCGTTTCCCATGTTGTCATTTAATATTCATTTATTTTTTGTTTGGGTGAAATAAGCCCACATTTTTTACTGGTTATTAAGAGCGAGAAGAAAGTCACGGAAAGGGAAGAGCAATTGCAGGCACATTACAGAGGGAGAGGGGAAAGGTGAAAGGGAGGAGAAGGAAGGAGGCTGCTTACCCTTTTACAGATTCGATCTGCGGAAGGAATGGAAGAGGAGGTTTCTTACCCTTTTACCGTTTTACAGATTTGATTGAGGTTGTCCCCTCCGGCGAGAAGAACAATAACCGCCGCCGCCACCACCGTCTCCCCCGAACCCGTGGCGAAGAGGTTGATTTTCGATTGAGGCTTTCCCCTGGTTCTTGCAATCGGATTAGGTATCATTTCTGTTCTCCCTTACCTTTGGTTCCTTCGGTTTTCTTTCTTCTCTCTTACCTTTCTCTCTTCATTCTATGGATTGGATTCTCTAGGGATCAAAAGGGGTTTTTTAATTTTTCCCTTTCTCTTTTCCAATCTGAGTTTTTCTGTCTCGACCGTTTCGCCGTGCGGCTCGCTGTGGAGGGAGCTGGGGAGAAGCAGAGGGGGATTTGGGGGGATAGGCAAGCCTAAGCTAGAAATCTGCCTCCTATGTTTGGAGAGAGGATGGAAAAACGTGGGGATGGGGATGGTTATCAGGAACTGCATTTGCTTATGGACAGACAAGCAGTGGCAAGACCTTCACCATGAATGGATCGGAGAAGGACCCGGGAATTATTCACAGGGCAGTCAGAGACATATTTGATAAAATACAAGCTGTAAGCTACTGCAAAATGGACATATGTTTTCTCTTTTCCCCTTTTCCTGTCCCTAGGTTAGTGCAGGATGAGCTTTTGTGATTTCGTGGTGATAGAAGCGAGTTCTTGAATGCCACATTTCCATGCAGGTATCTGATAGGGAGTTTTTCATGAGCTTTTAGTGTGCATGTTGCACTTGATAATGCTAGAATATTGGTCAATAACTTCATAGAATTTGAATTGCTACTTGGATATACTATTGGGCTGTCTTCATTGTGAAGCACATGGACCATGATGGATAGAAAATAAATAGTATTAAGAACCTTAGTTTACCTATAGTTAAATCCTTGAACTTCTAAGCTTAATGTTAATGTTTACATTGTTCCCTTATTTTGATTAGTTAATTGGTACACCATACGAATCCGAGTGCTCAAGTGAAAAGAAATACTTGAACAAAAAAAAACACAATGCAAATAAGGATTAAACGATATATATGCTAATCATAACGAGGATTGGGCTGAGGTGTCGAGGGAAGTGGTTGGATCAGCATATATAGCTCCTGGCTTTATAAGTTTTTTTTTTTTGTTGTTGTTGTTGTTGTTGTCTTTGGGGTAACATTGTTGGGAAGATTAGAATTTAGGTTAGATGCATAACATTGTTGGGAAAATTGGAACAGATGAGCAGATTAAATTAGGTTGAGGAGCTTGCTTTCTTGACTTAGGTGAGTTCATCTTTTAGGATGAACTGAGCACTTCCGATAAGTCCCAATTACCCCCAGTTCAATAAGAAAGAGTTATGAAATCGTTGGTTCTTTGGGGTGGAACCAGATTTGTGACTACTCGGATTGCAGTGGTACCAGGAGGTTAAGTTGAATAAAAACATAAAAAATGCACATATAAGAAGAGATCCATCTATATATGTTATGCAATTAATCTTACCACTGTTCCTTTTTCTTAGGATAATGCATTCTCATTTGTTTGCATTTCATCCTATTATACGATATGTGTCAGGAGTAGCATAGGCATTGCTTCAATCTGGACGTTTGTGGATCATCCAACTTTGTCTTTCTTTGAACTCCTTTTTTTTAATGTCTATAGGTTTGCTGATAACAGACTTCCTGAAAATTCAATTCTTTTACATTTGGAATTATTGTGTGGAAGTAACACCAGAGTTCAATAGGGAATAGTTTGAATTTGCTGAACTTAATCCAATGAGCACTTTTATTATGCTATATAGCATTGCTATGTATTTAGCATAGTTAGGTTTTTAGTTTGATTCTAATTTTGTTAAATAATTAATCTGATTGCATGTACTTTTGATTTCTTTCTATACCATGTACACGCATAGAAAACATATCTCATAATTGCTACTATCTTTGGTATAGAGGAAGTGGCGGAAATCTCCGCTAAACTGTTGGGGCATGATTTGGTTGGGATCATGGTCGGGGAATCTTGGTGATCTTTCTACTTCCTTCGGTGGGTCGGGGAGCTGCCGTAAATTGCCTGATTATCGCTGGGGTCGTTCATCATCTCAACCAGGGACTTCCAAGGTCGCTTCGGAGTTCGGAGGCTGAGATTCCAAGTAAGGTGTCAATCCACAACTTTTCATCTTCGTTTTAGGTTCATAGAGTGCTTATGATTAGTGTTTGGGTATGAGATTGGGAATCATGTTGAAGGTCGGTTGGGTGATGTAAATTCAGTTTGGTTCAATGGTTGACTGGACTCACTAAGGAAACCATCATCCTTACTGCCAAATTACTTCACTCTTATATCTTTTGCTTACCACACAATAAGCAGTATTAGGATACAATATTCAGTAAGAAGTCTTCGTATGTGTGCATTGTATTTGGTTCACTACTCTTTCCTATAACTTCTTGGAGATGTTTTTCTGTATTCTACCACAACCTTGATGCCAATGCTTAACTCATGAACATTTGATTGCTTCGCATTCAAAATTCACCAAAATTAGCTCTTCTTGCATAGTCTTTCTCTCTATTTTTGTGTAACTTGGTACATTGCTCCATGTGCATAATATCTTCCTGAATCGATTAGAGATTTGATGGTAGAGAATTTGATCCCTTTCTTTGAATTTTCAATTTGGTGAACCCGGTTGGTGGATAAATTCCATTGTCACTTTTTTGGGAATCTAGAAGTTGGCTACATTCTTAGGCTGCGAGATTTACTGTATCTGTATATACGTATTGGTCAACTGAATTTTAAAGCTGATGTTGCAGCGTTGAGTAATGTATCTGCTTAATTAAGATGGTTGTAGCTTTTTTGGGTTTGTAGTAGCTAACTTAGTAGAGTTTATCAAAGGATTAACAAACAAAAAGATAGAAAAACAGTAGCAGTGAAACCATGTTGCAAAGTCACAGCCTTGGTAAATTGTGTATGCTTGCTGGAGTCCAGGAATTATTCGAACTTCTAATTCAGTAGCATTTGATGCCCCAGAACGTGAAAATGCATAACATAAAGTTACTTTTTTTGTTTAAATTTATAGGCCGCCTTCAACTTGGTTGGAGCATTTTGGATTTCTTCGACTGTTATGTTTGTGTGGTCTGTTGTATGTGTCATTAACTCGCACAAACTTATGATTGATGAGGAGTTCAACTTCTGTTGTAACAATTAATTAATTTATATGAATGGCAGGTGCAAAGTTGACTGGAACGGGTGCATCATTTACCACGACCTCTATTTCAGATTGCGTCAGGTTATTGGAGAATTAAATATGGATAATGCAAATGTCATCCCATCTGCCCAACCACAGATTTATCGATCGTCTGTACCATGTGAGTGTCATGGTTTAGCACGCAACTGATTCAATGCAAACTGACATTAATATTTTCCCTTGAATCTCATTTGTTGAGGGAACCGTCGAGCAGTTTTTATTCATCCTGAAGATCAGTACCAACGCTGTGTTTTATCTGCTAAAGAGGAAGAAGCATTTGAGAGAGGTGTGTTCTCTGTGTTTTAATTTTTCTAATTAGTTCATCTATTCAATGAGTAATACATGGTTTTATATTTAAATTCTGCAGAAGAAGCTGCCTTACAATTCCAACTCTCTCAACTTCGGCGAATGCTATCCCAAGTCGCCCGTAAGAGAAAACATCATATTTTGAAACAGAAGGTTCATAGGAGGGGTTTGCATTTTGAACACCAAGGTTGTTGTTTGCTAAATTTTGTAGCAAGTCTTACATATTAGGCTATTCTGTATTGTTCATTCTTTATTTATTTCTTGATTAACTTATTTATTTTGGCGTTGTTCATAGTTTGGGAGCCTCAGTTTAGATTTCTATTACAAAAACAAAGTAGATTACTTCGACGTATTCATCTGCATAGAAAGAGACGTGGCCGAAGTTTCTTTCCTACAGAAGTCAATCAAAGTATGTGGATTCTAATGGGCACTGTTATACATGACATGGTTCATCTCTATTTTGGATCAGTTTTTGTACATTGGATATATGTTTTAGTGTTCTGGTCAACATATTTTGTTCCCTTTTTAGTCTTAGAACATATAATGTACCTATTTATGTCATGTATATAATTTAATGATGTACGCTTCATGTCACCTTATGCAAATAGTGGATTGTTTTTAGATGTTGATGTGTCAACGACAAATTTGTGTGTTATGAACAAACTTTGGTGTTTTCTGAAATTTGAGTTATTCTTACTTAAAATGAGCAGTATACCAATCTATCTTTCCTTGAGAACATTTGTTTTAATAATTGTGTTTACTGTAGCGCTACTACATGGGCTTGACAGTTTCTCCAACGCATTCAATTTATGAATTACTGTGACAAAAATGTATTAATATTACTTATCTATTTCACTAGGTCTTCCGTTGGTTGAATTTTTTGATATTGGTCCACCTTCATGTACGTGTCAACATTGTGGAGCAGTTATGTGGCGGTTCGAGAGTACTTTATCTACACGGAATGATGTGTTGCCTGCATTTTCTTTATGTTGCAAACATGGTAAAGTGAAATTGCCTCCCCACAGAGATGTGCCCGAATTTCTTAAAACTATAATTGAAGGGGATACACCATTAGCACGTCACTTTCGTAGTAACATCAGAGCCTATAATGGGGTTTTTTGCTTTATTTCTCTTGGAGGTAAAGTGAATCACTCTATTAATGATGGTCGTGGAGTTTATGTATATTCAATCGGTGGTCAGATTTATCATCGAATAGGATGTTTGATTCCTGGTGATGGGGATAGTCCGAAATTTGCACAACTTTACATTCACGATTCAGATAACGAGGTCCAGAATCGTATGGACTTTTACTCTACTGATCCTGCCAAGAATCCGTTGCTCCAGTCTATTGTTGAAGGCCTCCAGCATATGTTTGATGTCAATAATATCCTGGTACGTACATTTCGTTCCGCGCGAGATAGGATACAAAACTCTGGTGTCCAGGAGCTTCAACTCAAACTATTGGCTAAGCGTGGCATTAATAGTAGAGAATATGATTTGCCCTCTGCGAATGAGATTGTAGCATTGATTGTAGATGAAACAGGAGAGCAATCATTTTCTCCAGATATAATTGTTCAACAGAAGGGTTCAGAAATGGAAAGGATTAGCCTATACCATCCAAGTCTGATGGCATTACAATATCCAATTTTATTCCCATATGGCGAGGATGGGTGGCATCCCTGTATTAGCTATAGTCACAGTAGCTCTAATATCCGTGTTGGAGATAAAATGATAACGCAGTGTGATTTCTATGCATATCGTCTTCAAACCCGTCTCCAGGAGTCGAATTCTCTGTTATTATCTGGTAAATTGTTTCAACAATATATGGTGAATGCATTTGCGGTAATTGAGGCTGAACGCTTAGACTGGATGCGTACCCATCAGTCGAAGCTAAGAGGACACTACTACAAGGATTTGTTGAATTCTTATTTGCGAGGGGATAGTGATATCAAGCTTTCTGGGAAGCCAGTTATTTTAGCTGCCTCACACACTGGTAGTCCAAGATACAAGTATGAAAATTTTCAGGATGCGATGGCTATTTGCAAGTGGATTGGTTATCCTGATTTGTTTATAACATTCACTTGCAATTCTAACTGGCCAGAGATACAGTTAATGGTTGATTTGATTAGAAGGTAGAAGGTACAGTGGCAAAGATCCTGACCGGGCTGACATCACCGCCAGAGTTTTCAAAATCAAGCTTGATGAGTTTTTGTTAGAGATTCGCGAGAAACAAATATTTGGGAAAATCAATGCCTGTATGTGTGCTTATTTATTCGTTATTTATCTATTAATGTTCATCCATTACTCTCTTACCTCATTGAACTAATATTCCTTTTCCACTATTTGCATCTTGTTGTACAGATGTCAAAGCAATTGAATGGCAAAAGCGGGGTCTCCCTCATGCACACATATTGCTTTTTTTGGCCTCGGAGAATAAATTCCATGGTCCTGCGGCTATTGATTCCATAATATGTGCTGAAATTCCGGATCCTGATCTTGATCCTAAACTATATGCAGTTGTCACAAGTTCAATGATGCATGCCCCGTGTGGTACAGTACGTCCTAATAATGTGTGCATGAAGAATGGGACATGTAGTAAGCATTACCCCAAGGAATACTCTTCTCAAACAACTATCGATGAAACTGGGTTTGCTAAATATCGTCGGCGGAACAATGGTAGAGTTTTCAACTGTGGCGGGGTTGATCTGGATAATCGATGGGTTGTACCCTACACTCGATATTTGTTACTAAGATTTGGAGCGCATATCAATATTGAATATTGTAACAAGACAAGGTATGGCTGAAGTAAATCGTATTTATCTATATGACTTGCATGTTATTTGTCGTAATACTCAACTAGATTAGATTTGTGATTAGTAAAATTTCATGTAAGTATTTTTATCTTGATTAGCTAATCTTCAAATGTATCCTCCTCATCCTTACAATACGTGTGTGAATGGTATGCTTTCTCCCTTAATTAAATAATGACTTTATTTCTAACTTATTATGAATGTTCATTCAAATTACATGTTCCTCTTCAACGAATTGCAAAATTGCAACAATCTTATGATAATATAAAACAAGACTCAATTCTCGACACTACCATTATATATATTATAACTCCATTTTCCTTAAACAATTGCGGCCAACGGGCCGGGCTATAGGCTAGTATTTAATTAGGTGGAGACAGTTTGTTCCTGCCTGCACCCGCGATTTGTTCCCCGAGGAGAACATATGTTAGGAGACGGACTGGGCTGACCCGCACAAAAAAGTATTGGGCCCAATCGTTTACCCATCATTCTTGCTGAAGTGGGCCGCCAACTCCCACAAAATAGGCTGTTTGCTTTCTTTGACAAGCAAATAGGAAACGGTGTAGATAAATTTACAATTTCAAAATTCTCTATTGTCCCTATTTATAAAGAAAAGTTAGGTTTCATGAGTGTTAAATTTTTTATGGTAACATCTTTTTTTTATTCAAACCATTTTTAGATTCTTTTATATTATTCAAACCTGTTAAAATGCTATTAATTAGTCAAATCTCTCGTAATGCATTAAAACATTAGCCATTTTTATGTAACTCTTTTCTTAGTTAAAATACTAAAATTTTGGAATGTTGACCTTCTTGTGTCTCTTCCAAGATATTATCATATTGCCAAGTCAATTTTACTAACAAAATTGTTAAAAATTAACATTTGGCTAATTCTTAGTATTTCGATAGGTTAGTATAATATAAAAGAATCTTAAAAGATTTTGGATAAAAAAAATAGAGATTACCTTTTTTTTATAAGAGCTAGTGCTAAATTACGTAATAGATGTTGTCTAATTAGTAATTATTCTAATTATCATATCAAGCCCTCTTTTAAATGTGGTAATGAGTTATACAAACTTAATCGAATCAAATACTCAAAATGAATGATGAATTTCGTTACGAATATCTTAGCCAACTCGAAAACTCAAAATGTGAAATGAGTTAGACAACCATTCACATCCCATTTTTATAAATAAAGCTATATAGACCATAGATAAGAAAGGTAAAAGGGAGAGGAGGGGGAGTGGACGGCGGAATGGAGAGCAAGCGGCTGTGGGTTTGAAATGGAAATGATGCCCTAACGAGGAGAGACAAGCCATGATAATACAACATGCCTCATGATGGATGTCTACCAAAAGGGAAGAGAGAGCCTTCTCTCCCTCAATCACAATCACTCTTCTTTTATTCATTTGCCCTCACACTAGGAATGGCAATGGGAAGTTTGAAACGGGCATATCGATATTCATATTCAAATTCATCATATGGTAGGTCGATTAATTTATTACAAGACACGGGATGAACAAGTCGATTCATATGAGTATTTAATTTAAAAGGAAAATATTGAAAATATTCATTTTATTCATCACATTCAACAAAGAAACTATAATGTGATAAATGTAGTTAAATTATTCAACAAGTTGAGATTCTCACATATTTATAACTTTATTATAACTTAAATACGAGGTCATTTAAGTAAAATTACATGTAATTCAGGCAAAAACCTTTTGAGAACGAGGCAAGTCAGATCGAGATGAGATACTCATGCCCACTCTGCCTACCCGCCCCAGAATAAGCAAAACAGGATAGGTAAAATGGATCAGATCGAAATTGTCATTGCTGCTCACACCCTCCGCACTTTTGGCTTTTCAATCTAACCCTCCCCTCAGTAATTCTCTTCCCTTTTCTTCGGACCTTTCAACCCTAGGTGATTTTTTTTTTCCGAATTAACTCCCTTCATCTCTCTGCAAATATGGTCAAAGTTTTCTAGTTCTAGTTCTAGAAAAAGGGTAATTTACAAGAAAGGTGGTGGTCACTTGCGAAGGAGATGAAAAGGAAGAAAGGAAGGAACAACCGAACAAGAAAAAGAAAGAAGGAAGTGTGGAGCCTTAAAAGATGAGCACCGAAACCCAGCCATGCACATCAAAGCACATGGGATTGCCATATCGGCATGTTAATGTAGCAAAAGGTGAAAGCAAGCCAAGCAGTGGAGTCTTGTCGATCGTCACAAGCCCATGCCTCCCGGCCGGCCACCACACCGGCCACCGTCAAAATTCTTCTTTGGTTTTTTGCATTTGGCTGTAGAGATGATAGATGTTGAACAGAAGTTTTCACTAAGTTGCAACTTACAAATGACAAAAGGGTTTGGAGGGTGATCTAGCTATCTAGCTAGCCATCACATTATGGTTTGGAGAAATTGGTGATTGTTAAAGAGGTATTTAAGTTTGAATTTTTTTTGGGTATGCACGTCAACCGTAAATAATTAGCGAGCATCGGCATGCTTTGATTTTCATCGATAGAGTATGGCCAGCAAAATGTTATTCATATACTCAGATGTTTCATCTCGGTTATAGTACTGACCACGTCTGTTCCGATATGAGGCGACAATATATAATTTGGGAGAGTGCAATTAGTTTGTAGCCAATTTCCAACACTCCGGTGGTTTCATATTCTTTATCATTTTGAAACTCTAGTGTCCATTTTTTTCATATTCGATCCACGGGGTGAGTCTAGAAAATGGGAGGCTCATAACCTCGTAAGTATCCGTGGCTCGGCCAGTTTCTACTGGTGTGGAATCCAACATGGGGATCGCGATGAGGTGCTCCGAGATTTGTCTTCAGGTCACGTTAACTCCACGTTCAATGTAAAATTTTAGAGCATTTCCTAAAACTATCAATAAGACTGGCCATAAACGTAACATGGAAAACCATTTCTCTATTTTTATTTAAAGTTATTCTCATTTGCTTTTATGTATTAGATCGGAAAGAATTATCAACATAAAAAAAATAATTCAAAGATTTATTCATTATAAAAACGGAAACTGGCCATCTTTTTTTAGTCAAATTTGAAGCTTTTCTCACATTGATCTTTTGTATTCCTATGTGCGTATAATATGTTACACTTTGTCACCTTCTTCTTCCAATAACAAGCACAATGTATAAGCCAATATTCTATTTGTTGATAATTTAATTTAAGTGAGTTGATGACATTCGAGAAAAAAAAAAGAGAAATATATTCCATGAATAAGAATCATTATCATGAGCCTTTAATCGACAACAATCATCCACAACATATCAAAGTGACGCCCCACCATATTGCAAAAGGTGGGTGATATATGTCCAAATTAAGTGTAACTTTCATCGACCAAAAAGAAAAAAAGCAAAGTGTAATTAACTTCATCAAAACCCCCCTTAATTATTGCAAGAAACACTGCCTTAATCCATGCGTTAGTCATAGTAAATTAATGCTTTGATTAGAGTCGCAAATCATGATTAATGGCCTATTTCTTTCTTTGTAAAGTAGCATAGTGATTCACTAATTTGCATGCAAAGTCAAGAGCGGCCATCATTTTTAATTATGGAGGCAGTAGAATTAGATGATACCTTTCTCGACCATATATATTATAATCGCTCTAATGTCCGACCAAAAAAATTCAAAAGCTACCAAAATGTCGAATTTCCATTGACAAAGGTTCAACTCCTACCAAAAGCTAGTGGCCGAACTTGACATACAGTTATCTCAATACTTATACTCTTTCGGTAACAAGTGTTGGTCAAATAACACTCAGAGCGGGTATAAGTTGGGACAAGCGCGCCGATTCATTTTTGTATGTTATTTAAAAAAGATTTTATCTTATAATGATGAAACAAAGAACAAATACTTCAAAAATGAAGAATGTTAATGAAGGATAGAAATAATAGGTAGATTAATTTATTTCAATTAGTTGAAAGATAAAATTTTGCACTTATTTAAAGTATCACAGAGTGAAAATATGAGTTGAGATAAATCAAAATAGGATAGACAAAAATAGATATTGAGACAAATCAGAAAAGAACGAGCCAAGAACGGTACGAGACATGACGAAAGTAGTACCAATATTCCGTCAACTCTATTGCAGGTTGGGTAATACTCGCCCAACACAACTAGTCAGATTGAACTATACCTGACGAGACGGGTTCAAATTATCATGACTAATTGTAGCCAAACACTGACAATTCTCACATGATAAGTGTTTGAGCCTAATTGGGTGTAGGAGTGAGACTCGGGGAAAATGGGTCAAGGAGAGTAAACAAAGAGGAAATAATCTTCGGTTTAGAACTGAGGAGATCACAGGGAGAATTGAGAGAGAAATATCCTTGAGAGAGAAGTCAATGATTTTAGAGATTGAGTTCGAAAAATCCGATCCCCTCACCCACCGTAGTAAATGCCATATTTATAGGCTACATGGTGGTGGGTGAGTGGTTGAGATATTTGTGGGGGCCACGACATGTGGGAGACAGCGACGTGGACACTGACACGTCAGGGATTTGGACCATGCTTATACCTAAGACGTGTCAGGGGGCTGCTTAGGACTGTACATAGGAGTCTGATGTGACTACACCTCGGGAAGTAAAAACGACGCTTTCTGCTGCATCTTGGTGTAGTTGACATTTTGGTTTTTCCACGTGCATGTAGCTTGCGTCGCGCTCGAGAATTCTGCTCCCGCCTTCCTTCATAACGCCGCGCTCAAGGTCCTCGCGCTGGGCCTTTCTGGAAGTCTTCGGTCGCGTTGCGTTCCGCAGGGCTTGACGGCATTCGGGGTGGCGTCGGTGCGCTTTATCTGGCGCGGCTAGGTCCGAGTCACATGCCCAACAATAAGTTTCAAATAACTTAAAAATAACACATTTATTAAAAAAAATGCAATCATTAATTCTCGAGATACCACATATCCAAAATACCTCATCAGTACCACCCAGTATAACATTTTATCTCTTAACAAATTATAATTGCCTTGTATCTTTCTTTCAACTCATGCATATTAACATATTATAATAACCAAATTCTTGCAAAATAAAATTTTGTAGGAAGATTAAACCATTCAGCGAGTCAGTTCTCATTTCATTCATTGGACACTGTCCGTTTCTCGTGAAAACACTTTACGTCAGAGCAGGTGAAAGCAAAGAGAGTGACTGTCACAGTCATAGCATAGCAGAATCCAATCCCTTTCATTTCCTCTCCATTTTCACAATTCAATTTTCTTCTTCATAACCAAGAAACGAAGCTCAGCCGTTCATCTCCTCTGTATATTTAAATTCAAAATCGGAAGAAAATGTTAAAAAACAACCTTACTGTAATACTGTTTGCAGATAACAAGGACAGGAAACAGAAAACATCACCATAAAACATGGTACTGTATATAATGTCCTCTGCTCTCTCTCTCTCTCTCTCTCTGCGTTGCTTTCATCTTTGCCTTTTCCCTTTAACTCACAAACGCCTCGCCTGTGGCCACTTCAATCCTTAATTTTCTTCTTGTTTGGTTATGTAAAGCAACAACTATGAAATCACATCCCCAAACCCAAACACTAATGGAGTGAGCAAAAAGAAGTATATCCCCCTACCACACCTCCATCTATGGCTGCCATCACTCATTCTTCCAAAGTGAGCTGCTTTTATGCTATCTCCAGACTGGGTTTTCCCCTGCATGCCCAGAGCTGATTTGGGTTGGCACCATTTCTTGGATATTCTTATCCACCATGATCAAAGCTTGGAACTTTTTGATTGAAGGAAGATGTGAAATATAAGCAGCAACAGTCAAAGGGAGGGACTTTTTCTTGTTGTTGTTGTTCTTCTTCTTCTAGGGAAGTGGTTCCCAATACTCGTAAACTGTTAAAAAGATGAGGGTGTTGTTTTTTTATTGTCTTGTCATTGCTGGGTTTCTGTGCAAGTTGTTGTCATTCATTCCTTTGGCCGCTGCTGTTGCTGCTGCTGATGAAGAAGCTCTAATGGCGATCAATAGGGAGCTTCAAATTCCAGGTTGGGGAGCCAACGAAACAGATTACTGCAACTGGTTTGGGGTTTTCTGCAGCTCAAACCGGTCGGTAGTTGGCTTGGGTCTCTCAAGGCTTAATCTTCGAGGTAATGTGGTTCCAATCTCTGACCTCAAAGGATTGAAGCACCTCGATCTCTCTGGAAACAACTTCAATGGCGAAATACCGTCATCCTTCGGCAATTTGTCTCGCCTCGAGCTTCTCGATTTGTCTGTGAACAAATTCGATGGCTCGATTCCAAGGGAATTGGGCAGTCTCACTAACCTCAAGTCCTTGAACCTCTCCAATAACATGCTTATGGGTGAGATTCCTGGTGAGCTTCAAGGTCTGAAAAGTTTGGAGGAGCTTCAGATTTCGAGTAACAGGCTGAATGGTTCACTACCATCATGGATAGCCAATTTCACAGAGTTGAAAGTTTTCACTGCTTATGAGAATTTCTTGAGTGGTGAAATCCCAGACAACTTTGGCCAATTCTCCGAGTTGAAGTTGCTGAACCTTCATTCAAATCAGCTTGAAGGTTCAATCCCAGAGAGCATTTTTGCTAAAGGCAAGTTGGAGTCTTTGGTTCTGACTCAGAACCGGTTCAGTGGCCAGGTTCCTGAATCAGTAGGGAACTGCAGAGGACTCTCCAGCATCAGAATTGGGAACAATGAGCTTGTTGGTGGTATTCCCAAATCAATTGGCAACCTCAGTAGCCTTACTTACTTTGAAGCAGACACCAACCATTTGTCTGGTGAGATTGTTTCAGAATTCTCCAGTTGTGCCAACCTCACCTTGCTCAATTTAGCCTCAAATGGGTTCAATGGAATTATCCCACCCGAGTTAGGCCGGCTTGAGAATCTTCAAGAACTCATACTTTCAGACAACAGTCTATATGGTGACATCCCCAAATCAATCGTTGGTTGTAAAAGTCTCAACAAGCTAGACCTCACGAACAATCGTATCAATGGTACTCTTCCAATCGAGATATGCAGCATGTCGAGGTTGCAGTACTTGCTTCTGAGCCAGAATTCAATCAAAGGTGAAATACCTCGTGAGATTGGCAACTGTCTCAAGCTGCTTGAGTTGCAAATGGGGAATAACTATTTGGTTGGGACTATTCCTCCAGAGATTGGTCACATTAGAAACTTACAGATAGCATTGAACTTGAGCTTCAACCATCTCCATGGATCACTGCCACCTGAGTTAGGCAAGCTTGACAAGCTTGTCTCTTTGGATGTCTCTAATAACCAGCTTTCAGGTGACATCCCACCTTCATTGAAAGGAATGTTGAGCTTGATCGAAGTCAACTTCTCCAACAATCAGCTCACTGGTCAAGTCCCCACTTTTGTTCCATTTCAGAAGAGTCCGAATTCGAGCTTCTTTGGCAATAAGGGCTTATGTGGCGAGCCACTGGTGTCAATGTGTATGAACTCTGACCATGAGAACTATGACTACCATCACAGGGTTTCTTACCGAATCGTACTAACTGTTATCGGTTCTGGTTTAGCGGTATTCGCCTCTGTAACTGTAATTGTTCTGCTCTTCATGATGAGAGAAAGGCAAGAGAAGGCAGCAGCCAAATCAACAGCAGCTGATATTGCAGATGAGTCAGCAGCAGCAGTCGTTGAGGAGAAGCCAACAATATCAGCCAGCAACGTGTTCATCGAAAACTTGAGACAAGCCATTGATATCGAATCAGTAGTGAAAGCGACTCTCAGGGAGTCAAACAAGCTCAGCAGTGGTACATTCAGCACAGTCTACAAAGCAGTGATGCCTTCAGGGATGGCATTATCAGTAAGAAAGCTAAAGTCCATGGACAGGACAGTAATTCACCACCAGGGAAAGATGATCCGAGAGCTGGAGAGGCTGAGCAAGCTGTCACACGATAACCTTGTACAGCCCCTTGGGTTTGTGATCTACGAAGATGTTGCTCTCTTGCTGCATCGCCATTTCCCCAACGGTACACTGGGACAGCTGCTGCACGAGCATAGCAAGAAGCCGGAGTACAAGCCTGACTGGCCGACAAGACTCAATGTAGCCATTGGGGTTGCTGAAGGGCTGGCTTTCCTTCACCATCTGGCGATCATACACCTTGACGTGTCGTCTGGTAACGTTCTTTTGGATGCTGATTTTAGGCCCGTGCTTGGTGAGATTGAGATATCGAAGCTGCTTGATCCATCTAGAGGCACTGCTAGTATCAGTGCTGTTGCTGGCTCTTTTGGTTACATTCCTCCAGGTAACAACTTTTGGGCACTTCTCTAGCCATACTATCTGTGTATTTAGCTCAGTTTTCACTGGAGTTGATCTAAAGGATCTGTCACATTTGCTTCGTTTTCCAGAATATGCTTACACAATGCAAGTTACAGCGCCAGGGAATGTGTACAGTTATGGAGTAGTGCTGCTGGAGATCCTGACGACGAGGTTACCGGTGGAGGAAGAGTTCGGCGAAGGGGTGGATTTGGTGAAGTGGGTTCATGGTGCACCAGCAAGAGGAGAGACTCCGGAGCAGATACTCGATGCTAAACTGAGCACGGTGTCATTTGGATGGAGGAGAGAGATGCTGGCCGCCCTTAAGGTGGCGTTGATGTGCACAGACAGCACCCCTGCGAAAAGGCCGAAGATGAAGAAGGTGGTGGAGATGCTTGAAGAGATCACGCAAATGAAGTAACTATTCGAGCAAGTTTTTTTGTTAATTTGATCCACCATTGTGAAACGATGTATGGATTAGGAATAGGATGGGCGTTTAGCTAGCTTGTTCCTGAAATGAAATGACAAACATATCCATTCACAAAAGAACTGCAGTTGGCAATCCACACCTAGCTGATTGCATCAGTCAAATTGCATATACTGGGGATCGTATAGGTATGGCTTTATCATGATTTTGTTAACGAAGAACGAACATGAGCTTCGTCAATATGATCTTATATAACCATAAACACTACCTGAAGAAATTAGCAATAGGTACCTAACAGGGAAAGCGATACACAACCATTGAACGTTTTCCTCTTCTGCTCTTCGTCGACTATTGAACATTTTCCTCAACTCGCGGAGAGATCAGACAGAATGAAGAGAGTAAAGGGAACCATATGCATAGCAAGAAGCCAACTAAAGTGCCTCAATGCGTCAAAAACAAGATTTATTACGATTCAAGAAACAGAACTCACAACCAACTTCCTTTTTCCACGGAGGGTATCTTGACATCAAGGCCTCAGAAACATGATAATGCAGAAGTATTAATGGCCAGACGTAATGTAGTTGAACTAAGTTATTTTCAAACCCATCATGAGAGACAATAAGCTTTTAATCTCGGGACTTAACGATGAAGTTCTGGCGACTGATGGGATTCATCACAACTGGTGGACCGGCAGTGCGAGGCCATGCCTGGAATTTCTTGTCAGTCTCCTCCCACCATTCCTTGTTCGAGACTGTACCCGGAGTGGAGCCTGGAAAAAGAGATGATACATCAATTGAGAACAAGCAAGCAACGAATGTGTCCAGATAAAAAGAGGCAACTTAAACCTTACCGCCAAATATCTTCACATCCGATACAAGTGTGTCGCACAAATAGGCAATTGGGAATGATGCTGCTATAGCAGCGATTACATACTTGCCTGACATGATTAACTGCAATGGAAAGAATCAACCATTACAAAGGTAAGCCAACAATAAGCTTATATGCCTAGACAGTTATCTCTCTCAGCTAATGAACCCATACCCATTGTACCAGCAGTTAATTCTAACAATACAGGTGTTTAAAGAGCTGTCTTAGTTATAAACTTGAGCTCATTACCACTGGCAAGCACACCCCATATCCTAATATGGTGACAACAACAACAATATAGTGTATCCTCGTGCCTCCGGAAGAGCAAACACAAAAGACATGAGGGTTAAGCTCAAAGCCTATAAATTGAAACGTTAAACGAGGTAAGCAGAGAAAGAAGACAGTAACTAAGGGTCGTCTGGCACTTGGGAAATTCAAAGATTATACTCTAAGCGTGCATGCATCACAGGCCGTATATCATCCACTTGAAGTATTCTCACGGTCAAACAAATCCAATGGCATATTTTCACAATTAACGGTTGATATCGACTTTGAAACCTAAACCACACATACTAAGAATCACAGGTGCAGAAAAATCCGTATATCTATCAGTGATGTGATAATGATGTCCTTCAAGAACATATAAGAAATAAGCGGTAACACCCTAGCCCTTGCCTCAAGTACACCCCCAATCTTCCTTTCTATGGATCAAAGTTCAAACAAGCCAACCAATACAATCAGTGTCGATTTAGTGAGGGATTTAAGCTGTACAAATTTCCACAAAATCGAGAAAATTCCGGAGTGCGACAATTTATCAAGGAAGGATAGGTGGATTTCACTGTACAGAGACACCGTAGCATAAAGATCCTCAAACTCAACCAACGAGATATGGAAAGGGGAAATAACAAAACCCTATTACCGAATCCAGATTCAATCGATCCCCAATCCGTAACCCTAATCCTCTAGAAAGCACAGAGCCTGTCGAAGCAGGAAAATGGCAACGAGAGAGGACGAGACTACGCACCGGGAAAGAGTCGGAAATTGGAACCGCCGATTGGGGATCGGAACGCCGAGAACCAGAGAGAACGAGTGGAGGATCGTTGGAATTTGTCCAGAGGGGAGAAGAACCAGGTTGGTTACTACTTACTTTAATAACGGGATATATTGCCTTGTTGCTCGAAAACCTTGGACGGCGGTGTCGTTTTAAGCTAATTACATTTCCCACTTTTTCCTCGTGATTTGCTTTTTCCAAGTTGCAACCCAATTTAATGGCTTAATTGCAAGTTTGGTCACTCCAATTGCTAAAAGATTTCACGTTTGCCACTCAAATTGATTTATTCCATTTATAGTCACTCGAATTAGTTGAACAGTCCAAGTTCGGTCATTCTCCGTTAACCTCCGTTAGACTCCGTTAATGACAACCGTTAAGTGATGACGTGGCTAACAGAAAGACACAATCAGCATATTTTAACATTAAAAAATGACCACCCGACCCGCCAGCTCAGCCTTACCCGCTCTGTCAGCCATTCTTGCCCAACCCGCTAACCAACCCAATTAATTGACCCTAAACCGGAGTATGTTGCGCCCACTCCCTAATCCACGCCGGATGGAAAGTGACGGTGGTCGAGAAATCACCCGGTCCACCTACCGGCAGCGCAACCGACACCGAACTTGGACTCGACCCTCAGTCGCGCCAAATCATCGCTTCCTGGCTTCCAGTTCCAGACCTTCTCCACTCTCCCTCTCACCATCGACTAGGTCAGTGAGTGATTTTCACAAACACCTTATCTTCAATTTTCAGCCACCAATTTTATTTTTATTTTTATTTTCATTGGATTTGTTTCTTGGAGCAGAACCAATTGGGTGCTTGCCAGAGACGAAGAGTTCAATTTCAGAGCAGCTCACTGAATTGATCTTCACCACCTTCTGTACACTGCTTTGCCTCCGGAAGCAGCTTCGTTTCTATGGGTCATCGCTACCTCTCCTTTATCATTTCTCAGGATAACTCGAAACCATCGGTCTCTGTTCAGGCCAGAACTCTCCAAACCGGGGAGATCGTCGAGATTAATGGGGATTTGCTTGTGGCCGCTGATGGGTGTCTCTCCGCTGGCGATTTTCGATAGTGTGAGATGGAGAGAGGCGGCGCGGGAGGATGAGAGGACGAAGATGGAAAGGGAAAGTGCCCTAACCATCTGTTTTCGATTTACTTTTCAGGGGGGTTGGGTCTCGGGTTTGGGTTTAGGGTCAATTAATTGGGTTGGTTCGCGGGTTGGGCAAGAATGGCTGATAGGGCGGGTAAGGCTGAGCTGGCGGGTCGTCGTTTTTTAATGTTAAAATATGTTGATTGTGTCTTTCTGTTAGCCATGTCGTCACTTAACGGTCGTCATTAACGGAGTCTAACGGAGGTTAACGGAGAGTGACCGAACTTGGAGTGTTCAACTAATTCGAGTGACTATAAATGGAATAAATCAATTTGAGTGGCAAACGTGAAATATTTTAGCAATTCGAGTGACCAAACTTGCAATTAAGCCCAATTTAATTAAAACAAGTCCTTGTATTAATTTTCCTTGCATTTAATTAATTTTATATTATTAAAAATTAATTAAACCCAACGTCATTTATGGGCAATTGCCAATAAAGCTTCCATTGAAATTGATAAATGAAGATGGAACTAAACCATTCTTATAAACACTTCATCATACTAAGTGCTATATATTTGGAATCTCTGATGACTTGCGAGAGCTTTCAAAATATGAATTGATCCATTTCAGAAGAATTCGATAAATATAAGTAGAAGATAGAACATACATGTCGATTTGAAGAGTCTTCGAATTAATTGATTATAGTATGTAGAGTCCACACCAGCATTCCAAAACGGCTAATAAATTCATCAGCAAAGAAAATGGTAAAATGCCGAATGCCTCCTCATCCACTCATGCTACATAAATCAGCAAAGTATGTCACATTGTCACTAGTCACTACACTAATCAAGATCACAAATATAATTCAAAAAATTGCAAGCTGGGCGGGCCGAAAGCTAATCGAGTGGAGTTCAAGTTCACGTTCGGTCCGATTGCTGTTGATCCGCCCGCCTATTCTTCTTCAACAACTTGGGCCGGGGCTTGACGGGCTTCAGAAACTGGGCCTGCAACCTCACCGCCTCCCTCAACAACCCAATCAGCCTCCCTTCAATCTCCGCCCCTCCTCCTCCTTCCTCCTCCTCCGCCGCTCCCACCCACCGCGCCACCGCCTCCAGCGTACTCACGCAGCCACCGCACGGCTCCTTCCTCAGCAACAGCTCCGATTCGTATATGCTCCCTCCTTCCACCCGGCTATCGAACCCGTCCAAGCACGCCCTCCTCGCGAATTTACTCAAATATCCCTCGCTCGCCGCCACCATCTCCTTCGCGTGCTTCCACGTCGCGTCGAACGCGATCACGACGCTCGCTTCCCCCTTGCTCGAGATCTCCGCCAGCGATTGCCTGAGGTCCGAAAGAGAGACGGCCTCTGGTGACGAGGGAGTTGGCGGGAAGAGGTAGAACACGTTGCGAGGGAGCTCGTCGCCGCTGCCATCTTCGGGGAGGAGACGGCGGAGGAGGCCCGGGGTGAGCCTGCGCGCCACCGCAGAGGCCGCGTTGGAGAGGGATTTGGTGATTAGCGGCGTCGTGCTGAGCTTGTGGCGGGACTCGTGAGGGTGCTGCAGGATTACGATTCGCGTTGCTGTTGGGATCGGCGGGTTGGGGATGACGTGGCAGAGGCACACCGGTTTCGGCCGGTCGCATCCCTCGCAGATCGAGCGCCGCCGTTGCTGTGGCGGAGGGAGATCTGTATCTGAATCGGGCTCCTCCGCCGCCACCGGTTCTTCCATTTGCGTGACTCTTTCCTCCCTGTGAAGTCGTGCTCAGGGAAACGTAACGGTGTCAAAAGTACCTGCCGAGACCCCAAACGCTGTGTCGTTTCGGTAGACAGCACAGGTAAACAGCGTCGTATTTGCAGAATGGGGAAATCAAAGAATCAAGCATCGTCCTTTTGTATATGTAAATGTCGAGCGCGGGAGGGAAAAGCGAGTCGAGTGTCTGATAGAGGAAGAAAGCGTGAATACGTCGCCAATGGCGACTGAAAGCTCGGAATCGACGAGTAGCAGCGCAACCGTTTCGGAATTTATCTACACTCCATTTTACTGGTAAGGAAGTGCGAATTGCTTTCTGCTGATGATTTACTTCAATGCCTTGCCAGTAATCATAATGAGCAAGTTTGTGAATTTTTTGAACAGCAATCGTTTTGTTGTTAGGGTTTGATTACCTCTCTAGGATTGGAGGTGGGTTTCATGGTGTGTGTGAATTTCGTTTTGCTAGTGTAGTTTCGTGATGAGCAGAAAGTCTGAAACTTGATCGTTGCGCTGTTTAAAGTTATTCCAGTCTAGGAGATCATTAGATGACGGTATGGTGAAGGTGTGTAAAAGAATACACTCTTGAACTATGTATTTTGATGTGATGCTGTTTATTGCAGTGAGGAGAACATATATTTTCTATGCAAGAAACTCTGCGAAAATGGTAGGGCAAATGCTGATGGATCTGATTTGTTTGTTGTGTTCATCTCCAATGAAAAGAAGGCGGCAGGGTCCTTAAGGAATTCCTTTATGGAGTTTGATTTACTGATTGGGGGCGAACCTCTCAAGTCTTGGTTATTCATTGTAGATCCCGCTTTGGAATCAGAAGGCGAGTACACGAGCAGATGGGGTTGTGCTATGGGAATTATCATGTTGCGTGCATTCAGGTGAGTTCACACTTAAGCGGCATCTTACTGGAAATACTGTGATGAATTTAGCTGAGGGGTGGACAAATGAAATGTGGTTTATGCTCAGCATTTCTTTTTGCCATTTTTTATCCCTTTTATTGATTGAAAGTTGGCATTGGATGTATGTACAGAAGAAAAGAGGTGATGATGATGATGATGATGATGATGATGATGATGATGATGAATCTTCTTCGACTTTGGTATTGGATATGGATTCTTCTCTTCCATTTCCTTCACCCCTTGCTTCCTATCTGTCTGAAACAATGAGGCCAGCCTTTGAGCTCTTCTCTGACTTTCAGAGGGGTAGTATTTTAAGTCCTGATACGGATTTTGTTTCCTTTCGTGACTGGATGACTGCCCTATAGGAGGAGTTTGAATTTGCCATTCCATATAACCACTAGGCCAGTGCCTTATAGTTCAATTAGAAAACTAACCGACCATGACTTCTTAGAAAAGTGTACTACATACGATAGTAGTGGGCTAGTGGCATGTTGTTGATGTTGACAAATTCACATGTTATGCAGTCTTCAGTTTTTGAACTTGTTTGTGCAATGTATTGCATTTACTTTCTCTTCTCTCAACCGACCTAATTCATTCGTCTCAGTGTGATACCTTTTATATTTTTGTTTCACGTCATATTATGCATTGTGATGTGTGTGTTATAATTACCTGGTTTTGGCAGTGCTTATCAGGTTGTATCGGGTTGTGCAAGCTCCAGTATTTCTCCGCGGATTTGCTTCTGATATAAGGCATATGAAAGACTCTGCCGGTAACTGGAACGCTCAACCCCCTGCATATGAACAGAACCCATTGCTGCTGAAGGTAACTAACTTCTATGGATTGGCTAGGTCTTCATCATATACGCGTAACGTCTTCCTGTCGCTTGAGTTGCCCATCGTTATGCATACAGTGCATGATTCTACCTTACTGTGTGACTTGTTGGAAAAATTTGCAGATGGAACTGTGAATAACCTGAAGGATTACATGGACATCCATGCACCAACCGAGGTGGCGGCAATTGAAGAGCTGATAGAGATGGTGTTGAGGCAGGATGAGAAGCATGGGGCGGTAATAAAGGAGAGCCAGGTGAAGGAATTCTTCTCACAACTGAATCTGCCCAATTGCTCCCACTAACTAGCAGCAATTAGTAAATTCTCAGATAACTGGCAGAAGGAAAATCTTGTGTCTGCATATGCATGATTGACCTTACTGTATTGCTTCTGTGCTCTCGATTGATTCGTGGAACGCTGGTCAAGGAAATAGAATCAAGCCCATTAGACAACATTTGCCATTGTTGTCCTGACATTCACTCTCTTTCGAAGCCCAGTCGCACAGTGTAATGTCCTCGGCCCAAATATGGAGGGCTGCGTAATACACCATCTTCCCATTCAAAAGAGGGGCTTAGGCCTGCAAATGAGCCGAGCTGAGCCGAATTTTACCCCAGTTTGAGCTTGACTCGTTAACAAATGAGCTGAGCTCGAGCCCGAGCCATTTATTAACGAGCCGAGTTCGAGCTAGGCTGGTTTACTAAATTCTTAGATCGTATTTGATACATTCATTTTGTATGTCGTGCATGGTACATGTGATTGATGTAGAGATAACAAAAGAATCAAATGTTCAACATTAATTAATCTTATTTTACAATTTTTAGGTGTCATATTGTTTAGTTAATAAATTTTAACTAGTTCAAATCATGTTCTTTCATATTTTCCTAGTCGGTTCCACATAAGTTGATCCTCGGCGACCAAGTACTGCGACGGAACTTCCGCCCCGACCCTAAGCACGGAAAGCTCGCCTCAGTGTGGGAGGGTCCATACCTAATCCGCGAAGTGGTCGGTGCCAACACTTTCAAACTCAGCGAGTTGGGGGGCAACAAGATACAAAGGACGTGGAACGCGCAAAACTTAAGGAAATATCACCGGGCAACTTAAATATGTATTTTTCATGCTATCGCGCTTTGCCACAAAGAAATGGAAAGGAGTCAGTTCGCAAGAACAAAAAATTAGCAATAGTCCAGCACTATTCGCGCTCACTCAGTTCGCAAGAACAAAAATTAGCAATAGTCCAACACTATTCGCGCTCACTCAGTTCGCAAGAACAAAAAATTAGCAATAGTCCAGCACTATTCGCGCTCACTCAGTTCGCAAGAACAAAAAATTAGCAATAGTCCAGCACTATTCGCGCTCACTCAGTTCGCAAGAAAAAAATTAGCAATAGTCCAGCACTATTCGCGCTCACTTAGTTCGCAAGAACAAAAATTAGCAATAGTCCAACACTATTCGCGCTCACTCAATTCGCAAGAACAAAAAATTAGCAATAGTCCAGCACTATTCGCGCTCACTCAGCTCGCAAGAACAGAAAATAGCAAAAGTCACGCACTATTTGCGCCCACACAGTTCGAAAGAAATCGAATGAACTCATTAACAAGTAAACACCACAAACAAGGACCCTTTGGATTAAGTTAAGCGAGAGCACAACATTGTTCACAATAAACTCGGAAAAGACAACAAGGAAACATATCAGCGCAATAACACTTTAGCACACTTAAGCACCATCAGTGTCAGGCTGGACATCCCCTCTGCTTTGCTTGCGGCGCACCAAAGGCTGAGCGTACACCTCCTCATCATCATCAGCTTTCTCGCCCCCTCCGCTCGCGCCTTCAGCCTTCTCCCCGTCACGGCGCTCGTCCTCTTCCGGGTGCTCCTCCCCTTCCTCATCCTCATCCTCACCCTCCTCTCCCGACTCTGAGTCAGACTACAAGGGCCGCTTCTCGCCGATCCACCTCTTGACATGTTGAACCATCTCGCGAGCATCCCAGCGGAGCCCTGGGTTATCGGGCCGAACCTTCTTCCCGACCGCGAGCACGGCCTTGGTCATAGCGTCCACCAAAATCTTCCCGAAGGAGGGAGAAGACTTGAACTGACGAACGGCCGCAACCTCGGCCGCGCGAACAGCTTCCTCTTTCGCGACACTATGAAGGCGGACCAGATCGTCCTTCTCCTTCTGAAGCTCTTCGCGAGCTTGCTTCAACTTCTCGGCGTAAGAGGCCTCCAGTTGGGCGCGGATGGTGGAGCGCTCCTCAGCCCGCACCTGCTCCTTCGCCGCCTCCACGTCGGCTGCCAACTTGCTCTGAAGGACGCCAAGCTCCTCCATCGCCTCGTTGGCTTTATTGGTTGCCACCTCGGCGCGATTGTTAGCCCCGACAACCTTTCCTTCCAGCTGGACGATCTTCGCCTCGTCCGCCTTCATCCTTGCGTGCTGCGCTGCGCGCTCTTTCTGGGCTCGGAAGATCGCCAGCAGACCCTACACATGCAAGCGCTCCAAGACTTAGCATAAATCATCAAGAGAATCACAAGTCGAAACAAACAAAAGTAACCTCACCGCAAAGTGGATCTGAGCTAGATCTTGCAGCGGATCGGACTTCTCCATCCGCTCAGGAGTACTCAGGAGGGGCCCCAACGCGCGAAGCGCGGTATTGGCTGCCACGCTGTTGCATGCGGGGCCAGTGTGAATCCGCACATCGTGGAAATAATTGACGGCAGGAGCGCCAGACGAACTTCCCGCCGCCGACTTCTCTGCACGCGTAGCCACATCAACGCGCGCACCAGCCGCATACCCATCCACAATTACGAGCGGCAACTGTTGTGCCGCCCGCTCAACCACTCGCTCGGCGCCCAGCTCAGTTTGCGCCGCCTGCTCGACTTCCCGTTCAGGTTGCGGGTCAACGCGAGCCACCTTTCGGGATCTCTCCGCCGCTGCGGGCTGCTCACTCCCCTTCCTCTTCGCGCGCTCCGACGGCGCACCCTCCTTCGACTTCTTCTTCCCACCGCGCGGAGCTCGCGGAGCTTTGACGACCACGTCGTCCACTGACATCATGCTGACTAAGTTGGAGAAGTCAACACCTGCGCCAATAAATCGTAAGAGAACGGTTAATATGAGAGAATGCATAAGGAAAGAGACGCAACTAACCATAAGCAAAGAGCTCCGCCAAACAAGCTTCGCGGACCCCGCCCTCATAGAGGTTAAACTTCTGATTCATGCACGCTTCATATTCGTCGTCGAGCCTGTCATATTTGCCCAAGTCGCGCTCGTAGCCATGCGTGCTGCCCTTCTTCCAATGGGTGGGCTCCTCCATATACTCACCCGCCCACTCCCCCGGAGTCGGCTTCACGTAGAAGAAACGCTCGAACCACGTCTTCTTCAGCTTTGGCGACCCGTACACAAAGCCGTCAGGCCTCTTGTCGCGCCGCCTGATGGAGAGACAGTCGCTCCTTCTTGTGGGCTCCTTGATCTTGTACATCTTACGAAAGAGCCCGTAAGACGGTTGAATGTTAAGCCTCTTACACGCAAGGCGGAGGCAACTTGCGTGCATAATGACTGAGGGAGACAAGCGCCCAACCAAGCATCTGAGCCGCCTGTATATATCGCGCAACAGTGGGTCAATGGGGAACTTGAACCCATCACCCAATACTCGGTATACACCCCGAACCATCCTGCGGGGCAGTTGCCGACGGTGCTCCGCGTAGAGGGAATCGTGTACTCGCAATTGGGGGGCAAGCCCAACCCGCGCACGATCTCCGTCACTTCCCTCCGCCCATAGATTGAAACGTGATCGGGACCCCTCAGGAGACTGTCTTGCGGAGCTGGCTGATCACCCCACATCTCCGCCCAGTCAATTATTTTATACTCCGCGCCACGCCGCGAAACCCTAGGCGACTAATCGCCTCGGACACGCGCGCGACGAAGCGCGGCTCTGATTGCGCACCAGGCCCCTCTGGCGCTTCACGGCCCGCATCCCCACGGTCGCGACGGATAATCAACACACCACGAGAATCGGTGGCAGACGGACCACTCCCAGACACCGTCGCATCCGCATCGGACGAGACACGATAATCCAGGTCCGAATCGCCGTCGTCGCCGGAACCCCGTCGCCGCCAGCACCGCCGTCGCCCCCGCGGCCGGCATCATCAAGATCCAACGAAGGATCAGTAGAAACACGGGAAGGAGAGGAGAGATTACCTTCTTCGCCTTGCACGACCTCGATCTCGTCGACGTTGATGTCAGCCATAGCAGATTCGTGAGTTTGACAACAACAAGCTGAGAAAAGAGGTTTTAGAAGGAGAGGAATCTCGAACACACTCAATACAGAGAGAATAAGAAACAAAGAATAAGAAAGTGGGTTCCAAACCCCCCTGAGGGCCGACTATTTATACCCGAGGGAAGGAAACCGAACGGTTGAAGTTGCGTTGAAAAACGCAACCGTCAGAACTTTTTCGAATTTCAAAACGACCGCCACAACGGACCACCCATACAAGGACACGTGGACACCTAACATAGGCATAGGCATTAGCCGATGACGTCACAAACTCCGCGCATCGCCTGGGGGGCATGGCACACCCACGGGAAAAAACGCGCTCTAAAAAGCCCGAGCCAAGCAGAAGGTGCCTCGCGCAATCACCAAAACCACCGAGCCAAGGAATCTTCCGGAGATCAAGCAGACCCGAGTCAACCAAAGGAACGCACCAACGCTGCCCCAAATGCCGCCAAACCCTGCGGGACGCGACGCGACCGAAGACTCCCAACGGGAAGATCCCAGAGCGGTTCAGCGCGAAGCCCTTGAGCGCGACGCTGTGAAGGCAGACTAGCGCGAAGATCTCGAACGCGACATAGGCTACGCGCACGCGGAAGGATCAAGGCGTTAACCAGACCAAAGAGCCGCAGAAAGCGTCATCTCGCTTCCCGAGGAGTAGTCACATCAGAACCCTAAGCACAGTCATAGGTAGGCCTCTGACATGTCCTAGGTATAAGCATGGTCCAAATCCCTGGCATGTCAGTGGTCATGTCATTGTCCCCACATATAACTCAACCACTCACCCATCACCATGTAGCCTATAAATAGGGCATTTACTCCGGTGGGTGAGGAGATCGGATTTTTCTGACTCTAACTCTAAAATCATCGACTTCTCTCTCTAAGATATTTCTCTCTCAATTCTCTGTGCAATCTCCCCAGTTCTTCCATCGACGATTATTCCCTCATTGCTTACTCTCCTTGACCCATTTTCCCGAGTCTCCCTCCTACACCCAGTTAGGCTCAAACAGAAACAATTTTGTACATAATTTCTTTATAGAATTAAAAATAAGGCATATTTTCTTACATGTTCAACATGTTAACTTCACATGATGTGAGATATATAATTTAACAATCCTATAAATTATGAAAGTCCAAATTAGATCGATTAGTCCATAAGTCGGTAATCAAGTTGGCCCTCAAACCACAATGTTGAGACATCTCATGAGTTTGAAATGAGCCAACTCACGAGTTGAGCACAACAAGCCACCGAGTTGAGCTAGCTCGCGAGCTTCACGAGCTGAACAAAGCTAAGCTCAAGCTTGGCTCGTTAGTAAACGAATCGAGTTTCGAACGAGTTTTTCCCGATTCGAGCCTCGAGTTGCTCGCGAGTAGCTTGGCTCATTTGCAGCCCTAGGCTTAGCTCCTGATACAAATACGACTTGAAATTCAATCATTAATCTCATTAATAATACGTG